CAGTGTGGTAGTTCTCAGACTTGGCTGCATATTGAATCGATGTTTAAGCTTTTTAAAGTGTGGGTCTCATCCCAAGAGATTATGGCTTAATTGGCAAGAATATAGCCCCACTTTTAAAAAGCATCATACTGTGTGATAAAATCCAGCATACTTTCCTTCAAGATTGATTTTCCTTAGAGAATCTAGCTTCAATTTGCACACATTCCCTCCAAATGGCTTTTTGTTATTGCTTTGTTTTTGAGAAAAAGGTCTTGCTATGTTATCTCTGCTGGCCTGTCAGGTAGATCAGGCTGGTTTCAAATTTACTGTAATTCTCCTACCTTAGTCTGTCAAGTGCTGGCATTACAAGTGTGTATCACCTGCCTTCCCAAAAGTTTTGATGGAGCTAATTGGCTTATCCATTGGAGATGGATCATTATTATAATGATATTATCATTATTATATTGATTATGTTTTTCAACAAGATACATTCAGTAGCAGCACAAAATTCCATCTTGAAAGCCACCAAAAGTAAAATAAAGGATTTTGAAGACATACATTGCTTCCTGGTTGATATCTCCCACCTTTTAACAACCACAGCCCATTGACTGGCACATCTTGCCTCTTTAGAATTCTGAACAACCATCAGGTGTCTTAAAAAAACCACATCAGCTCCAGCATAACTCCCTCAACATTGTTACCTGTCTCCACCAATGTTTCCAATAATTCCCTCCCCATCCTTCATGACCAGCATATCTACTTGGCATTCTTGGTTAACTGTAGCCATTCTTTGTGAAGCAAGTCAGGTATTTTGTAAGATTTATCAAAATACTTTCACCAGTGGTGGCCATCGTTGGATAGGACAATTGGTGACAGCAATGATAGGCAGGAAGGGTAAGATGATGGTGGCCACCACTGTGGCAGCTATGACAGGCTAAGGCAATGGCAGTTGAAGTAATGCACAGTAGCCATAATGGTGGCTATCAAGAAAATAAATTTAGTGGATGATAGCAACTGAGAGAGTCGCATTTGACTGACAGCCTTCTCTCTCTGCCTACATGAATGTAGGCAGGAGATAGAAGGCAACAAAAACCAAAGCCCTCAAATAATTAGTTCCCAATGAAAGGGATGATGGAAGTCCGTGTCTCTCACCCCTTAAGTGTGAGTGTTCTGTCTCCCAGAGTTTGCCAGAGAACTAAGCTATTGCCCACTGTGACAGTTTGACGGGTGAGATCCTTCCTGTTGTGATCACACTCATTGTTCTACTACCATGACTTTCTGGGATCATCTCCTGATTCCATCTCACATCCCTAAGCTAAGACAGTGCATCATGAGGGAGATTATGACTCAAGAACATATGGCACATTAACAGAACGGAGTCTCTGCCAAGCCATAAAGCTGTGACAAATTTTAAAATACTGAAATGTAAAAGATGTTACCAAACCAATTTAATTAGGCAAGAAAACTAGAAAAATTCCCATATGGTTAGAAATTAAGAAATATAGCTCTAAATTTTTAAATAATGCAATACCAATAAAGAAACAATATTAGAATGAAATTGTAAAAATCAAATTTGTAAGCATATATTATCTCTTAGTAAAGGAGAAGCCTGAAACTTTCACCTCAAAAAGGTACAAGTTTTGTGTGGTGTGGTGGCACACACCTGTAATCCCAAGCCAAGAACATCAGGAGCTCAAGACCATTTTTTTTGCTACACAACAAATTCAGGTCATCCTGGCCTATGAGAGATCCTATCCCAAAACAAACAAACAAACAAACAAACACAAAACCAAAATAAAGACCAACAAGCTAAATGTAAGTTATGGGAAAAGATTAATAAACTTGATATACCCTTGTCCATTCTTATAAAGAAAGAAGGAAACAGATACAAGTACAGCATCTGAAGCTGGAGAGGCAATACTACAGATGCCACAGGCCTTGGGATAACATGGATATTGTGACCAGATTAATATAACCCCAAATCATAGACAATGTGATAAATTACCAGAAAAAAATACAACTAGACACACCCAGAGAAATAAAACACCATAAATTTGTTCTGTTAGCTTACACATAGGCACAGATTCTTTGCAGCCAAATGTCATTGGGAAGTGAAGTCTCCATTCTTGTAATGTGTGTGACCTCAAGAATGTTTGGGCCAATAGAAAGTAGTAACATGATGCCTTTAAGGATTCCTGTTTGACTCTGTTGGATCCTTTAGACCATACTAAAATGTTCTAAAATGTAGTCTGGATCTCACTCCATTTTTGTCTATTCTCATCACACTCTTAGGAGAAAGGAGCAGAATCCCACTCAAACAAAACAAGCTGCCTGAAAACACCCTCCAGAGTCTGAGTACTCAAACCAAAACCCTGGAAAAATGAGCTGGGAGTAGAAAGCTCCCAGAACCTAGGCATCACCCTCGTCTCACCACCTGTTTCCTCCAGTCTTGCAACTCACATAGCACCTGCTAGCTCCTCCAATTTTGACTATATAGGACTTTAACCTTGACTCCTGGAATTTTTTTTTTTAAACCAAAAAATTTCTTTTGTTTTGGAGGCAAATATTGAGAGGAAAGTCCCAATGGGTCAGGTTCAGTTTTCAAGTGGCTGACTACTTTTGGAGTAGCTTCAAGGGAAAAGAGACTTGTCTCAATGGTTAATCTGTATGAAGGTAATGTGCATTGTTGAACCAAAAATCCTAGAGATCAAGAGGGTTTAGCGAGCCATTACAAACACTAGCTAGAAAAGCAAAGGTTCAGGTCTAAAGACAAGCTTTCAGTATGGCCAACAGTGGGCTAGATAGCAGTTCAAAACTGCTTGCTGGACCAGAGCTAAACCTATTTTGTTGTTGTTGTTGTTGTATGTTTTGAGTCTTTTCAATAGCAGTGGCTGACTTCAAACCTGGCAAATTTTTAAGTTCCTCTAGAGATTACAGGTGGGACTCACTATGCTAGGTTAAGTACATTTTGAAAAAAAAAATTGGGGGAGAAGAGAGCAACAAAACCCATTTTGCCAGGGTAGGATAATGCAAAAAGCCTTGGGCTGTGAGGAAAGCCCACAGGAGTAGATGTTACTGATCTGGGGATATAGCTAGTTGGTAGTGTTCGCTTACTGTGCACAAAGCTCTGGGTTGGATCTTCAGTACCAAACATGGGGACACACGCTTCTATAATCCCAGCCCTTGGGAGGTAGAAACAGGAGGGACAAAAGTACAACGTCTTCCTTGGTTACATAAAAAATTCAAGGCCAGCCTGGGATACAAGACCCTGTCTCAGAATAACATTTTTAGAGATTGGCTGGTATTAATAATCTAGAAAATTCATGCATAAATAACAATTAGAATTAAGATTCTAATATCATTTTATCAACATAAAATGGCCTTTTCCTTCCATTTTATAACTTGTTCCTGATCAAGCTGCTCTCACTTACTCTGGCCTCCATTCCTTAACAATTAAGTTTAGGATAGATCATTTTTATCAGAATGCCACCCCTGGGCTTTCTTCCCTCTGGGTCCTGGACTGTTTCTTTATGACCTGATCATACTGAAGAGTCAGTAAACAACCAAACAGCTGTGCTGAGAACTAGGAAGGCAGTACTAATTCAGATCTACATGGGCCAGATCTCTACGATGCAGGCTTCTTGCTTGACCATCACTTTCTGTGTGCTGTCCTTGTCCTCTTTGGATGAGGAGCTGATTCACATGGATAGAGGTACAAAGAAGGTCAATGCCTGTGACAATGCCTCTCTTTGACAGACAGGGAGTTGGTAAATACACTAATTTTCTAGACACTGTAACTAAGTCCTATGCCATTCACAGAGGTCTCATTTCCCAAGGTGGTAACCAGCTTGATAGTGTACTTTTTAAAATTACATTTTGTTCATTTGCTTTACTGGGGTGGAAAGCAGGGGAATGTTATGGGACACTGTGGAGGTCAGAAGAAACAGAACTACTTGTATGAGTTAGTTCTACCATAACAGGTGGGTCTTGGGGATCAAACTCAAGCCATCAGGTTTGATGGCAAGCACCCTTACCCACGGATCCATCTTGCTACCCAGATAATGCACCTTTTATTGGCTGTCTTCTTGTCTCCCTTTTCCACTCCTTACCACTATTTCTGGATTCAGGTATTCTGAGAATACCCTACCAGTGCCCCATTCTCAGACCTGCCTTCTGGGAAATTGTCAATCAAGAAAAATCAGTGAAGGATGCTTCCAAGCCATATCCTCTCACGGTTTTCAATTTTTAAAATTTAACAAGACAGGGTCTCCGGTGACCCAGTTTGGCCTCAAACTATATATGATCTTGAACTTCTGATTCTCATGCCTTGCTTCTGCCTCCACACAACTGTTTTCAATAATAAGGACAATTTTTTTTTTGTTTGTTTGATTTGTTTTACTTTTTGAGACAGGCTTTCTCTGTGTAACAGTCCTGGCTGTCCTGGAACTTGCTTGGTAGATCGGGCCAGCCTCGAATTCACAGACACTCCCGAGTGCTGGGATTAAAGGCTTGTGCCACCACCTCCTGAAGGCCAGTATTTTTACATCCAGTGTCCAAGGCCTGTGTCTACTGCTCATTTGGCTCTGATTCGGCAGTGGAAAAGATGTGCTATTCATTGCTACTTGCACAAGCCTCAAGAAAACTGTAGAGAGGTAATGAATGCAGGCGAGGGCACAATGATAGGTAGAGCATATTGACTGGCATGTGTGAGGTCATGGGTTGTCTCTATTTCCAGAGGGAAGAAAGCTGGGCATGGTGGCTCACACCTGTAACCCTAGCTGTGAGTCTGAATCCAGTTTGGTATCCATAATGAGCTCCATGACTGCTTAGACTTTAAAAAAAAAAAAAAAAAAAAACAAAAACCAACCTGGTGAGAGTGAGTGGGAGGACAGCAGGGACAGGGAATGGCTGTTTGAGTCATCTTAAACTAAGCCTACAATAGGCACACCTTGGGCCTTCCCCAGCTCTTCTCCAGCTCTCCTAGTGCTTGCCCCCTTCAATGCTACAGGCTCGAACCAAAGCCCAGAACTCAGTCTTTATTTATTTAGAGTCCCAAAGTCCAGGAAAGCCAGACCCACACCAGAGCCCTCAAGACTCCAAAATGGTCACTCTTCTAGATGAGGACACCAAGTGGGTTAGTCAATCATGTCTAGTTTTCTCCAAGTCCAAGGGAATCTTCAGGAGGCAGGAAGTGGCTGTGCCTGTGGAGAAAACACACCAGCATTTACTTGAGACCAAGGTTGGGGTGATGATAGGTGATGAGGCTCCCCTCACATAGTCCAGTCTAGAGTGGAAAGGTGACAAGTGGCATGGCCATTTGCCACAAGAACAAGTTGTCCACAGGAAGCTAAAATCTGGAGCTGGGGGCACTATTCTCTTTGTTTGTTCATTTATTTCTGGAAGACAGACAGAGATAGGTTGGCTTGAGACTCACCAGCAGCCCAGGCTGGTCTAGAGCTCACTTATGGAAGTCAAACTGCTTTGAACTCATGGCAATCTTCCTACCTCGGCCTCCCTAGTACTAGAATTATAAGCACGTGCTAGCATTGTTACAAGTGCTGGGGACCCAGGAGACAAAAAATCTCTCATTCTAGGAAACTTCTTTCAAAATGGGAGGGAGATACACTCAAAGAATAAAACTAGTCACCTAGTAAGTAAAGAGCAAAAACTGTTGTGAGCAGGAACAGGGAGGCTTTTGGACTACCAGCAACATAAATATGAGCTCTCCCACTAAAGCCTTTCTATCACAGGGTATCATCATGCCTTTAATGTGAAGTTCAGAGAACAGAGGAGGCCCAAATCTCACCACCCCAGTGAGGAGAAGCTAAAGCTGTGATGCCATCACAAAGGAGCAGGACAGTGAAAGGAACCGGGTGTTACTCATTCCTAGGGCATTGGAGAGCCTTGAGCCATGAGGGGAGACAGGAGACTTAATTCTCACATTGTTTTCATTCTTACATTTATTAATTTGTCTAAGCAGTGTTTGTGTGTAGATGTGCGTGTATGTCAGAGGACAATCTGCAGGAGTCAGTGATAGAGCTCAAGTTATTAGGCCTGGCAGCAAATGCCTTAACCTGCTAAGCCACCTCCCTGCCCTAATTTCCATTTTTAAAAGCTCTTGTAGGGAAGAGGTCATAGCAGGAATGGCCAGAGAAGAGGATGGCTGCTTGTCCAGGAAGAACACCAACCAACCTTAAAGAGAGAGGGGCTGAAGAGATGGCTCAGCACTTGTTCCTCTTGCAGAGAACCTGGGCTCAGCTTCCAGCACCCACATGGTGGCTCACAACCACCCATAGCAACTCCAGCTCCAGAGGATTCCAGGAGATCTGACACCCTCTCTTGACTTCCATGGGCACTAGGCACACACATGGTCCACACACATTCAGGCATAACACCAATACACAGAAAATGAAAAATAAAAACTAAAAAGGAATGAAAGGGCGTCATTGTCCAGATGCCAGAGAAAGAAACATTCCTATGAGATATTAGAGTAACTGGTATGGACAATCTGTAATCATTCCTGAACATTCCCTGTGGAGAATTAAAGTCCTTCTGGGCAGTTTCTGCGTTTATAACCTAATTCTTTCAACTATCCCTGTCCTATTCAAAGAACCAGTGACTATCAGGCATAATTAGAGGGTAACCTTTAGCCAAGAACTCTCCTGAAGCACAGGATACAAGGGAAACAGTGGGGGTATGACCCACGATTGAGGGAGCTTACGAGCCAGGGAACAGGGAACAGGCACAGAGGACCCTGGGAGAAGGACCAAGTAAAGAGGGTAGGAATTAGACAGAGGGTGGACTGGGGAGGGTAGTCCAGGCAGAGCAAAAGAACAAGGAGCAAGGCAGAAGGCCCTTGAGTAAGTACACTGCTCACTGGGGATGGAGGTGAAGAGCAGAAGAGGTGAGACCAGAGTCAGCCAAGACCAGTCTGGGAAGGGAACCACGCAGAGAGCAAGGCTTCCTCTGAGACCACTCTGGGACCATCACAGGAGAAGGATTGGAAAGGACAAAATGGACCAACACAGAAGCCCAGAAGACGGTAAGAAAGAAAAAGCAGAGTTGCAGGGACAGAGGACCCCCACGAGGGATGTTCGGAGGAGGGTGGTTAAAGGTGTGAACTGTCTCTTTGCAGTGGTCCGGCAAGAGACATCCAAAGAGGTGCTTCTCACTCTGCCATTTCTGCCAAGCCCAGGGCATGTTAAGACTTTTCCTAATTGCCCCTTCAGTATCATTATGTATTGGGTACATTAAGATCTTTTTTTTTTTTTTTTTTTTTTTTTGTGAACCCCTCCACTCCACCCCTCACCCCAACTGGTACAGCTGAGAGCAATGAAAAGGACAAAATGGGCAAGAAAGGGAAGAATACAAGAGATCTAGTAGGAATTGGGGACCTTGTTCCCAGTGTGAATAGAAAGCCACTGGAGTTTTAAGCAAGGGCAATGCGACCCAGAATTTAGTTCATTATATGGAAACAAGAGTGAGTTCAGGCAAGCCAGGGAGAAGGCTGAACAGGTGCCTGGCAGGGGAAGTGTGTGAAAGATAGACTAAAGCAGAGGCTGCCTGCCACTTGAGGCAGAGAACCACGTTTTGGATTCTGGATTCATAGCCAAGGCACGTGTGAGAATCAGGTGAGGCTAGAACTTAAAAGAAAATGGAGGGCGTTGTGAGGGGAAAAGAGATGATCTAGCGAGCCTCCTTTACCTCTCCAGCTGTGGGTGAACTTGGCGGCTGCACCTGCTCAGCACACTGCAGGAAGCGGCGCATGTGTTCCGCACAATTGCCAACTGCTGCCTCATTCAAGCGAAGACACTCCTCAAAGGCTTCAAAAGGCTCAGCACAGGCCTGGCGGATCTGGCGGATGATGGGGCTGTGGGAGTAGGGCATTTCAGACCCGCAGCACTCACACCCCACTTCCGAGCACCCTCCAGCCCGTTTTACACTCACTGGGAGGATGTGCAGCGAGCAATGCTCATCTTAAGGTGGTGACAATCCCGATGCCAGGACTCAGGCTTGGCTGCCACACATTGGCCATACTGTTCCAGCTCCCGGCTGCAGTATCGAGCTGTGACTTCCAGGGCTGCCTGCCTGTGGGACAGGGAAAGCTGAAGACAATCTCAAGAGTAGACAAGGAAAAGTTCTGATTTGGGTCTGTGATTGGCCTAGGGATCCAGAATAGATTTGGAATTTTTAAGGATCCTATGATAGGGACAACCAACGAGGGGCAGAAGTAAGAGCTGAGCCCTGAGCGTTGTGGTACGGGGCGGGAGTGTTTGGAAAGACAGTGGAAGACATAAAACAAAGTCTGGTTATTGTGAGGACAGTCTTGAATGCAGTCGTTTCCCATTGAGGTTCATGCAGCCTGACAAGCATGATCTAGAGCTGTAGGGAGTTATAACTCACATCTCCAGGCGAGTTCAGGCGCCGATCAGTCAGGGAAAAGAGACCCGCCTTTTCCGGTATCAGGTTGACATGGCGCCGCCCAACCCATACCTCCCGGCCTCACTCTTCCGGTCGCCGAGGGTCCAGCCGCTCATCCCATCCAGGTTCAATCATCATGGCTGCGCTCTGCCTCCCCTTCCGGCTCACTGCTTGTCCGGGCCGGACCCAACGTAACTACTTCCGGTCCTCCAGCTATTTTGTTTCAGTTTAGTCTTTTTACTTCCGGATCGTAGTGCGGTCGCTTAGAGCTCACCGGAAGTGTGGGATCGGAAGTGCTGCTGCACCTCGGCACCAGAGCGAGTCGGGGCCCAAGTAGGTATCTGCAGTGTGCAGTCGCTGCCACTGTCCTGGCTGGAGTTAGAAGCCGAGCCCGCGTGGCTGGGGATGAGTCGGCAGCTGTGCCCGCCGCTGCTGGGCTCAGCAACAGGGGACTCGACTCTCAGCCGAGCTGCCACCATTGGCTAGACTTCGGTACACACTCCCCTCCTAATAGCCATATTGGGGCTCCCGCACAGTTATTGAGTTATGCGTGTCCTTTTCCTGGCATAGGTGGGCAAGACAGGATGAAAGTGGATTTTACTGCTTGCTCCTTGCAATCGTGGACAAATGACTTCCTTTGTGATTGCCCCTGGTGTGGTTTCCACCCTCCACGTATGCCTTCAGATTATAAGGCTAGACCTGGGAGACCGTGTCCTATTTAAAAGGCTAAATCCTCCTGGTCACCTAGCATGGACAGGTCTTCTAAGGCTAGACAAAATGTGCCCTGACCACGTCAGTATGCAGCTGTAAAATGGGGGATTGGTGACTACGGTGGTCTCCTTCATACCAATTGCAAGGGCAAGGCTGGGCGCCTGAACACAGCAGTTCCGGGTAAGCTAGGTGTTAGCTGGAGGTTGTGACTGAGTTCTACAACTGCTTCACTTGGCAAATGTAAGGCTAGCCACACCACACACGACACTTTCATTTTTGGGAAACAGGACACTCACCTCCACATTTGCCTTTTGTCTAGTGGCTCTGTCAAGAGTGTGGCTAAGAATCAAATGTAGAGAACCATTTTTGAAGTGAAGCAGATCTGAGAAACGAAGACCTCAGGATTGCTTGTTACTGGGGCTCCCTTTTGGAGAGCTCATTCATGGAAGACTTAATGTTTTAGGAAGCTTAAGGACAATTTTATTAGTCTGAGAGGAAACACCAGGGCAGGTGAGCTGTGAATGGTGGCAGCCGAGGAGAGCGAGCTGGGGAAAGGATGCTAGCCAGTCCGAGCATGGCAAACATGGCCTTGCACTTCTCCACCATTCTCCCCACCTTGCTAAGAACTGTCATATGACATTCCTAAAGCTAGGCACCAAGGTCTTTCCCCTCATGGCCACTTCCTCCCCCCTGAGGCTGACACAAGGTCCAACTTTCAAAGTATTGAAGTATTTGGCTCAAGGTCCAACTTTCAAAGTATTGAAGTATTTGGCTCAAGGTCCAACTTTCAAAGTATTGAAGTATTTGGCTCACCTAGTTAACATGCCCAACCAAAATTAAAGCACCTCACCCTAACTCAGGTTTCCCCTTTCCCTTTATAAACTGCCATTTGCCTATGGGCCACATCTGTCTCCTCTATCCAGAGGCAGTCCTCTGTCCCTCCAGAACAAATATCCCTTCCCTTTCTGTTGCTGACTGATGTTCCTTCCCCTTTGTCCTCTATCTCCTGTCTTTGTCTCTTATTCCCTGCTCTTTGTCCCTCTGGGACAAATAAATCTTTGTGCTGTGAACGTGGTCTTTGAGAGTCTTGTGCCAAATACCATTCAGTGTATACAGTGTATCTATGTGTGCAGGTGCATGACTGTGTGTGCAGGGTCAGTGGCAGGTGTATGTGTGCAGGTGCATGACTGTGTGTGCAGGGTCAGTGGCAGGTGTATGTGTGCAGGTGCATGACTGTGTGTGCAGGGTCAGTGGCAGGTGTGTGTGTGTATGCAGGCCAGAGGTCAGTGGCAGGTGTATATGTGTGCAGGTGCACAACTGTGTGTGCAGGCCAGAGGTCAGTGGCAGGTGCTCCATTGCTTTGCACTAAAGTGTTTGGAGACAGGGTATGTTACTGAACCTGGAGCCCAACAATGAGCTTGACTGGCAGGCCAGTGAACACCTGGGATCCTGACCCCACATCCCAGCACTGGTGTGTTCTGCTGTGGGTGATGGAGAGGCAAACCCAGGCCCTCAAGCTTGCGTAGCAAGCACTTTCCCCAGTCCCATGGCTATTTCTTATAAAACTATGATTCAGTAATTGTTCTCTTGAGCATTTGTCCCAGATAAAAAATTGTATCAACACACAAACATGTATGTGGCTTCCCACAGCAGCTTTACCTGCTAATGCCCCAACCAGAAACAATCAAATGTCCTTCACAGTGCAGTTTAACTAGTCCACCCATACTCTGAGTACTATATAACAATACAATGAATTAATACATACAACTTAGATGAATTTAAGGGGGATTCTGTTAAAAAAAAAAGTCTGAAACCATTTTATGATTCTATTTACATGTATTTCTTGAAATTATAGAGAAGGGTTGAAGGGTTAGAATTACTAACAGAAGGCACAAGTGTCCTATGTGTAACACCAGTCTACACAAAGGATAACATGCCATGCAAATATACGTAAGTACACACAAAATTGTAAAAATTTGAGTAAGCTCTTGGGCTGTTTTAGTGTCATCTCAGTTTACTGGTCAAGAATCTTCAATTTAAGATCAAAAGTTAATTTAAAAAAAAAAGTTAGCTGGTGCTGGGCAGTAGTGTCTCATGCCTTTAATCGTAACACTCGAGAGGCAGAGACAGGCAATCCCTGAGTTCAAAACCAGCCTGGTCTATAGAATGAGAACAGCCAGGATTGCAGAAAAACCTTATATCAAAACAAAACAAATTTAGCTGGGTATTGTGGTTATCTGTTGATATTTTAACTCTGGAGGCTTCATAGTGAATCCTATCCTCAGCAACAAGACCCTCAAAACCACGACTATTTGTGACAGTAGAGATTTGGAAAGTACCCCCAGCCACAGGACTGAGGCAGAGAATGGGGTAGCTGGGTCCAAAGCTGAGCTTCTTTTAATAGCAGGGGGAAGTATCAACCACTTCAAGGTGTTTTCCATGGAAGAAGTCAAACACCCATTGACAGGAAATATAGCCTTATAAGATATTATACACAAGCACACACACAAAAAGCACTCAAGAAACTCAAAGGTTAAAATAGAAAAAGGCAAAGGAGTATAGCTACTCACTAATCAGATACATCCAGCCTTAGAGGAGGAAGTCCTGCCACATTTGAGGACACCAAGGACAGGTGCTACATGATCCCACTGAGTTACCGAAAAAGGCGAACTCACAGATTCATAGGAGAATGGCTTTTGCTGGAGGCCAGGGAAACGCAGAGCTGCTTGTAGCTGACAACTGTGCTGTACTTGGAACTGTGAAAAGGACAGATCTCAAACACGCAAGTACACACACCACCCAAGGTGCACAGGAAACGTTGGAGATGACGTGTTTATTTACTTTGACCATGATGACATCATAGACTATATAATTCATTAAATTATATACATGAAATAGCTTTAGTTTACATGTATATAAAAATAAAAATACATTTATGGCTTTCATTTTCTGTCTATTTTCCTGCCCTTCTCTTGACAGATGACAACTCTGCCACTGAAAGCAGGGAAAGTGAACCTGGGCCTGGAAAGGAGATATCCCTGCATGATCTACTGTCAATAAATCATTTTTTAAAGAAGACACTTAAGAACTTTTTCTTTTTAAACTATTTATGCATGTACTCCAGAAGAGGGCACCAGATCTCATTTCACATGGTTGTGAACCACCATGTGGCTGCTGGGAATTGAACTCAGAATCTCTAGAAGAGCAGCCAGTGTTCTTAATTGCTGAGCCACCTCCCCAGCCTTAAGAACATTTTAAAACAAATATACCAAAACCAACTTCAGCAGCTCTGAGAGGCACAGAAGCCCTGAATTCTCAGCTGCCAGTTGTTGGCTTCAGTGAACCCATCACTGGATTAAAGTCATGTTTTGTTCTAATCGCCCTAACTCAGATGGCTAGGATCAAGTTAAATGACATCCAGTTTTACTTTGATGTTCATAGCCGCCAGCTCAGCTACAAAATACCGAAAAACATACGGCACAGAGACAGTGTCAATGGTATCACTGCGACCACAGACAGTGCAGTTGTATTTTCTGTTGCGCATAGCTGACCAAGAAGGAGGAGGCTTTTCAAGTAGCGGGGACAGCAAACTGCCACATTTCACACATACGTGGGCGACCGAGCGGTCTGAGCAGTTGAAGAGCCGATCATGAAGGAGAAAGGATGTACCGTGTGCCAATAGAGCATCCCGCTCCATTTCGCCAAAGCGGATTCCACCCTGGACATTCCTTCCCCCGATAGGCTGGTTGGTGACTTTGTCCCTGGCTCCAGTGGTTCTAACTTGAAACTTGTCTGACACCATGTGGCGTAAACGCTGGTAATAAACCACACCAATGAAAATATCTGCTTCCAACTCCATCCCGCTGATGCCACTGTATAATCTCTCGGTGCCATAGAAGTTGTAGCCGGCAGCCTTTAACATCTCCCCAAAGTGCCCTAAGGCCGAGTGCTCCTCGGAGAAGATGAAGGGTGTAGCGTCATGGCAGAGACCATGCAAAGCTGCAGACTTTCCAGCCATGCTTTCAATTAACATACCGATGGTCATACGGGAGGGAAATCCATGAGGATTAAACAGAATGTCTGGCACCATCCCACTCTCTGTAAAAGGCATGTCCTCAGCTGGCCACAGTCTGCTCAAAATGCCCTTCTGTCCGTGACGGCTGGCAAATTTATCTCCAATAGTTGGATTCCGAGGAACTCGTATTGTGATGCAGATACATTTGAATTTCCCACTGCCCGTGTCATTACTACACACTTTGATGTTGTCCACAATACAATTTTCTTTACTCCTGGTGGGGGAATCAAATAGAAAGTCAAGCTGTTAGTTCAGTTTGTTGAGTCTGCCTAGGCTAGCCCTGGCTGGCCTGTAACACAATGACCTAGAACTTGCAACGATCCTCTCACCTCTGTTTCCACTTGCTAGAATCAATCACAGGTATAGGACACAAAACCTACCCCAGCTTTGTTTAAACTTAAAAATATTTATGTTTTGTTGACATGACCAATGTTCCATAAAGTGTGCTCACCAATATAAATAGATGTTAGATAGTATTCATGACTGGGATTATTAGTTATCTTTATGTGAGAGGGTATCAGCAATGGGAAAAACTGCTAGGCAAGCCCACTGAAGCCATTTTTAATCACTGTAAAAACAGCTAAGATAATCACTGTTTTTAGAAAGAGGCATATTTTGGGTAGGAAACATCCTTAATGCAGTTCATGAAGACAACGATGACAGAAAACTACCACAAAGGCAAGGTGACAGACACAGATGGTGCTCACGTTGGCAAACTCATGGATGACATCATCTGATGTGTTTACCCCATCTCCTACTGTTATGGTATAAGGAGTCTGGCCTTTAGAAGGGGTTAGGTCCTGAGGATGAAGCCTCACCAACAGACAGTGGCTTACAGAAGGGGGCTGCGCTGTTCACTGCTGTTTGCCTTTCCTATTCCCCTCGTTGGGACACTGAAGCAGTACCTCCTCAAGCCCACCTCCATCCTGAATGGCCTAGCCCCCAGAACAGAGACTTTCTGCTCTGTTTCCCAGTCATACCTATTTTGTTTGAGCAGCAGAGATTTAAAAAGGCAGGGTTTCTCTGTATAACAGCTCTTGCTGTCCTGGAAGTAGCTCTTGTAGACCAGGCTGGCCTCAGACTCACTAAGATCCACCTGTATCTGCTTCCTGAGTGCTGGGACTAAAGGCGTATGCCACCACTGCCTGGCACGTCATTGACCTCCAGTAATTTCACCACAAAACAGCCTGTAAAAACCAGCTCAGGGGCCAGGTGTGGCAGCATAGACCTATAATCCCAGCATTTAAGAGGCAGGGGCAGGGGGATCACCTGTTACATTACAGCCAGGCTGATCTATGAAGTGCGCTTCAGATCTGTCAGGACTCCTGGCGACAAACTTCCCACTAACAAACCAACCAGCAGTTTACCATGTCCCCAAACTTACTTATAGTAAACCACGAAACCTTCCCCAGTGTTAAGGTTTAGGTAGCTGTAGTAGGGGTCACCAAATTGCAGCTTTGCTCCTATGAAAGGCAATCCATCATCATCCAACTTCTGCATAACCCTAGGGTCACCAGGTTTGACTCCGAAAACAAGGTTATTGTCCCCTTGCTTAAATTTTTCAGAGAGGTCTATGAACTCAGACTTGTAGACACTTCCATGAGCAAAGCCTCGCTCCCAAGAAGCCTTATTCACAATCTGTGGAGTCAAAGATTCAAATCAACTTATAAGACTGAGACAGGAAATTTCAAAATAGAACCAGTTAAGATTATACTAATACTTGGCTTAGGGTAACTGACATTTGATTTTGAAACTGCATTTCCAAATTACCAATGCTACCAAGACCCAGACTCATAAATGGCTTAAGACATAATCAAAGACAAGCCTAAAAGGCAGATATACCAAGAATTCACATTAACCTTTCCCCACAGTATGTACCCCTCAGACCAGAAATTAACTATCTAAAGAACAAATGTATTTGCTATTATGCCCTTGAGGACAGATTCCTTCAGTGCTCTCACAGTAAGAGTTCACAAACAGCAATGAAAAAAGATTAGAGTTACAGCTAGCAACACTTACCATAGCATCTTCCATATCATAGCCAGTGTAGGAGATTACAGCTACAATGGCATTTGTCCCAATCGGATAGTTGTCCATGTTGTAATAGTCATACATGCATGGCCTCACTAGAGGGCTTTGGGGTGTCTGAAGGCGGTAGAGTTTATTATCTGATCGCTCTTGATAAGTGAGCAGTGGGAAGCCCATGGTCTGCTTACCTATGGAGGAAAAAATTGTCTTTGCATCTTGTTTTCAATCCTCGATTCTCAATGTGCTTCATAAAACTGGAAACAACTAAACACACAGCACAGAGATGAACACACACCACCATGAAGCAAGAGTAACAGAGGACACCAGCTATCTTCCTTCCTCAGTTCTCACATGCACACGCATGTACATATAAACACCACACACACACACACACACAGGCACACTTAGTTACAGTTTCTTAGTTACAGTTTCTATTATTAAGAGACACCATGACTATGGCAACTCTTTTTTTTTCTTCTTCTCTTAATTCATTTATTTTATGTATTCATGAATGCTCTATCTGCATGTATGCCTTTACACCAGAAGAGGACATCAGATCTCATTATAGATGGTTGTGAGCCACCATGTGGTTGCTGGGAATTGAACTCAAGACCCCTGGAAGAGCAGTCAATGTTCTTAACTGCTGCACCATCCCTCTGGCCCTGCAGGAGGATACTGAATGCAAGACCAGCTCAAGGAAGGTTGTGGGTATAAAGAGCACATCAAATGCCAAAAGCTTTAATTTCAGACAGAAATCAAGAGCACTGGAAGTGATAACAAGTGAGTGATTGTGACGGCTTAAACCCTTCAAAAGTGAAGGCATAAGATCTCAGACAAACCCAAGACATTTTCCTGGAAAATGTAAAGGTCAAGAACGACACAAACAAGCTAAAGGGTTCTTCTGCATCAGAGACAAATGTACGCTCTAGCAGAACACAAGTCATCCTGGACCAGGCCTTTGATTCTCCACCTCCCTCCAAATGGAATAAGGACTAAAATATGGAGCGTGTGCTGCTCTTACAGAGGAACTAAATTCAGTTCCCAGCATCCATGTCACATGGCTAACAACTGACTATAACTCCAGGGGGTCTGAATGCCACTGGCTTCTGCAGACACCTGCACATACATGCAGTACTCACATTTCTGCTGAACTTCCTGACTTTGATAAAGACCCTGACCGAGAAGGCTCTTATGGTTGGGAATATGCACTCAAGTGTGGAGGGGGCACTGTGTCTATAATCTTCACGTGAAAAAGCAAAGTATGAACCTGGCAGAATGTTAACAGAACAGAGGACTGGTCTGTAGGCATTCTTTCTGCTGTTCTTGAAACTTCTCAAGTCTGAGTTGACTTGAGCTTAACTTACACAAGGTTTTTGTGTGTGCATGAACCAACCACCTCCTCCACACCCACCTTACCCATCTGGCACTGGTACATGTTCCGAGGACTCTGGTTATGATCAGAGAAGGGGATGAAGTTGGCGATCACGCTCAGCAGGCTGTGAGGGAACAGCTCCTGGTGTGTGGAAATCCCGGAAAAAACCTCATCCTCAAAAATGGCAACGTTCATGAAGAGCTGGAGCAGAACAAGGGTAGGGAAGGCAGAGGCATAAAATAACTGTGGCTGCCTTGCTGCTTCCTCACCCCAATCATGAATGCTGGCTGCTGCTGTGATGGAACTACTGCTGGGACTCAGGGTCTGCGTGTGCTAAACGCTCCAACACTTTTTCCCCTTAGACATTTCATCCTGTACCTACCCTCTCCAATTGTGAAGGGCCAAAGAAGAAGACAAATATTTATTTTGGACAGAGTTTCTCTGTATAGCCCTGGCTATCCCATAACTCACTCTGTAGACAAGTCTGTCCGGGAACTCAAGAGATCCACCTGCCTCTGCCTCGAGAGCACTGGGATTAAAATGCATCACCACATCCAGCTTCATTTTTTTTCCTTTTTGTTTGGCCATGGCAAAGTGTAGGTGACAACTGTGATGCCTCAGTCTTCACCAGCTAGGGCAGAGCCAGGTGCGAAGCAACCATGAATACTGGATGGGCAGTTACGTGAGCACCAAACCTCCCTCAGGGTCCCAACACATCAAAACTACTTAGTCCTGGGCAAAGGGGGTCAGAAAAATGAGCTGGATTTTCTGTCACATGCTTTTAAAAGTGAAAGCCAAGACCCTGTAAACTTGTGCATAAGCACAGGCTACAGTGGGGGCCCACCTGCTCCATAGTGCCAATGAGTTCTTCTTTGCCCAGTTCCAAGTTCTGCACAGGCCTCACCAGCCGGCAGGGAGTCGTGAAAAGGAACAACCCTGGGTAGAGGCTTGGTTTTCCTGTCATGGGAACCAGGGCCACCTCCATCCAGGGAGGAATTCTTTTTTCTCTCAACACCTGTTTCAACAGAACAGAGTTTAATGAAGAACAAATGCATGCTTTACCCCACCCTCCCTGCCACCAGAGCCAGGTAGAATGCGAAAGGAAAAGCACCTAAGAAATTGCATCATCCTAGTAATAAACCCAGAGCCCCAAGCCACAGCTGTCCATCCCAATCTCAGCCCGCGCACAAGGCCACTCAGCCCACCTGAGAAATGGCAAGAAAAAAAAAAGGACAAGTTTATTCTCTGATGTCTGAAATATGGATTAATGAATTCCTTTTCAAACGACTACATGAAGGGTCTCACATGTGAGTATTAAAAAACAAACAGAATGGGGTTGCTGTGATGACTGCATACTAAGAGGACATACAGCAGGCACAGTACTCACACGTGCATCCCCAAATACAGACATGAACGCATACACATAATCTTTTTTAAAAAATCATAAAACACAAAAAAAGAAACAGGATTGGAGAAATGGCTTGGTGGTCAAGAGCACTTCCTGCTCTCATAGAAGCCGGGGTTCAGTTCCCAGCACCCATGTCAGGTGGCTTATATTTGGGGAGAACTTGACTCCCAGGGATCCAGTGCCCTCCTCTGGCCTTCACAGGTACTACATGCATGCATGAAAATAAATCTTTAACACATTATAAGTAAAGATGGAAAGGGTGGGGAGGAACCAGAAAATGACAGAAGGGACAGCATTGCAGTCACAGCAGCACTGAGTCCTGACACCAGCTATGCAAGTTTTTAACCTCAGTTTACCCAACTATACCATGATATGTGTGAAGTGGGGGAAACTCACCACAGATACACCAAAAGATGGCCCAAAAAAAGGGAGAAAAGAATGAAAACCAAATTGATGATTATGGCTATTTTCCTGTCGATACCCCTCATTTGCTTGGGATTATAGGTGTAAGCCACCACGCCTGAATTCTTTGTTTGCTTAATTTGTTTTAGATTTATTTAATTTTATGTGTGTGTGTTTTGCCTGCATGTATGCATATGTACTCCATATGTGCCAGGCGCCCAGAGTTCAGAAGAAGGAATCCTATCCCCTGGAACTGGGGTTACAGATAGTTATGATACCATCATAGTGCTGGGAATTGAACCTAGGTCCTTTCAAAGAGCAGCAAGTGCTCTTAACCACTGAGCCATCCCCTTGGCTCTTGAATTAGTTGTTAATTGATTTATGCATGTGTACAGATCTGTAAGTGCAGAGTGTGGAGCAAAGGACAAGCCTCAGAAGTTAGCTCTTTCCTGTGACTTGAGCAATCTGGGGATTGAACAAGTCGCTAGGCCAGCAAGTGTCATACCTGACGAACCATCTCACCAGCCCCCAAATCAAATTAACATTCATACTGATGAAAGAAAACCAAAATAGAGGAAGAAAAATTTAAAGATCACTGGTTCATAAAACTAAGATAAAAACACTCAGCTCACCAAAAGAGACCCAAATAGAGGCAGCAAGCTTAGGAAGAGTAAGTAGAACAGAATTTTGACAGGGGCTGGAGAGATGGCTCAGAGGTTAAGAGTGCTGGCTGTTCTCTTCCAGAGGTCCTGAGTTCAATTCCCAGAAATCATCTATAATGAGATCTGGTGCCCTCTCCTGGCCTGTAGGCACATATGCAGGCAGAACACTGCATTAAAAAAAAAAAAAAAAAAAAAAAAAGAATTCTGACTGGGATAAGGTATAGGGTCCATAATCCTAGCTAAGCTGGGAAACTGATGCAGGAGGATGGTGGAGGCCTGTATGGACTGCAGAGTGAGTATAGGATAGCCACCATAGTCACAATCAACTTAGCAAAGCCAAGGGAACAGTAATAACTCAGCAAAGAATGATCAATCAGTGGGTGAAGTTAGTTTACAATTACCCCTAAAAACTGTAACTATGCAGTGACCAACCTAAGAGAGTCAGGTTAGCACCTCCCCAGGTGGCACTCCTAGAAAGTCAAACTGGATAGATGGACAAACAGGGACCTCAAAGAAAGGACTGATAAATGCTTATAGGCCACGAGTCTGCCACTGCCCCCATGTACCGGCACTTCTGCAATTAGCATCAACCCCGACTGCCTGACCACTCCAGACCATCCCCAGGACACCTCATCAACTAGGAAAGGACTGAAAAGCAAAGGTGAATGGATAAATAAGCAAGACAACCCACGGGGACTGAAGATCACCTTAAAGCGACGGAGAGTGTCTGCAACGTCAGGAGCAAGCTCCTTGTCCACCCAGCCCACCATGACACCGTCCAGCAGGACAGGGTAGCAGTCACTGTACGGTCGGCAAGGTGTGGCGTCAACAGGAGTGACTCCTGGGGAGGGGGAGGGGAGAAGCAGAATAATGACATCAGAAGGTTTCATCCAACACCTCCAGCTCCTGGGGACATCCAAGGACAGCTTTCTCAGTTCAGCTATCCAACTGATGTATCTGTACAACACAAATGCTTTCATATTGCTTGTGCTTCATCAAGGGAACACGAGAGTTTATCTCCTGTGAGAGGATGAGGGTCCCCAGGGAGGTTTAGCACAGAATACCTTTTCATGTGCTGACTCCTAAATCCTGTACCCTGAATACCCTTCCCAAGAAAAATCTAATTACCGCTGACCCTCCTCATCTGCAGATTTCACACTTGGACATTCGCTTGCTTGACAAAAATCATACCACGGGCACTTTCAAGGTCACAACAAAAAATGTGAGTTTCCTGGTGCACACACACTCTGCCTCTTGTAACTCCAACTGCAAGCAAACCTTTCAATGTCTGTTCAAAGCCATGCAAACACTTACTTAGTACTGAGTGCTGCCCAGTGTCCCTAAGCACAGAGTGGCAGCTGAGGCTGCTGGCACATAGTTCAAGGTTAGACCTAAGCAAGGGCTCAGTATGTGCTACCAGCACCGCAAGTTAATACAGGGCTAAAAACAATGAGAACCAACTCATTAAGTGAAAAACAACATGTACACACATCATAACTGCCATGTAAAACAGCCAGCATTTCCCCAAGTGTCAAAGGGTACCACTCAGGGCCCCACCTGTCACCCACCCACCCCGCTTCCTCAGAGCCATCTCTTCCTCCACAGGGGGATGATGTAATGTCTACCCTGCTAACGTTTTCTCTGTTTCCTACTGGACTTTGGCTCCAGTTCCAGGGTCTCCAGTGACCCAGGCTGATCTCAAACTTCCTATGTAGCTGAGGCTCATCTTGAACTCCTGATCCTCCTGCCTCCACCACCCAAGTGCTAGGGTTACGGGTGAATGCCACTAATGCTTGGCTTGACTTTAATTAATGACGGAACAAAAATATCCTTTGCCTGGCTGTCAGCAGATGGACAGATGGCTTGTATCTCCTAAATCTTGACTATTTCGTTATTGCTTTCTCTAATGGTCCCTTCTTCATGGTTCCTTTTCAGCTGGGTGAAACATTTTACATAACAGGTCAATGTCCTTCTGGTTGCTTGAAGCACCTATTATCTACCACATGACCCTTGGGAATCCTAAGTTGTATTTCATAAACCTCAGTCCACTGGTGACCTCACTCACACAAAAACAACGACACATACTGTTGTTTTAAAATCACAACTGGAAAAAGCCCAAGACTAAACCATTTGAAAATACTCAGACAAAAAGATGACATCCTAGCTGGGCGTTGGGGGCACACACCTTTAGCCTCAGCACTCGGGTGGCCGAGGAAGGTGGATCTCTGTGAGTGTGAGGCCAGCCTGGTCTACAGAGTGAGTTCCAGGACAGCCTCCAAAACAACATTGTGAAAATAAACTGAAACTAACTACCAAGCCTAGAAGGACAGTGACTGAGTTTCCCTCAAGCAGACACAGTGGCTGCAAGCTACCAGGAACAAAAGTCACTGATCTATGTACCAGCTATGCTGTGCGAGCTACTTTTTAACTGAAGTCCCCCAAACCAACAGTTTTCTCCTTAGAAATGCAAAGATCTACCAGGGGCATAGGAGAGTGACCCGGAAATTCACACAACAGCACCTAACTTTGAATACTAAGGCTGTTCTATCTCGCATCTTTCTCTTTTTGTTTTACAAAAGGGGACAACACCAATGACATTTAACTTATTTGAGCTCCAAAGAGCGCATGAGAAAGAAGCCAAGAAAGCCACCCAACTCATGCTTGGAGGACTGAAAGAATTCTCTGCTGAGTCCCAGAGAGTGACGCCACTGTCTGATGCTGCTCAGAGTCCTACCTAAGCCACAGAGCAAGGCTGGAACAGACGCTGTGTACACAAACTTCGTGACGACCTCGCATATGGCAGTCAGGTGGTTCAGCAGCCCACACGGTGCCCCGTCTGGGGTGTGCACAGGGCAGAGGAAGCCCCAGGACTCTGGCAGCAGCCTGCGCACTGTGGTGGTCCTCATCTTGGCAAAGTCGGCCCCTCTGTGCACACAGCGGAAATGGGAGAGATAGCGAATGAAGTTCAACTTGTCAGCCACAACACACAGGCCAGAATCTTGTAGGAAGCCGAGACCTTAATTAAAAAAAAAAAAAAAAAAAAAAAGTCACTCAAAACAAGTAAAGTCTTTTTTAAACCCCCAACTGTCTGTTTCTGATGTTTTGATAAAACAACAAAACTTCAGGGCTGGGGGTACAGCTTCGAGGTGAGAGTATTTGCCTAATACATGAGTGGACCCCAGGCTCAATTTCCCAGTACCAACACAAACACACAGGCTTGTAACACAGTATTAGTTCTGATAAATGGAAAAAACTGAAGTAGATTGGTCTGAGAGCTCTGCAGTTATGCAAGCACGTGCTGGCATGCTAACAAGAGAAATCAGGGGCATCTGCCCAAAAATGAAAGCAGACTCCTGGAACCCAGTTGTCCTTTTGTATTTGCCCAGTTGATTCCAATACAAGCGGTTTAGGGAGAGGCACTAATCCACACCCTTCCAGAGTGTAACTGTAACCTGGCCCAGACAGATGTGCTCATCTGCTTTCTAGGAGTCACAGAATGTATTTGTTCACTAGCACTGGATTTACAAAAACAAAACACATTGCCAAAAACTTCAGGTTGACAGACAGTCGAAATTTACGATAACATAAAATCTGACTTCAGTGAGGGTGAGCTTACTCTGGAATTCTGCAGCAACATATTTTTATTGTATTAGCACATAACCTAAAAAATATAAATATGGCCTATTTATTTAATTTTACCTGTTTTCGAACGCAGATTCCCAGTAGCAAGAAGATATTCAAATGGTCTTGTTAGCTCTGTTCCCATACTAAATATCTTCAGCAAATTTTCATTGTTTATCGATACATTGGTCTTCTGAGCTCTCTTGTCTAAAGCTATTTTAATAGACACTAGCCAATTTTCCATTTTTTCCTAAAAGAAGACAATGTTAAATTTAAAGAAGTGCATGCTTTAATTATGTCAAGTGCTGTATCTACCCCCACACAATCTACACAATCCAGAATCAAGGCAAATTGTTTATAAATGCAACAAAGGATGCATCCTTAACACAACCAGGATACTAAGACACAACTGAAGGTCAGGCATTGCTAAAGACAGACACAGGAAGTCTAGATCAGGGGCTTGTTGCAAGGTATTTGATTACTCTGTGTAAAGATATGCCACTGCAATTGGTTTAATAAAAAGCTAAACAGCCAATATCTAGGCAGGACTTCCAGCCAGAGAGCTCTGGGAGGAAAAGGGGAGTCACCAGCCAGACGTAGAGGGGGCAGGATATGCAGGAGGTGAGGTCAAAGTCATGAACCACATGACAGCATGTAGATTAATAGAAACAGATTAATTCAAGTTATGAGTTAATTAGAAACAAGCCTAAGCTAAAGCCAAGCTTTCATGATTAATAAGAAGTTTCTGCGTCATTATTTGGGGACTGGCTGGCAGGACAGAGGGAGACTCATTACTGGGGCTAGAGAGATTGCTCAGGGGTTAAGAGTGTACACTGCTCTTGCAGAAGCCACAAAATCCGTTCCCAACATCCATGTCCTTCCGCTGGGACATGGGATCTGGATAGTGGACCTGGCCCACCAGGAGCCAGCCTCACTCCCCATTTCACATTCCTGTACTACATCCAGAGACCTTTTCTCCACTGTGACAGATTATATCCCCAAAAGTATGAGCCCCAATAAATCCTCCCTGCCTTAAGTTAGCTTCTGTCAGGCATTTTGCCAAAGCAAAAAAAAAAAAAAAAAAAAAAAAAAAAAAAGTAACTAAAAGTATTACAAACTGATTTTAGCAAGTAGTTGAACTTGAAGACATGGAACAAAAAACCACAGATTAATTGTTATCAAAGGATGTACTTTTAGGCTTAGTCATCAGTGCTATGACCTAGATTTAATGTTACCTTGAGACTATATAAAAATATTAACAAGAACCACACAGGGGGATTTAAATTAGAGGCCAGCCTGAGCTGATAGAGGGAGACCCTGTCAAAACACTGAATAACAAGAAGTCAAACATTGGCCAAAGACTCGGTGAGTGACGTACTTGGCACCCATACAGAAAGCAGGGCATGGCAGCACCCTTCTGTAATCCCAGTGCTAATGAGGCAGAAACAGTCAGTGTCACCAGTCATTGGGGAAATGCACTAGAAACAACAGTGAGATTCTACTGCAACCCATCAGAATGGCAGTCATCAAGAAGATAGATAACATGATGGCGAGGACACAGACAGAAGGGCCCCCGGATGGACACACTGCTCGTGGGGATGTGAATTCGTTTGGCCACTGTGAAGGTCAGTATGATGGTTCCTCAAATATTAAAAACAGGCCCACCACTTCTGGGTGGTCCCAAAGGATTAAGACAATGTATCACAAAGATTCTCGCACACCAGTGTTAACACACCAACGCAGTACTGCTTACAACAGCTAAGCTATGAACCAGCCCAGGTGTTCAAGAACAGAGGAATGGATGAGGAAAATATGGTGCACATTGTTTGGAGGACAATGGATTCAACAGAAGAAATCCATTAACTGAAAGCATACTAAGAAAACTGAGTCAGCTGGGTGGTAGTAGTGCACACCATTAATCCCAGCACTCAGGAGGAAGAGGCAGGTGGGGTCAAGGCCAGCCTGGTCTACAGAGTGAGTTCCAGGACAGCCAGGGCTACACAGAGAAACCCTGTCTCAGAAAGAAAAAGAAAGGAAGGAAGGAAGGGAGGAAGGAAGAAAACTAAGTCCCAGAAAAACAAAAACAAAACACCCACTATCTTCTTTTATTTGGGAACCTTGGGTTTTAAATGGAAACATAAAATCACAGACATACAGGAAACATACAGAAATTTGGACCTGGTGTAAGCTAGAGTTTTGTCCCTTACTGCTAAACAAAAAGGAGATGATACAAAATGCCCAATCTAGGAATTATCAACATGCAGAAAACATGTGTGCCCAATCACACCACACAAGTGGCCCAATGACTGTAGTACACACTTACCTTCAGAAACATCAGGAAGAGCTGACCAGGGGTAAGGACTTCTTGGTTCACTAGACTATCAGGGTTGTCCTCCATGCACTCTCCTCTGGCTAAAGCAAAGAGCTTCCGGGTCATGAGGCAAAGCAGGTAAAACTTCTCAGTATCAGATTTCAAGTGGATACAGATGCACTCACTGCAAAAGAAACAACCTTAAAGTGACTCTGCCCCTTCTCCTATTTAGGTCCCCACTGACCAAAGTGCCTATCTAGTGTCTACTTAACATTTCTCACTCCCCAAACTGCTTTTCACCTTTACTGGCAACGTTAAGAGTATCGCCACCAAGTCTGGAGCTGTGTCCAACAATATGGTAGCAAATCTGTGGCTATTCCAGTTCAGTTCAAACAAACACTTCATTTTCTCAGCTGCACTGGCCATATTTCAAGTGCTCCGCTCCTGACAGGGTGGTCAGGAACCAAGTTCCTTTAATACAGTGGTTATGTAAGACAAAATTACTGCTCCAGGGAAACACAGCCTCATGTTGCCTGCAACTTTCAAAGATACAGAATGAAAATGTGTATCTATATCGTGATCACAGTGACTAACAAAATGTCAACATTAGTGACTCCCAGTGTCTACTCTCTTACTTGGACACTGTAGCAAATTTGAAATTAATGCAGAATAAAAGAAGCACAGCGACCCTTCTGGCTAGGACCAGCATCCTACCCAAACTCAAATCCTAGACATGAACTCACACCCACCCACCCCCTGCAACTCCCAAAGCATACATACGTGAACAGGAACTTGGCAGCTTCCTCATTCGGGTACCAGTCAGGAAGACTGAGCTTTACTCTGAAGCGTTCACCCAGATAGTTAAGGACCTGCTTCTGGGTAGAGCAACCCTCTTCCATCACAGACCTCAACATCTGAGAAACAGAATTCTTAAAAAAAGAGTCCTCCTCTTTGCCTTTGGTAAGTTCCTGGAAAATCTGATAATCTGAAAAGCTCACAAGTGCCTAGAATAGAAAACATATATAATATATGTATATGTACTTACATATTTAAAGCTTTCTTTTAAAAAAGTTAAAGGTGAAATTCACTTAGTCACAATCCTCCCTTCTAGTAATTTTCAATGCCCAAGAAAAACTAGCCCTTTAAAACAAAACATTCTTTTTACATCAACCAAATGTCAAAGTTCCAATGATTCTACCTCTGGGTATTCAAAAAATAGAATCGTCTCTTCCTGTTCTGAACTGTCATATATAGCAAAATGGAGAGGCCAAATTCCCAAGGCTAGGTCATAAACAGACAGCCCTCTATGTCATTCTCTGGGCTAACTCCCAAGGGGAAGAGGAATTGAGACCTCCTACCAAAAGCCACCAAGTGAGCCAGCAATTCAGCACTGGGCCCTGGAAGCCTGGTCAATTCAAGTGACCTTAACACTTTATTTAATTTAAACTTTTAAATTGTTTATTTGGGAGAGAGGGGTGTGTGTGTGTGTGTGAGAGAGAGAGAGAGAGAGAGAGAGAGAGAGCACAGGTATACAACCCACCGCACATATATAGAGGTAGAAGGACAAGTTTTGGGAAAACAGGTCTCCCTTCTGCTGGGGGTTCTGGGGGCTCTTTCAGGTTGTCAGTTTTGCATGGCAGGAGCTTTGCCCGTGGAGCCACCTCATCAGCCTAGGAGCATCTCCAAACCCTTCACTGTGACCTATCCAGGCAAGCTACTCTCAAATTTTACACCTGAAGACACTCTGAGAAAATGTTTATTGATACTGAAGCAACTATTTTAAGAATGGAGCAGGGACTAATAGCAAGTATGGTTTGGTTTTGTTTATGGTGAGGTTGGGGGAGGAGACAGGGTCTTCGTATGTTGCCCTAGCTGGCTTAGAACTTGCAACCTCTAGCCTCAGACTCCCCAAAAGCTTGGGTAATATGCATGCTCACGTACTTTAACAAAAAAAAAAAAAAAAAAACATCTACTTGGACACAGCTTCCATCTCATCTCACCTTAAGGGCAAATCCCAAAGGAAGGAAAAAGAGCTCTTTCCGGTAAATAAAGTTCAGCATAACTGTGCCGTTCTCCACATAGTGAAGGTTCATATTGACAGCGGAGTGTTCTTCTTTCACACAGTGCATTGAAACCCCTAGTCAAAGGAACAGCAAGGAGTCATGGCCTAGTTATTTCATTCTTCTGATCATTTTACTATCATAATCAAAACCAAATCTCTTGTAAAGATTAGCCAAGGCCCAGCATGATGGCACAGCCTTTAATCCCAGCACTTGGGAGGCAGAGGCAGATCAAGTTCTATGAGTTCTTAGACAGCCAGGGCTACACAGAGACCCTGTCTCAAATGAAACAAAACAACAAAAACCAAACCGAACAATCAAACAAATAAACAAAAAGATTAACCAAGGCTGACAATCAAAAATGTCTATAGACCTTGCCAAATGTTTTCTGGGGTACACTGTGAAATAGGTGAAGCTATGAATTTGGCCAAGTTTTCTATCAGCTCGGTCCTGTAACATCTTATACTTGGACCACCTTGCAGGGCGCACGTCCTATGCACACTGCCCTATGGGACTGGTCAAAGGATGGTCACTTACCTAACATCCCAGAGAATGGCAGAACTCGGACTTCACATCAACAAAGCAAAAGAACCAAAGACTACATGTTCTGACATTCTGAGATACCATTCTCCTAGGTGCTGTATCCATGGCAACTATTAAAAGTCTGATTTTATCTCAATTATATATGATACATTATATAATATTGCAGAAGTTAACAGAGAAGTCGTATGCTATCTCACAATGCCAGGCACTATCACAGGCAGTGGACACAGGCCAGTCCCCTGAGCCTGTGCCAAGGCAGTCTACACCAAGGGACCTTGCATGTCTTTGGACACAGATGCTAGGTCAAGCCATTCTTCATCCTCAAAAGCAATACCATAAACTCATGGAGTCATCCAGACTAAAACTAGACAAGGTTCTCACTATGAAATCGCTTTCTGGGTATATTCCCTTTCTTAGTTAATGAACTACACATATTAAAGTAACTCAGTACACACAAACAATGGCACCGACTTTCCCATGAACCCACTGGCAGTTTTTCGGCTTCACCATGGTGCACAAGCCATGTCCGTTCACTAGAAATTGTATGTCACTTTTTAAATTGAGACCTTTTCCTAGGCTAACAATGGTGTGTATTTTCTCATGATGGTGGGTAGCAGCAGTGAGCCACAGCTCCCAACCAGCGAGGAGATAAAAAGAAAACAAACAATAATCTTCAACGTCCTGGGATATTAATGTTTGTGAATAGTGTTTTCGTAGCTCATTATGTGTACAAAAAGTCAATCCCTGTATGAGCAGCATAAGATGATCAACACTTGCTTATAAAACAGGCTTTGTTTTAGGTGATTTTTCCAAAGTGCATGCTAATGTATTAAGTATTCTTTGTTTTGGGTTTGAGACAGGGTTTCTCTGTATTGCTTTGGAGCCTGTCCTGGAACTAGCTCTGTAGGCCAGGTTGGCCTTGAACTCATAAAGATCCACCTGCCTCTGCCTCCCGAGTGCTGGGATTAAAAGCATGCTCCAAGTGCTGAGATTAAAGGCGTGCGCCACCAACGCCTGGCTGTATTAAGTATTCTAAGCACATTTAGGCTTGCCAAACAAGGCTATTGTGTTCCCAGGTTAGCTCACTGAGTCCACTGTTACTTCTGTGGGTTCAAGCAGTGGCCCCAGAAACGTGTGCAGATTAGACAAGCACTGCTGCGGAGCAATCTTTGTACATTGTAAATAAGTAATGCTCTCATTGTCAGTAAGAAGCTGATTGGCCAATAGATGGACTGGAAGAGACTGGGCGAGTGAGCCTGAGACAGAGAGAATGCTGGGAGGAAGAAGGATGGAGTGAGAGGAGTCACCAGCCAGACACTGAGTCAGACACACAAAATGGGATAGAGGTAAAAGCCACGTGGCACAATGTAGATTAATAACAGAATGGGTTAATTTAAGTTCTAAGAGCTGGTTAGTAGTTATGGGCCCAGCAGTTATAATTAACATAAGCCTCAGTGTGTTTGAGAGTGGCTGCAAGACAGGAAAATCTACCTACAAATCACTCTACCACTAAAGCAGTCCCTGCCTCTAAGTAATTTTTCTTTTTTCTTTTTCTTTTCTTTTTTTGAGATAGGGTTTATTATGTCTTATACTGGAATTCACATGTAGAAAAGGCTGGCCTCAATCTCAAGAGATCCACCTGTCTCTGCTTCCTGAGTGGTGGGATTAAAGATGTGAAGCTTTATACCTGGCTTTAAGTGCATTTAAAAAAAAAAAAGTATTTATTTATTTTAAATTGTGTATACTTGTGTGTGTCCATGTGTTCCTATGTATTCAGATGAACCACAGAGGCCAGAGATCATATCCTCTGGAGCTGGAGCTACAGGCAGTTGGGGACTGAACTCAGGTTCTCTGGAAGACAAGTCTGTGCTTTTAAACTGCTGAACCATCTCTCCAGCTCCTCTAAGTGTATTTTTAATGTACAATACTCTCTATTTACTACAGGTTTATTAGGAAACATCTATGAATTGCATAACAATTATAATCAAATTGATTAAAACATCAGTTACCACATATAGTTTATCAACTGTGTATTCATGTGTGTGTGGGATCAAGACACTCCATTTTCAAATTTCAAATAAGCAACACAGTATTAATGATATCAGTGCTGTACACCAACATTAGATTGCATACATGTATGTGTGTTCACGCATGTGTGGTGGGAGTACTCTCTCCTTTGCAGGCACAGGTAGAATGGGCATGTGTGTGTGGGTGTCTAGGGGGGTTAGTCTCCCATGCAGGCACAGGTAGAGTGGGCATGTGCGCAACTCTCCCGTGTGTGTGTGCATGAGCATTTGTGTGCCGGTGCGTGTGTGTGTGACCCTTCCCATGCAGGCACAAGTAGAGGCCAGAGACTGGCATCCAACTATCTTACTCAATTGCTTCTCCACTTTGCTTCTTTTGAGACAGGGTCTCTCACTGAACCTTCAACTTCCTTCTTGGCTAAACTGGCTGGAACCCCTGTCTATCCAACCCCTCCCCTCCAGTGCTAGGAGAAAGAAAAGAAAAAAGATTGTGTGTAATTGTATCTACTTTAAAAAACAACATTCAGTGTTCACTAAAGCTTACCGAAATGAGTGTAGCCAAGCCCTCTGCTTTTCCACTTTGGTCTTATCATCGCAATTGGGAAATTTCTCCGAGGCATTATCAACATTCGGATGACTTTTTCAATGCCGTTGATTATAAAATAACCTCCCATTTCCTGCCAAAGACAGGGGTTAACATCTGTTAAACAAAGTATTCGACTAAGTAAACACAAAGCTATTTCTAGCCACATGAAGCGGTACACACTGGTGAAAGGGACACCTGGTCTCTAGAAACAGTACAGGTTCCAGAAAGTCTTGTCAGATACACAACTGGGGTACAAAAGACACAGAAGAGGACAGGGAAACAGGGGCATCCCTTCCAACTAGCCAGGCTCAGTCAAACTAGTCTTTCTGTCCCAAATTATTTCAATTAAACAAAACTTATTCCAAAATCTAAAGATAAAAAACGGTAAGCCTAAATAAATAAATAAATAAAAACAGTTTGCTGCATAGAAGCTTTGCTAACTAGGAATCTGGACTAGATAAATACAGGAAAATATGTTTAATAATAAAGAGTATATTGCTAACTGCCTGATATCAAATAGGCACATCCTCCCGGATGCTCTGCTAAGGGAGCACTTACTCCTAACCATGGGTCTGCCTGTTTTCACCAGAGCAAACCGAGGCTTGGGGTGACTGAAGACCCCAGAACTGATAAATGGAATGGCTGGGGTGTTACATCCTGATCTGACACCAAAACTCTCTTCCCAAGGCACAATGGTCTCTAAAAACAGGCCAGATCTGCACACCCTCACCACTTCAGCTCAGTAGCCCAGAGCCGCCTCACAGTGAAAAGGGGGACATGGGTCAGTCATTCAATAAGCTCACGGAATTTTACTGTGAGTAAAAACAGATAGTGCCTACCATATGTTAGTGAATAAGTATGCCTCTGAACATGCATAATCCAGAAAAATAGGGCCAGAAAGATCACTCAGTAGGGAAAGGTATTTGCTGTAGGACCTGAAGCTCTGAGTTCAAATCCCGACACCCACATGATAGAAGAAAACCAACTCCTCAGAAGTTGCCTGCTGAAAGAGTATACACCTTTAATCCCAGCACTGTGCGTGTGTGGGGGAGTGGGGGGAGCAGATTAAGATGGGTCTCTGGGAGTTGAAGGTCAGCCTGATTGATCTACACAATGAGTTACAGGCCAGCCAAGGCTACATAGGAAGATCCACCCTACCCCAACACCCAAAAAGAAAAGAAGGAAGGTAATAAAAGAGAAAAGGAAATTTGGATTGGGAGTGTAGCCTGGTGGCACACTTATGTTTCATATGAGCAAAGGCCCTAGGTTCAATGCTCAGGAAGAGGAAGTAGAAAGACGGAAAGGGGAAGAGGAAGAGGAGGGAAGGAAAGGGAAAAGAAAATGACTTCTAGGGGAAAAAACCCTCCCAGTACACTGCCCAAAACAACATTTAATGTATGGCTGCTTTCCACACTGCCCCAACAGACAGGAGGAAGAGTCACACACAGCACTCAGACACAGTATCAACGCTCCATGTGACATAGCCATAAATCAGAAGTCAGAAAAACTGATTTCCACCAGCAAGCTTCCTGTCTCCCCACGGCCTAGATCCCTGTACTTACCTCTGCCTCCTCATGGTGTTCAATGAGGGCTTGAGGAGGAAGGTTGTATAAGTTGCAAAGTTTAGACTTTACCATGATGGGAACATAGCCAAGAAACTGTTTAATGACACCTTTGGAGACTCCATTCACTGCCCAGCTGATGTCAGCCTACATGAAAACAAAAGAAAAAATAAACTGGACCTGTAAGAACAAATGAATTATTTTTTTTTAAATTTTCAGATGTATTTACTTTTATTTTATGTATATAAATGTTTGGCCTGCATGCATAGCTGTGTACCAGATGTGTGGAAACCAAACCCCAGTCCTCTGGAAAAAGTTAGTGCTTTTAACCACTGAGCCATTCTCCAGACCCACAATTGAGTGTTTTAAGAGAAGAAAGTGGGCCAGAGTGAATTGATTTTACATGTTAAGATTCAGAAGATACAATTTCTTAAGTTGCAACACTAAGAAAGCAGACTCAGGCATAGCCTGAGTCTCAAAATTGTGCAGGGACAACCACCTCAATCACTAATGCTCACCGTCAGCTTCCCACGGTAGGTGCTCCTTCGGCCCCGGCATTCCGCTGGATAGACATTGAGCTCTTTGCAGATGGTCCCTTTGGGCACTGAGGGTGGACTGATGACAGCATCCACAATAGTAAGAGATATGCGCTCATCTTTGAAAGCAAATTCAAAGGGAGGTATGGCCTGAAATACAATTCATGCTGCTAAATCACTTGCATTTTTTTCGCTAAGACTCTTCAAAATCACACATTTCTACACTCACTGATGTCTATTATGCCAATGTAGCACATCTAAAAGAGACAACTAAAGCTACAACTAACCAGTTACTTCGTCAACCACTTAACCATAACGCATTCACTAGGGGTCTTTTTGATGGTGTGCTATGCATTTGATATTGTGGCAGGTTCTACAGATTCAGAAAAAGGCTGTGCCAAGTCTACCTTCTCCGCACAGCAAGACAGAGATAACTGTTGCTCATGGGCAAAGGGTCTGCTCTTAGCGCCATTCTTCATGCTAAGCTTTTACATTTTACTCCCTCAGACTGAAGCCTGGCAATTCAAAGAATTCTAAATGGCTCCCATACTTTCAGCCTGGCAGTCAAAGCTCTCCAATGCATCTCCATCCCCATCTCTCACAACACAATTGCTCAAAACCTCAGGGTAGTGTCTACTACATACACGCTCTCCCTGTACCTAACCTCCCCCTTTAGGGAAGGGACCATCCTCTTCCCTTGAACTTGTCTAATGGTGAGCTTTCTAAACACCTGAATTAGTAGCACTCCCCCCCCCTGCCCCCCCCCCGACTCAGGAAACTACATTTTAGGGCAGTTCTCAAGAGTATTGACATTGATTGCCTGCTAGTATCTGCTACCTCTACACAATCAACAACCAAGGGGAGCACTCAAATCTGAGAGGTCTCTAACTGGGGAACTGGCATGATCTCAACTCTCAGAGACCAGTGGCAGGGGAGACTATGGACTAAGGATGATAACAAAAAGAGACACACACACCCCCAACCCCCAGTCGCCCTCACCTGAATTCTGCTATCATTGTTCGACTGATCCCTAGGACTTCTAATGTTCCTCGACATGCCTAACTCAGGGCTAACTCACTTTAAAACTCTAAAGGAAGGAAGCTGGGCACACGCCTTTGATCCCAACACTCCGGAAGCAGAGACAGCAGATCTGTGAGTTCGAAGCCAGCCAGCCTGATCTACAGAGTGAGTTCCAGGACAGGGGGGCTACACAGAGAAACCCGATCTCGGACAGCCCCACCCCCAACCCCCAAGAAAGCTTTAAGGAAAAGAAACTGAAGATGACCTTGCTGCAGTTTGCAGTCTGTCTGATGCAGCTTGGAACCTTCTCTGGTGGTTTTAGAACGCAAGAGTCCAGGTGAGAAAAAAGTGTGAGCGCTGTGAATGGGCGGAAAACACAGCTCTAAATAGATCACTTCCTCACTCATCTCACAGTACTCAGAAACAGTCCACACAAAACCAGGGTTCCTACTCACATATAAATCCAGCAATCACAAATACATCTTTTCCTACACTACTCGGCTACAAGTCGTAAAGAAGCGCTTTTCTCTCTGAGCTACCCAAAGCATGGCACGGTGAGTGAACCTCACTATTTAAAGCCGTACTGTGGCCTCCCAGCCACCTCCTCAACCGCTGGGTCCCCCCACCCCCGACCCCACTCAGGCCGCCGGGAGGGCTCAGGAGCCGAGGGCGCGCCGCTCACCTGCACCGCGTGGCTCAGCCCCTCCAGCACCGCGTAGTTGAAAGAGTCCACGTGCGCCCGCGTCAAGTCTTGCAACGCCGCCTTTTGCTGCTCCGGGAGAATTGCATACGAGGGGTCGGTCAAGTGCTTTAGGCTGGGCCCGCTGGGCAGGTTCCGCCACCGGCCTTCGAGATCCATGCTTCTGCCAACCACTCGCGGCCGGGACCCGAGACCAGAGCCGCAACTCCGCTCTCAGCCCCCAGGAATGGCCGGAATCCCAGACCCTACGGCCTGCTGGGAAATGTAGTTCCTCTTGTTCGGCCCGCCCCACCCTGGTCCCTCCTTTTTGCAGGGTCGACTAGGAACCAAAACCGTGGCGTGATTGGGCCGGTGAGAACTACACAAAAAGGCAGATTAGATTCTTCTCTCGACTGTATCCGGCTAACAGCGCTAAAACCCACTCCACTTTAGTGTGTGACCTCTGTGGCTCAATCACTCAATTAGGACGGATCGAACTGTCTTCAAAGAATCTCTTCCGTTCCTTTGGGCAGTTTTCCGATTACATCCCGATGCTAATGCTAAGAGACTCTGGAGGCTTGGCTTCAACCGAAATGTAGATTGGACACCAGCCTCTGTCCTCTCTACCCAACTCTTTGTTCTATCCTTCCATCCATCTGTCTGTCCGTCCGTCCGTCTATCCATCCATCCAATTATTGATCTTTTGATTCTGGGGCTCTTATGCCATCGGTTCTCTAGGGGTCCAGTGTGAAGAGCTGTAGCAATCCAGTCACAGCTATCCTACCCAACTCACTACACCAAAAGAAAAGAAGCCACCCCAAACCACTTGTAGAAATCCCAGGGTGAGAGGTGGGAAGGTGGTTGGGTGGTGTCAGGCCGCATTTTTCCTGTTCCCACTGTTTGACTTTTATGAATAATGCTGCTATGAACACCAGTTTTTGTATGGACATGTTTTCAATTCACTTAAGTATTGGAGCTAAGAACAGAATTTCTATGTCATTTACTCTATCCTTAACTTTGTTAAGTTCTGTGATACCATTCAAGTCAACTGTACAATTCACTGTACAATAACAATATCATTACTATCTTCTGATTATAATCGATCTTATCACTTGTACGATTGCATCTGTTTGTAGGTTTTTATTAGCATTTCCCTCGAGGCTAATAGTGTCAACATCATTTCATATATGTATTGGTTGATGGCATTCTGGAAGAAATGTCTGCTTAAATACATTGCTCATTTTAAAATCACTTGTCTTTCTACCATTGAGTTGTAACATACTGGCCATTCTTGGGCTTGTGATTTCAAAATATGTTTCCCTTTTTATAGGTTGTCTATTTCCTTTTTAAATATATTTGTGTAACTGGATGTGGTGACACACGCCTTTAATCCCAGCACTCAAAAGGCAGAAGCAGGCAGAACTCTGAGTTGCAGGCCAGTCTGGTCTGCATATTGAGTTCTAGGACAGCTAGGACCACATGGAAAGACATTGTTTTAAAGAAAAAAAAGAAAAGAAATTGTTTTGTACAAACGAATGTGTGCCAGGTGTGGTGGTGCACACCTTTAATCTCAGCACTGGGAGGCAGAGGCTGGTGGATCTCTTTAAGTTCTAGGATAGCCTTATCTAAATAGAGAGTTCCTAGACAGCCAGGACTATATAATAGAGAGACCCTGTCTCAAAACAACAACAAAGAGATCTATGTTCATTTCTAAGCCATTGTTTTTGCTATTGATAAAAGGAGAATTGCTTTCTGACTTCATTTTTTAATTGTTCATTTGTAGTGTTCAGAAATGCAATTGAGTTTTATATGTTGATATTGTACCTAGGAGTCTTGCTAACGGCTTTCTCTATGTAAGATATTGTCATCTGCAAAGAGACATACTTACACTTCTTTCCTTTCCAATCTGGATGTCCTTTCTTTCTTTTGGCTAATTGCCATGTCTAGGACCTTTAGTGCCTTTATTTTTATTTTTACTTACTTACTTATTTATTTATTTATTTATTTATTTATTTATTTTCGCAAAGAGCATGGCTGATACAAGGACTCTATATGAAGTTCAGGTTGGATTCACGTTTGTGATTCTCCTGCTTTAGCCTCAAAAATTCTGGGATTACAGGCTTACACAACCATATCAGCTTTACCTTTAAAGTGCTTTTGAAATAATTTTTATATGTATTCATTTACTTGTGGCAGAGACAAATGTATGTGCGAGGGTTCACACTTGCCACCATGAACATGTGGACGTCAGAGTCACTTTCGGGAATGGGGTCTAACAAGTTATCCATCGGATTTAGACAGTCTCTCTTTACACTCGGCATACTCTGCAATATCTGGCCCATGTGCTTCCAGATGATTCTCCTGTCTCTGCTTGACATCTCACTATGGAAGTGCTAGAACTGCATATGCAAGCCACCACATCTGTAGGTTCCTGGAATCAAACTCAGGGTTGTTGTGTTTGTGAGGCAAGCATTCTTACCTGCAGGAGAATAAACAAAGTTGTTAATTGGTTTCTAAGTTTACTCCATTGTGGTCGTAGAGCACATGTGTTTTGATTCCCTTACATCTACTGTGGCTTATTTGATAACTCAGCATATGAGCTATAGCACAGAACGATTCTTGTGCACTTTGGAAGAATTGGATGAGATGTATCACAAATATTTGTCCGTTCCAGTCACTTTAGTGTTGTTTCCTTGATGCTCTTCTCTATAGCTGTTCTAACCACCACTGAAAGTTCTATTCCAAAGTGTAATGTCCCAAGTCTTATTTCTGATTTGTCAAGTACATCTGGGTTTTGCTTTATGGACATTGGGCTCTCTAACTAGATGCTTACTGATTGCAGGACTTCAATACTTTGACAAATGGATCTTGCTAGTCAGCCCCAGAAGGAGGAAGAGGCCAATTAAGAGACCTTGGTGGCTAGCTTTAGGAAAGTAATCTAATAGGCAAGGCAGAGGGAATGGGAGAGAAGAAAAGGCCTGCCAGAGCCACGCTTGCCATGCTCAGGCTGGTTAGAGTCCCTTCAAAAAGTATGCACCACCAGGCTTGATTTCTTCCTTTTCTTTTCTCTTCTTTTCTTTCTTTCTTTTTAAAAGTGAATCCTGGGGATTAAATATGCCCCATGCTTGCAAGGCAAGTGCCTGATATACCCTCTTAGAAATGTTTTAATGGTGTTTGTTCATTTTAATAAAGCAAGATAGTTCTTGGTTGCTTTTTAAAAAGAAAATATTTTATTTTTTATTTATGGGTATGTGTGAGTACTTTTGTTTTGTTTTTCTAGAAAGGGTTTCTCTTGTAGCTTTGGAGGCTGTCCTGGAACTTGCTCTATAGACCAGGCCAGTCTTGAACTCACAGAGATTCACCTGCCTCTGCCTCCCAATTGCTGAGATTAAAGGCATGTGCCACCACCACCCGGCTATGTGTGAGTTTAAAGAGGCAGAAGAAGGTCTTAGATTCCTTAGAAACCAGAGTCACAAGCATTTTCAAACTATATAGCATGGGTACTGGGATGTGAGCTCCAGACCTCATAACTAAACAGCCAACACCTTTAACCACTGAATCCTCTCTCCAGCACCTTGGCCACTGTATCTTCCAATGTATGTCCTATCCCTTTGCTTCCCTCTCTCTTCAGCCATTCCTACTATGTGCCTCTTCTCTCTCAGCTATCCCTACCATACGCATTGGTATACTTCATTGTCTATGAAACAATGCTCATTTTTTAAAAAATGATTTTTCTGTTCCTCGGCAGACTGTAGAATCTTTGAGTTGACATTCACCAATTCCCTCCGTGGCCAGTTTGAACATGCCTGATAACCTGCAGCGAGTTTTTCACCGTGTTAGTGAACTTTTCAGCTCCAACATTTCCACTTGATTTTATTCCAAACGCGATCTGTCTCCGAAGTTGCTATTCTCGGGTCTCACATCATTCCCAGCCTCCTCCAGTTCTCTACACACACCAGACAAGGTGAATTAAAGTCTGTGTTTAGTGGGTCCAAAGCTGGGTTTCTTCAGGATAGCATCCATGTTCTACCCATCTCCCATCTAGGTCCATCTTGGCCAATCCCATAATTAGTATCAAAAATTAGGAAATCTTAACTTTGGAAACTGGATACTTGCTCTCTCTAGGATTTGTTGCTTGATGATTGCTCCGAAGCATATGCCATGTGTGTTTCTGCTCAATTAGCTAAATGCTCAACTAATGATTGAGCCGAGACTTCCTTGAGTACCTACACTCACACCTTTGCTGAGTGAGGGCACTGTTCCTGTTTGGTGGTGGTGGTGTCTTCAATATTTGTGCAGTTTACAATTCTGCCTTGATATCCATTTCCTACGATACAGAGCCTGAACATCAGAGATAAAAACAGGGCCTTTAAAGGGGTTCGCTGGTCATTCCCACAGCTCTATCCATGTACATGACCTTCTATGGTCTCATGAATATATTGGAGTCTTTAAAAGCCTCCTGTGGATATCTCATGCCTCAGCTTGTCCACCTGCAATTTTTTTTTTTTTTTTTTTTTTTTTTTGGTCAGTTGGTTCCAAGAGGTATTATTACCTTAGGAAGTTGAGATATATAATAATGGTTGCTATCACTTTTGACAAGTACATTGGGAGAAAAGGTTGTTCACACTGGGCAAACTCTATGTCATATTAAATAAATATAATCCCTGGGAGCATTGGCTTAACAGAAACACCAGGAGGTCTAATGAGCTAGATATGGTGGTGCATGCCTTTAATTCCAGCATATGGGAGGCAGAGATGGGCGGATTTCTTTAAGTTCAAGGACAGCCAGGGCTACACAAAGAGACACTTGCCAAAAAGAAGAGGAAGAGGCAGAGGAAGAAGAGAGAGGGAAAGGAAGGAAAGAGGGAATGAAGTAAGGAAGGAAGGAAAGAAAAAAACCAAACCAGAAAGTCAAATAACAACAACACACAGAGCCCATAGCAAAGGTGTCAGCACACAGGGTTCCACACAGATAGCTACTTAGCAGCTTCCCCTCCCCCAGGGGCATTGTTAAGGACACTGGAGACTTCTCTCACAAGCTGGGCTCATCTGCCACTAGCTCTCCTTTCCCCTGATGAAGTTTGAGGTTCATGCAGGGCATGTCAGGACACACCTGTACCCTACATACTCTCTTCTCTCTCTGAAGGACAGAGGTGACCCTCTGAAAACCCTCTGTGCCACAAAATCACCCAAGGACACCAGGAACATGGTCCAGATGTTAACCCTAGCCTTGCAGCAACCGAGAAAGTGCTAGCATCATTAACAATGGTAAGCTTTCTGACATTGTCCTGCTTCCATCCCTGCCTACCCAGCTCCATGTTAGTCCTAGAAACCAACAGCCATGAAACCATGGTAAAGTCTAGCAGCCATTGTAAGATACAGAAATGGGGTGAAAGCAGTCCCTGAAGGCAAGCCAGTTGTGCAGAGCAGTTCAAAGCAAATAGTCTCACAGCCCAAGAAATGACAAGTTTGCATCCACTCCAGCCAGGACTTCAGATAAGCTCTATGCTTTCCCATTACTCAGAGACTGGCAACAAATGATATAGCTAGCTCTCCCAGGACTTAACCATTGTTTTTGCGGGTCCCCTAGAGATGCCATTGCCCCCAGACAGCAGGAAGTAATTTTAAGAACATGACTCCACTTTATCAAGAGGTGGGGTGGATGGCTTTGGGCCTTTCTCAAGGTTATGGATAGTTGTTATCATGCAGGGGGGGGGGTTGGTTACACATTGTTATAGGGTAGGGGCTGAACAAAAGAGATTAGACTCAGGGATTTTGTTTGGAAAAGTAAAAGGGGGATATGTTACGATAAATCATGTAAGAAAATCATGATAAGATAAATCATAAATCTACTTTCAAACTAAAAAAGCAATTATCAGTTTTAAATAATTTACATTGGTATGGAGTCTTGTTATTGATATAAACTTAAGGTTTTTGCTATGCTGTATACATGTTTCTACTTCTATTCAAAATATTTTTGTATATTGATACAAGTTTTAGGTTACTTTTGTTACACTGCATATGTTTCTACTTCTGTTTAAGATATTTTTATACCTTGTTACAATTTTGAGGTTATTGTCCTTGTACTGTCCATCTGTTTCTAATTTTGCTTAAGGTATTACTTATACAGCTTGTTTATTTATATAATGTGAAGCCCTAATATAGGATAATAAAGAGATACAGGTTTATAGTCACCCATAAATATCAAACACATAGTCATGATAGTTAGATTTTTGTAGGTATTCCAAGATGTTTCAAACAGGTAGTCTTCAAACACTTGAAAGACCTGCAGAACATGGCATTTAGGATATTTTAATAACAGGATTTTTTTTTTTTGATATGAGACATGTGTGCTCCTGGCACCACCAATCTACTTCTAAATAAGATGATGGACACCACAGACACTCTATATGGAGTTTGCTTTCTTTGTGGCACAAACAGCCCTTTAGGGGAAGAAACTACCCTTGCCTCAACTGCTGACAGTAAGTACACTGTCTAATGTCCAATCTGGACAAGCAGGACACAAAGAAAAGTGACCACCAAACTTTGCCAAGACATGATTGGACAGTCCTTCATAATTTTCTGCTTTGGAAAAGTGTTTGTCAGATATATTAAGCCTGTAGGCTGAAGATGGATGCCCAACATTACGAACCTTGGGTGACTGTCCAGGCAGCCAGCTGTTTCTGTCATTTCTTACATTTTTTGGAAGTTGCTTTGCTTGCTTGCACTTCCTACTCAAGTGATATTATTTTCTTTCTCAGGTGTTTGGTGGGGGTTGAAGAATAGATTGTTAACAGTTGCAATCCTCCTAAATCTTAGCTAAACACATATTAGGCACAAGACTTTGGATTCGTCAGGAGAGGACTGCTATTGGAATAATCTCTATATATCCATCAAATACTTATGGTCTGGACATTTAGAATTATTAAATAATAAGTATTTCTTACTTAATAATTGTTTTGTTGTATGTATCTTCACTTTTGTTAAGGTTATTACCTTTTCTTCTGAACAATACTTGATAGAAGTTCTTATTGTATATAATTTTGTTATGTTAGGGTTGGAACCTTCCTTCTTAAGAAAGGGGGAAATGTTGCAAGGATTCTATAACTGTTCTGTGGGCCAACTGTGAGGAGAAGTTTGGCCCAAAGGGCAGAGTTGCATTGAGGCGTATGTGAACCGAATAAAGGGCATAGGCCCAAGGGTCATGTGTTCTCTTGAAAGGTAGATGAACTGGCAGCAAGCCACTCACAGCTTGCTTGAGGTTCCCCATCCCCCTTGAGAATGAGGAGGCAGCAGAGGTGTAGAAGCTTTGTTCTGTCTTAAGTACAGTGCACCAATTTCGCCTTTAAATAAATTGCTAACATGACCCCATTGGATTCCTTCAGTACTAAGTGCTATAGTGTCCAGACATCCTCCTGAGATTTACAGGTATCCAAAAGCCCAGCCTGAGCCAGATGATTGGCAAGGAGTTCTCAGCAAATAACATCATCTCAGAGGCTCCATCCAACTCTGCCCTGTACTGGAAACACACACGGCTATTCTTCACAATCACTGGCCTACTTGACCACAGTACCATAATTCAGATGATGCACAAGACACTGGAGAGGAGAGACTGGAGTCTGGCAGCTGGCTGTTGCCTGCTGACTTCTGTAATAAACAACATTTGTTTCGGAAACTATGGTCATATCTGGCCTGGCTCTGTATGGTAGGTGAGCTTAGAGTTATGTTCATCCATTTTCAGAGTTGAGGAAAGAACATAGACGATGTAACAGAGACCCCAGATGGCTCACAGGGGCCAGTCTATTTGCTGTCTTGCTGTTTACAGGAAAATCCTGCCTTCTTCTGGTGGTCATAGACTGAAATAATCAGTGATAGCCAAGACTAGTCAACACCCACAGTAAAATGATCAAACCCAAGGACACAAAAACACTTGAAATATCTATACTTTAATGCTCCAGGCATTTAAAACATTCATATATAGTTGCCTTATTTCAAAAATCATTTCCTCTTAGGTGCAATTCTATGTCCAGGATTGGATGCACATCCACCAACACTGAATCCTTATGAGAGCATCCACATGCCACATGCAACCTACTTTGGCACCTTGTCATTTTTGTTCATAGATCTCCTTTTGCCACATCCATGAACACAACCACAACTGTTCATAGAAACACTTTATAGCATCATTGACATTGGCTGGTTCTGTGGCTCACAGCCCATTTCCAGTGCTCCCCAATGTCCTGTGCATGTGAGTGTCATCCCAAAGAGCTACAGAAACCCCTGTCAGCTGGTGTGTACACCAGCTGCTGCTCTACTATAGCTCACAACACAGAGGCACTTAAATATCCTTGGCAAAATGGACTTTATAATTGCCATTGAAGTCAAGTGTCAGGGGAGGGGCTTTTCTCCCATAATTAATGAATAACTCTGATATAGATTTATAGGTTCATGTCTGTATACAGCTGCTATCAAAGACTTACTAAACTGCTTGTGTAAATTAAAGCATGTTTGATTTTCCAGGTGCTTGGATGAGATGCAAACTGAGAAACTGCTTGGCCAATACTTATACTACGAGTATTTATATTGATATTTGATTGTTCTTATAGAATTGCTTGCTTCAAAGAGTTTTTTTTTTTTTTCTTTTTGAGCCTTAATCCTTAAGTAATTCTTCCTAGGTAATAATGTGTTTGTCCTGCTTCCCAAAGTAATGGTTCAAGGCAACTCAAGACATATGGTTACCTGAGGTTCTGATTCAGTCGGCCACAGGTGGGAAGGGCCATCAACTTCTTTCGAACTTCATGGAGACTATAGCATGTAGTCAGCATTGAGAACCTTGGGACTAAAGGCTCTTGAGTCTTCTTCCTGTTCTCCTTTGTTCTCACAAAAAGCCCTTGAGGTAGTCCCTGGGCCAGCAGACATCTCCATGAGATAAGATGCTAAGGCACAACGAGATTATCTGGCTCGTGTGACATTGTGCAGTCAGATGACAGAGCCAGGAATGGAATCAATATCCAAATAAATAACCCCCCCCCCAGTGATGGGCAGCACTTACACCAGCTAACCGCGAAGACTGGCTGGGGAGCCAGGCATGACCATCTGTGCCAATGACATCATGGAACGGTACGAAATGGTACAGAACCAACCTTCCTACTCGGTGGGAAGTAAATGCATAAAATGGTTGAAGCTGTCTGAGGAATGAACCCAACCCTTCCCATTTCCCCTTATACAGATGTTATGGGTTTGTTCTAGTTTATTACAAAAACCTGTCAGGATTCATAAAGACTTATTAACATCTGCTTTGTCAACTCTGTCACCACAACAGCCAAACACTTTTGAATGCCCCTAGGATTTGGGTCCAAGAACATACATAGACCTTGCTGTCTCCATTACTGGCCCTCCTAAACTAACCAAGAATCCAGCACTTTCCACTGTCCTAGTGAGTACATCTTCCCAGGATGTGGCTCATCTCTCTGCCCCCTCAGACATTTCTCAGCACTAACCCATCAGCTGTGCTGGATCTCAAAGACTGACTTAATATCAAATGTTTTACTTTGCTCTGGTTGCCAACTTTGTTACCCATATTCTAGGCAATCATGGCACCTTTACCCTTTAATTCCAGATTCCCGTGAGTTGGGACAGTCTTTAATTCAGTGTAACACATTTGGTCACCCATGGACGAATGTAATAAATAATTTCATCATTCCATGCCTTGCTGCAAGTTCCCACCTCTCATTCTATCTTCTCTACCTCTTTTGAGAAAGCCCCATTTGACTGCAGAACATACCAAGTAGATGAGCATAAAGAAGCACTTGTACTCACCAGAAAGCACACACTATGATCTGGGAAGAAGGGCAGCTCTCCCTGTGGCTTCCAGGACACTCTAGAGAAGAGCCTATTTACTCAGCTCTTACTGAATACACACATCTTCTTCCCACTGCTTCAGGAGTGGGCTCCTGAGAAGCCCATAAAATACGAATGGACCCATGACATGGAAACCACATTTCATAGTGCACTTTTGTTGACATGGGAAGCTGTGCAAAGCTCCAAAAAATGCTTCTTTTTCACTCAGGCAGGACACACCCTCATTCTGAGGGTATCCCTCCTGTTACCTACATGCTTAATCAGACAGGGCCCTTTCTGGAATGAAACCAGTCTCTCCAGGCCCTTGGAGTCAAGGAGGACAGATATGGGGAGAGCTATGAGGTGAGGAAGAGGATGGGGAATGGCATTCTACCTTCCATGACTCCCAGAGAGGGTTATAACGAAGGTTTACGGGTGAGGAAGGGAAGAGGAACTGCCAAGCTGCATTCAGAACTCTGATTAAGTCAAAGATAACTGAGGCTCATGAGACTTCAGAGACTCCCGCCCACCCATACCGTTAAGTAAAGTGAGATACCACGTTTTAGTTTTTTCTTTCTTTCTCTCTCATGCTTATTTGATGCTTGCAGATTCATCAGGCTTGCTGCTTTTGTTTCTAAAACATGCAGTGAGCAAAATACACTGTTTGGTGCCCACAGGACCCCTGGCAAGTGTCTGCTCGCACACCACCAGGAAGGTGACAAGCAAGAAGCCTTCACTGACAGGCCAGTGCACAGCACGGGCTGTCCTGCAAGCTTGTCCAGAGTTTAGTGGGACATAGTGTCGCAGAGGGGATGTGCGGGGAACATGTGGCAACCTCCAAAATGCTCTAAGGTCCAATCTGTCCAGCGAGGCTGCACTGGACACAGAGCTAAGGCACTAACGCTGCAGCAGGTGGGGTAACGCCCCTCAGAGGTTTCTGGGCTACATCCTGGGAAGGAGGGAGCTCTGCTCCCTGTACCACCCAGGGCCAGAGACTGCTCAAGGGCTGAGATCCACCACAACCACACCCCTGGTTCCGGCCCTTTAGAAAAATGTTGGCTTCTCCCTCTCGGTGCCTTGCATCAGTCTCCTAAGGTCTCTGCAATACTGAAGGCAGCACCTCTTGCTCCCCCCCCGCAGCTGCCTTCTCTTCACACACTCTTCCCGCACATCCGTTCCCAGCATACCCCGATGGGGAGCAGTCCAGTCTTCTCATGCTCCTCTGGAGCAGGGTTCCATACATTTCCCAAGGTGGTTCTGCACCTTCCCACCCTTCACAGCTTGATGAACGCAGCTGGCTGCGGCACCTGCTCCACGTCCGGGGGTGGGAAGACGCTGGATATGGCTATGTCCACGATTCCTTGGCACAGTTCTGCATAGAGCTTCCTGAAATAAGTTTTGAAAGATATCACTGAGGGTATTCATCAAAGTGCAAGAGAAAAATCAAAGCTGGGTGTGTGTTGGGGGGAGTGAATTTCAGTGAGGATCTGCCCTAGAAATGTCATCATGTCCACCTCTGTAAAGCTTGTCTCTGAAGATAAAGTACCAACAAGAGGCTCTGCACCCAGATAAAATAGGTAAGGCAGTATTTGAGTTATTTTAAAGCAGCGTTGATGGGAACAAAACAAGCAATTCTGGTGACTAGCAGACAAGGTAATTTCAGTAGGAGTCTTGAGCCTGTGAGGGACTGCATGGAGGGGCAGGCATCACCCAGGAAAATCCCCACCTTCTAAGGGAGAAGGGGCACTAGTGAAGACTGTGGAACTGACAGTTAAGATGGGACCAAAGAGAAGAGAGCAAGAGAGTAGTCAGACAAAGAATGGATGACAACTCAGAAAAGCAGGGAAAGACAGAAATGAGGTAGCGTGTCTGGGAAGGACAAGATACTGAGTGAGTGTGCGTGCTGGGTGTGAGAGAAGGCACAGAGCCTAGACCAGCCAGACAGAAGAACTCAGGGTAATCGGGAGAAGGGGACGTGGAAAGCTGAGCAGTGTGCTCTAGTCTCTCCGAGGCGCCACCGCAGGGAGATTTAACCTTCTCCAATTTGCTGTGGTTCCAATCAGCACACTGGAGTCCCCCCCACGCCCTGTGCTGAGGACCAGTAACAACTACAACTACAAAGCAGGAGTATGAGGGAACCCCCCACCACCACATCCCTTCAGAACAGCAGGGGGCGCTCTGCCTGATCCCCTTCTGGGACTCTATGGGCAGCACCAGTCACCGGAGCCTGCTGCTTTGGATTGAAGCTTGGAGCAGGCAGAAGCCAGAGATGTGTGGTCCAAAGAGGAAACATGAAATGAGGCTTTGGCTACTGGGGCCCCCTACCCCAACTTGCTCAGGAAGTGTTGGGAATCCTAGTGGCCAAATCCAAGGACAGGAGTCCAGACCAGCCTGCTCTGGACAAAGTCTTAACCATTCTACTTCCCAGAAGATGCTGTGACCCACCAGCTAGGAGGAGGTCCTCTTATGCCATTCCCATCCCTGTTGCCCAATGACATGTCCACCCAGCAGCCTCCCCATCACAGAACTTGTCTCCCATCCCTATCCCCTAGGCTGCTAGATCTGCATTTCACCCTGTTATAAGACCTCTGGGAAGCCATGCTTCCTTCCATTTTCTCTTAGAAAACCCTTCATCTGTCCTTCTCTTTCCATTCCCAATCCCCAGTCCCCTCCCCTCTGTTAATACAATCAAGCCCCCATTTTCAACAATTTGGTGGCCAAATTATTCAAGCTTCCATTTCCGAAGGGATAGAGACATGGAAGCCCTACAGTGAACAGGTTAGTTTGCCAAGAACCACAAGGTATAAAAATATGCCATGCTGGAGCCAATAAATGATACACAGACCAGTTTCAAGGTGGCCAGACCAACTTGTAGATACATTGGTGACAAGGAAGATTTAGTGTGGCATGGGTATCTCACAGTCACCAGGCCCGCATCACTGGAAGCCCAACTCTAGGGGATCCACACATAAAATCATGTCCCTAGAAGAATTTGGGTTGGTATGTAAGGTTGAACATATTATAAAGAAATCGTTTGCATTTAAGCTTGCAGTTGTTAGCTAGTAGAAAGGCAATAGAAAGACATTTCTATTTTTTATATAAATCCAAGCAATTGTAAATCAGGTGAGGCCGGTGAGACACTCGGTTGGAAAAGACACAGGAGTGACAACCTGAGCTCAGTCCCCAGAACTCACGTAAAGGTGGAAGAGAGAACTGACTCTGCATGGTTGCCCTCTGACCTTCACACACACTCTGTGGCACATGTGTCCCTCACCCACTCTCACACACACACACACAATAATAATAAATAATAATATAATAATAATAATAATAAAGAAAGAGAAAAAATGGCAAGCGAGTGAAAAACACTATTAACCAGGAAGTATGGTTTGCTCATTCAAAGAATATAGACAGAGACCCATGTAGCAGGCACAGGGTCAGGCTCACAAACTCAAAAGCGACCAAGAGAAACAAGGCTGGAGACATCATAATGTGAACATTCCATAAAGAAAACAAAAACAAACAAACAACTAGGTGTTTGACAGCAATTAATGCAATAGAAGAAATACCGAGGCTCTGGAGAGAGCAAAGGGGAGCCTTGGTGAGGGAGAGCAGAGACTCCACAGAAAGCAAAGATCGCACACAGAGCTGGCAAGAGCTGTCACAGGGACTGGTATCTTTGGTTGAGCTGCAGAGGCAGGCGAGACAGAAGCCTCATGGGTGGAATCAGGAGTATGGCTTCTCCCTTCTCACTCAGGCTGCTCTGGGAAGGAAGGATTTTATGGGGGCAGTGCAGAAATAGAAATTCTGGTAAGGAGGCTCTTGGCAAAACATCCCCCCAGTGATGGGAGATGACTGAGGAACAGGAGGCTGGAGGCAGAGTCCACAGGATTCGTGGACTGAGGGGATGGCCAGAAAGCAAGCTCTCTGCCAGTTCCCAAGGAGGGAGATGGCAGCTCCTCCATTCCCTTAGCCATGGAAAAGTCTGGAGAGGAGGACAAGGGATGGGGCTGGCTTCCTAGTAGACCCACAGACATCCTCACAGGATCTAGGGAAGGCAGGTAAAGACATGGGTCCAGAAGTCAGGAGCTACATTAACTTGGTGGCTTAACCAAGTTTAACAAGAACAGGTACAGGGGAGGTGGAGCAGAGGGCCAAAGGCCACTCAGTGCCAGAACCTGATCCTTGGTGAGGAAGAGAGTCCAGCTTGCTTGCAGCCTCCCTACTCAGCCCCATCCGGCATAGAGGGACCAGAAGCCACAGAGAAGAAAGATTCGGCAAGAGGGATGCAGCTGCCATAGGGAAATGAGGACATAAAGGAACTGCCGGGTCTAAAGATAGGTTTGTCATTTCAAAGGATGCTTCCCGGAGGAAGATCAGGCAGCTCCTGAAAATGCTGTAGTCCAAAGACCGGTCCATGAAGAGGGCAGGCTGGGGGAGTGTGTGTACTTACTGGAGTAGGCTTCACGGAGAGGCAGCTGGAAAATGGATGCAGGCATGTGGTAATGGGAGCCCATAGGCACGAGAGAGAGGTAGCATGGGAAATGAAGAAGGTGGGAAGACATCAGGAGGGAGGAGTGGGCCTTTGATAGAGGGGGCAGGAGGAAACGCTGCACACAGGCTGTCCATGCTGACGGGAGACTTAAGAAGCACCTGCTCTCCTCCACCCTTAGCATCTCTTGCTGGTACTCCTGGCATCAGCTCCATCACCCCGAGAGGCCTTGTGTTAAGTCATAGCCCCTTTGACACTCTTCTCTACTACAACACTTGTCTCCGTCTGTAACCATATTCGCCCAGTCCTTTTCCTTCCCCACACCCACTGTGGGACCTGGACGCTTAGGCAGAGCCTAACAGGCACCTGTTGGCTGTGGGGACTGAAAAATGCAAGTGCATGATCTACTCCATCCCCCAAATGCTGGCCTTTAAATTATCATGTGTTCACACTGTCCCCTGTGGATAGAGCTTTCTCCCAAACCACAGGACAATCACGCCAGCTTCTCCAAGAGGCAGACATGAGATCCATGGTAGGCTCTGACATGATGAACACGCATCTTCAGAACATCAAACAACGAACGAAGAAGGTTATCCCCTCGTAGTTTGCCTGTACAAAAGATCCTCCACAAAAGTCCAGCTCCCTCTCCTACCACCCTTTCGTACTCTCTAATACACTATCACCAGGCAGGATAAGGATGATGTCACCCTGCTTCCTAGGTCAGGCTCTCCTCAGCTGAGCATCTAAACTTGCATACAGCCCAGCACAAAGCAAGGTCCCAGTGTCCCTCTGAACAGTCTCCCACTGTGCAGCTGAGCCCTGTTGCCTTACATCCTAGCTCAGGGATGCCCTGGGAAGCCCTTGAATTTCACTGTCTCTCTTATTCACAGGGTCCAGCTTATTCATCTTGTCACATGAACATCCCAGTGGCAGGTTTCTCTCACAGTTTGGGGTGGGGGGTTGTTTTTGCTGTTACTTGGAAGCAGGGTCTCACTCTATAGCTCAGGGCATCCTGGAATTTACTGTGTAACCCAGGTTGGCCTTGATCCCACAGCCTCTCTAGTGCTGAGGTTACAGGTCTAACCCAGCATAGCTAGCTTTGTCTTGTTTGAAACCCTGGTGGCATAAACACACAGGGAAATGGCTCAGCTAAGCCCTCCCGCCACCCAGGGTCTCCAAAGGACTCGCCTCACTGTGACAGCTATCCTGACAGCAGTCAAAGGGTCCATGCTTGAACCTGTCACACTACCCAAGGTGCACATGCAACTTCCAGTTGTTCAACACAGGTGGGTTCAGGCTTACTGAGCACATGCAGGGGCGCCGTTGACTTCAATGAGCCAGACCTTCAGCCCCTCGTCCACCATGAAGTCGAAGCCAAAGAGCTGGAAGCTCTGGTAAGGGAGGTACTTGGTGCTGATGGCAGGCTCCACACTCATGAGGCAGCTCCTGCGAGGTAAAAAGGGAGAGCTAACTGAGAATGGAGTGGTGGGGGCAGAAGGAACACACAGACCATACTTGGAAGATCTTATACCAAGTGTGCATAAAAGTCGGTTTCTACTTACTTATCTTTTTCAATGGATAAATTCACAAACCGATTACTCAAGAGAAGGCTACCTGTCAGACAACTTGTGAGGCACGAATGCATTGATCCTGTTCTTCCAGATCAAAGCTACTAGTTCAGAGCCCACCACAAGCAGCTCTTCAGCACCAAGTCACCACGCATCTCCATCAATGCAGATGTCACTAGCTGTTGCCATAGTTGTTTATGAGAATCGCCAGCTGGCCAGTGAGCCCCAGACACTTGCCTGCCTCCCCTGTGCTGGAGTTTCAAGTCACTATACCAGGCTTTAAACATAGGTGCCGGGATGGACCTCAGGTCCTCATGCTCGCACAGGGATGACATGGCCAACTGAGCCAGCTCCCCAGACCACATCCCTGGATTCTGCCTTGTGAAAAGTGGACTGATACTTGGTAAAGCAGGATGCAGAGGATCCAGGAAGCACTGATTCCTCTTGCTAGCTCTAGATTTACTGCCAACTACTGCTAATGGAACATCTAAGATTACAAGTATTCAAACTAGGCATTAAAATCTATCACAAAATTCTTATTAGCACCGACAGCTTTTTTGGAACTCACTCCGTAGACCAGGCTGGCCTCGAACTCACAAAGATCCACATTCCTCTTCCTCCTGAGTGCTGGTATTAAAGGTGTGCACCACCATGCCTGGCTAATGCCTGTGATCCTTCTGCCTTCACCTCTTTCGGCAAATCCTACCAGCATGCACCACCACAGCTGGCTCCAGGCATCCATTAATAAACACTGCTCTCACGAACCAGCATGCCTGGATTCTTTACCATTGATGCCAATAAACACACATATATTACTCAGGAATTAAAAAACAACATGACAAAAACTTTGGAAGACTAATAAGATAGGATAATGGAGACGGGTGAGTATGACCAAATTATGTTAAAAGCAGGCATGAAAGTGTCAATGTACAGGATGTGTGCCACCACCACCTAATGGAACACAGTGTAATCCTGCACGCAAGAGGCTGAGGCAGGGGGTTCTTGAATTCAAAAACAGTCTGGATTACATAAACTTTGTCTCAAAACAAACAATGGGCTGGAGAGTTGGCTTGGCAGGTAAGAGCACTGGCTTCTCCTCCACAGAACTCAGGTACAGTCCCAGCACCCACACTGGGGCAGCTTACAACCACCTATAACTCCAGATCCAAGAGACCTGATGCCCTATCCTGGCCTTAGCCAGCAACTGCACACACATGGCATACACATAAAGATAAAAGGATAGACACATTAAAAAAAAATCTTAAAACAGACAAGATAAAAACCCTGACAAACAAAACCAGGGAGGGAGGAGTGAAGAAAAAAGAAAAGAAAAAGGCACTCTATTAACATTTTAAAGCATTTTCTCTATGAAAGAATATCTTTGAGTGATTTTTTTTTTTTTTTTTTTTTGTCCTTGTTTTGGACACAGGATATCATTGTGTCTCCCTGATTGCCTGGAACTCTATGCAGACCAGCCTGGCTTCAAACTCATAGATATCTACCTGCCTCTGCTGGGATTAAAGACGTGCATCACTGTCAGAACACTATCCAAGAATGAAGTCATGTGAGAATTCTGAGTGCTTGTACGAAAACTCCAAAAAAACAAGAGTCCATGTCCTCAGTTTATTCGAAACACAGAATTATTCTTGGAATGTGTTTTCATGCTCCTCCCAGTTGTAACAGGTAGAGGTTAGTTTATTTCAGATTACTCGATTATAGCTGGCTCTTGTTATTTGTTTATATACCTTATGAAAAAGCATGTTTTTGCCACTTGTGGCTTGTCCTGTGAATGTACACTTTACTCAGGTGACTTGTCTTCACCCTCAGAATATAAATTGTCTGAATAAAGTTGGCTACTGTACGCGACATTTGTCTAGCTCCTCCCAAGCTCCACTGCCTCAAGAGTGGCAAACACACCACCATGCCTGGCTCACTTAAAAAGTGTTTTAATTACAGTGGAACCAGGATGTATCCCTGGTTCATGAAAGGACTTCGGGAGCCCATTCCCCATAGAGGGATACATACTCCCTTAGCATACAGACATGAGGGAGGGCCTAGGCCCTACTCCAAATGACTTGACAGATTTTGATGATCCTCCTGGAAGGCCTCACCCTCTCTGGGGAGTGGATAGGGGGATGGGACAGGGTGTGTGGGGGGGGTGGGCATGGGAGGCTGGAAGGGAGAGGGAACTGGGATCGATATGTAAAATAAGAAGAAAATATATAAAAATGTAAAAAAAGTGTTTTAATTAAAATATATTTAAAATATAATTAAGCAAAGGTTAGCAGTTTAATGAAAGAGGGGCAACAACAGAAAAGGATAAAAACACAGGCATTGCAATCAGACACACAAAACTGAACCTTTTATCTGCTGGGAGGTTAGGATGAATAATCCACAGGAAAGGGTTTTTCATCATTAGAGGCTGCAGGCAGTACACCTTTTTTTAGCTGGAGTAGGAGTCAACATGGGGGCTGGCTAGGGAAAGAAAAGCTGAGAGCCTTGAGCAGCATTCAGGAACAGCACCCCTGCAGGGCAGGGAAGACTGCAGGCAGTGGGGAAGCACCCAATAAACAGCGCCTGAAGTTGGGGTTCCTCCTCCGTGTAAAAATCCAGAGAACGTGACATGTAACAATTCCAGACAAAGGATAGGTCTAAAACATAAGAACTAAGAAAAAACAAAACTAACATATAAGGAATAAAACCCAGACGTCTGTCAACTGCTGAAGGGATAAACTTTGGAATATCACACAATGGAATAATACACAGTGACAAAAAAAAAAAAAAAAAAAAAAAAAAATACTACTGCTGTGTAGATAAATACAGTGTCGTGATGGGGACAGGAACCATTTCACTGTTTAAGACAAGCAGACATGACTCTGTAGCGATAAAGATGGAAAAGGAAGGCTACCTTGGTGGAGGACTCTTATTCTAAAGGAGTTAAAAGGAATCCCTGGGGATGCGAAATCTATTTTATTTCTTTTTATGTCTTTATTTGTTTATTTATTTTGGAGGCAGGGCCTCATTATATAGCCCAGACTAGCCTGGAGCCCCCAATCCCGCTGCCTCAGTCTGGCAGGTGCCAGGATCAAAGGAGTGTGCCCACTATCGATATTTTATATCATGATAGTATGGCCATGATTAGGTGACTATGAACTCACTGAACCACATCTTGGGGTACTATACTTCACTTTTTAAAATTACTAGGTTTTGTAACCTATAATAAAAAGTACTGACACTAAGAAAAAACACCTTCTAGGTGTACAAAGAAATGAATCGAGAGGGGAGAAAAGACATTAAAATAAATCAGGAGCAGTAAATACAGATACAATGTATACTATTAAATAAAAGATATGCAGACAGGATCCCTACAGCTAGCTAGAGCAGATGAAATCAGTGAGCTCTGAGTTCAATTGGGAGACCCTGCCTTCAATATGCCTCTACCTACACAAGCACACATGTGAACCCACACATGGACACAGGCACCTACACATATACATGTGAACACACATACAGACACACAAACCACACATATCTACACCTGCAAAAATAAAAATAGATAAAAAGTGAAACCACACAATGTCCCTATGGCTATTATAATGGGATTATGAAAAATCCACAAACAACAGGATAATAAGAAAAACTGCTGATATCACACAAGGCAGGGTGTAAGCAACAGGGAAAATAAAAAATTTTGATATGATAAAAATAAAAACACAACCTCATATAATTTCCGGAATGTAGAAGAAATAGAGACATTGAATAATTTATTGTTACAAATGTTTGTCTTTTTTAACAGAAACATCTCAAATCAATTATCTAGCCTTTTACCTTGAATAAAGAGTAAACAACAACAACAACAAAAATTAAATTTCCCAAAGAGCAGACAAGAGACAATAATAAAAATCATAAAAAAAAACCAGTTAATACGGCCTAAAATTGATTAAAAAAAGATTTAATCCAGCCAAGTAAAAAAAATTATCAATACCTTGAACAAAAGAAGTATCATCATCATAGAGTCTACAGATGATAAAAGGAAAATTATAAATGGTTTCTGCCCATCAATTAGACGGTGTGACAGAATCTCTTAAAAGGCATAAACACCCAATGTTCTGGCAAGAAGAAACAGATAAATCAAAAAGGGTCAGTGAACTTACCTTATTATGTGTTTGATTTGCGTCAAAATGCCACTTTCTAAGGTGATATTCAGAGCGCTGCTTAGGTACTGGTTGAACTCCTCGAAGAACATTTCATTCCCTTCTTCGTATTTCCCATAGTTCTTTGAGAACTCTTTCTGAATGCAGTGGTTGGTCAAATGGCAGGTCTTATCTTGGAAATTATCTACATGATATGGTTCTGAAGCTGTTCGGAGCACACCCTCTCTATAGAGGTAGATGTTATACTGATGGTCAACCAGGACCCAGCTTCTGCAAGCCAACAAACACACAGTTTTATTCAATCCCCACATCTTGATTTATTATTATTTTATTATTTATTTATTTATGTTTGAAACAGGGTCCTCTGTGAAGTCCTGGCTGGCCTGGAAACCTCCTTTTACGATATCTGCTTGCCTCCTTGCTGGGATTAAATGTGTATACAACCACCTGGCACACAGCTTGCATTTTTACAGGAATGGGACAGTGAAGAAAAGGAAAAGGTTCTAGAGTTATGTAAGGCAAATCGTGAGTTAGCCAAAATAGTGGATTAGCACCATAATGAGGCAAATGAAGTATGTCACCACAAGTAATGAGAGGATTGAGTTCCTTTTAGAAATAGACAATCTTGAAGGCTATGCATGTGTTTGAGGTTAACCAATACACATTTGCCTTTCTACATCTTGACTGGTACTACAATCTCAATAACATTTTCTACACAGAAGAACTCAAACAGAAGTAGCAACAAAGATGAGAGGCTCAGCTGTGCTGTGTGGCAACGCGCTGGATACAATGTTCCACTGAAGTCACATCACCTTCTCGACTGGCCCTAACACATTCTGAAAAGATGGCTGAGGCCAAGGCTGTGGGCAGCAAACATTACCGAATGTCAAACTTGCGGTGACCAGGCTCAAGGAGCAGAGGGCGCTCGAGGTATTTCTGGATCACGTGCACTTGACCCTGGTTGTCTATGAAATCCAGAAGTTCTGACGCCTCCGAGGAGATGAGGATGCCTTCACCTAACGAACAAAAGTGGCACAGACACCAGCTCATTCCAGAGGGAACCAAAAGATCCATAGAAGGGATTCACTGGCCTGCCTGATCCTGGATCACTCTCCTTACCTCTCCACTGTCCCTCACACTTTCCTCTCTCCCTGCCAAAAGCATCCAGGGTCATCCCATTAACTTTCTCTATATAGTGCTCTCAATACTAACTTGGCAGGCCATGAAATTTCAAGTTTTAAAACATATTACAGTTATTTATTTTTTTGTGCGTATATGTACATGCCATACTGCTTTTGTGGAGGTCAAAAGAATTGGCTTTTTCCTTCCACCTTGGGGGTTCTGGGGATTGAACTCAGGTTGTCAAGTTCGGCTAACCGTCTCTCTGACTCGAAATTTCAGTTTTATATAAACTGTCTCTGAGTCATTTAAGATATCACTGTCACCGGTTACTGGTTATAATAAGGATTATGGTCTGTGATCATCAGATTCACTTTGAAGATGATGCCCTATAGAAATGCCAAGAAGGCGAGGATACCAGAGCACAAAGGTTAGGGCACAGATGTAAGGCAGTGTGCCCTGCAGCACAATAGAGAAGATCAAGGGCATGGGAACCGTCTATCAATGGGAACAAGAGACACAGCCTTAAACAATTTACCGAAATACAATTCCCTAGAAAAGCCAACTTTGTAATTCAATGGTTTCTAGTATATCTAAGAGTTCAACAGTCATTAGAATCTATTTTTAGAACATTTTCATCATCTCTCCCTAGCCCCTCACCACTAGTAACCCACTGTCTCTATGGACCTGCATCCCTGCACATTCAGTATGAACTTCATCACACAGGACAAGGCCACTTGTGTGTTCTCAGTATAACAAGTTTTCAAAAAAAAAAAAATTTCACAGAGAAAGATTTATTTTGATGAGGTTTAATTTCTCAGTTCTTGACCTTATGGGTTAACACTATTGGTATCATGTTTAAAGATTCGTTGCCACTCTCTCACCCAATTTTAGTTTTACCTTTTACATGAACTATGAATTAGGTTTGACTTGATGGATTATGATGTTGAATGGTTTTTTTCCTGTGAATATGCACTGTATATAGCACCTCTTGTTGAAATGTTTATCCTTTTTTTTTTTTTTGCATGTTTATGAGTGTACATAATGCATGTGTGTGTTAACATTTCCATACATGGGGGTGCACATGTGCATGCCACTACACACACTATGTGCATGTGTGCAGGGACCCCAGGCTGATGCCAGTTATCTTTCTTAAACTGCTCTTTTCAACCTTAAATATTGAGACAGGATCTCTCGCTGAAAGCAGAGCTTGCCATTTCGGCTAGGCTGGCTAGCCAGCTTGCTCTGGTTCCCATTTCCATCTACACAGTCCAGAATCCCTGACCAGGGAGTGGGCCCACTCACAAGTGAGATGAGTCTTCTCACTTCAGATACCGTAGTCATGATAACCCCCCTGCACAGGGTGCCCAGAGGCTCCCAGGTGATTCTAGAGTTCATCAAATTGACAACAACTGTCAATAAAAGAAAGGTAGGACTGGGGATAGCACATGGTTTGCAAATATGAAGCCAGAGTGCAGATCCCTGGAATTCATGTAAAAAGCCAGGCAGGCATTGGCTGTTCTGTTGTAATCTTGGTACCTGGGAGGCAGCAGCATGGCTCCTCCCCGGGGAAAGCTCTCTTTTTCAGATTGCAGAGACAATATGACCAGCTGCTTCAAGCTCCTGTGCCCTCACTCCCTGGCCACAACGGATGGTGCCTTGGACTGGCTAAAACGGGCCCTTCCTCCCTCCCTCCCTTCCTTCCTTCCTTCTTTCCTTCCTTCCTTCCTTCCTTCCTTCCTTCCTTCCTTCCTTCCTTCCTTCCTTCCTTCAGGTGCACTGCTGGGATGTTTTCTCACAGCAACAGGAGAAGAAAGACAAATGCCTTTTGCATCTGTCAGAAATCGGGTGGACATATATGTTTGGGTCTACTTTCGAGTAACCAGTCCTGTTTTGTAGTTCAGGCTTCTGTCCCTCTGACACACTGCGGTCTCCTGGGCACTACAGGGATACAGTATGCCTTAATCTTACCTGCTGAGTAGAGTGAATGGCTCTACTTTATCTTTTTAGAGATCATTGAACATACTATATAGCCTGTGCCTTTTCTATGTGAATTTCAGACGCTATAGGAAAACCTTGCTGAGTTCTTAACTGGAGTCACAGTAACCCTGCAGACCAGGAACTGACACACTTCCTCCACTGAGTTCTATGGTTTCGGTCACAGCCTGTCTCCACTCTGCAGGTTTTTAAGCCTGAGATGATACTATGAGCCTTATCCCTTTCTAGGCATCCACTCCACACAGGTATTGAGTGCCTGTGTGGAGGGTACAGAAGCAAACAAGACATAAATCTGTGTCTACTGAGGCTTATAAAGTGTCAAGGAAATGGCTAGATGTGATACAGTCCCTAGAAGACATTAGTACATGCAGGCTAAAGACACAGAAAGCAGTGGGTGTAGAGGCCATTGCAGACCAGAAGAGCCTTCTCTGACAAGGCAATGTCTGAGCTGATGGAGACATATTCCAGGTGTAGAGGAAAAATTTATCTGTGTATTTGAGGGATCCAAGTCTTTGTGTCTACAGCACAGTGAGCAAGGCCAAGAATAGAGAATGACATCAGAGACACCAGGAAGTATCTGATGGGGTGGGCTCCCACCAGGACTCTGGAGCCATCCTAAATGCATTAGGAAGTAACATGATCAGATTTACATTTTTAAATCATCACTCTGTCTGGCAAGATAAGAGCTGGCTGAGGGTCACATTGCAGCAATTGGCTAGAGAACTTGGTGGCTTTGATTTTGAGTGGTAGTGGTAGATATTATAAGAACCTAATCCTGGATGTATTTTGAAGGTAGCCCCGGTGTGGCATTACTGCACTTGGTAGAGACTATCAAGAAAAGGAGGGATCTGGGATTTGGGACTTCAGAGACTGGGTGGGCAATGGAATCACACACTAAATAGGATGTGATGCAGCAGGCTAAGATGGACAAGCTGGGAAGGATATGAAAAGTTCTGTGTGTCAGTTTAAAAGGCTTCCTAAAGACATGAGGGAATGAGGGACGGTACCACTGAACCCAGAGCTTAAAGTGAGGACTCAGGCCGTCAGCATTCAGGAGGCTACAGAAATCTTTAAAGGGCTCTGGCCAAAGTTTGGAAGGTAGAGTATTTGCCCAGCATACATAAAGCTCCAGGTTCTACCCCCAGGACCCAATAAAACCAAGCATGAGAGTGCATGCCTATAATCCTAGCACTCAGAGTCAGGAGTTTCTGGTCATTTTTGGTCACTTTCAGAGTTTGAGGCCAGCCTAGGCTACATGAGGCCCTATCTCAAAAAAAATTTTTTTTCCAGAAACAAACTGGACACAGTCTTCTGATTGTGATGACTCTGAGTGGAGTCATTCATCTCAATATATCAATTAGGGCCTGTGGAATAGCCCAGTGGGTAAGGGTACTTCCTGTCAACCCTAACAATCCAAATTCAGTCCCTGGGACCCATATAGTAGAAGCAAAACCAGCTCCTGAAAGATCTGCTCTGACCTTCACATGTACACACTGGCATCCATGCCACTCTCAAAACAACAAAATGAATGCATCACTAATAGCCAGTGTGCCACTGAATGATGCTGAAGAGGATCCCACAAGTGACAGAAGGTGGCAATGTAACTTACCCTTGGCACCGGCTGATGACTTTGCAATCCAAACATTGCCTTCCCCATCCTCTTTCTTTCTGTTGTAAGAAGCCAGGAAGAATTCTCTCTCATCTGTCCTGGTGTTACTGACTGGAAGCTGGATGCCATTCTGGGCTGGAGCGACTGGCGTCTTGAGGTTAGTTGGATAAATCACATATGACTCTGGGAACCATGTGCTGGATTCAGACAGCTCAGGACTGGTCTTGACTAGCCTGGCAAATGACAGAGGGTCAGTCTCTGTTCCCAGGGAGTGGTCACCTTGCTCAGAAGGGCTGCTGCTTTCCTCCAAAGTTTTCCCAGAAGCCAACACCCAGTCTGGTTTCTTCTCTATTCACTCTTAGGCTGGAAGGACAGATTTCTAAGGACACACCTCCAATAATGCATCACACTATCTTGTGTGACTCCAAAGCCACATCCTGGCTAAAGTCTCATGGTGGCCTGGGAATGTGGGGCCCTCTGCACCACACACACCAGACTTAGTGGTGCTTGCCTATAATTATAGTATTTGAGGGGTGCAAAAAGGAAGGTCAGGCATTCAAGGTCTGAGACCATCATGAATTACAAGAGACCCTGGCTTGAGACAAATAAACAATAAAACCCCACAAGGCTCAGAAATGTATCTCTATAAAAGCTCAGTGCAATCCTAAACTGACACCTTTCAACCAATATGTTGTACTAGATAGATCCAAGTAAAAATGTAGGTCTTCAATCCTGGCATTCCAGGAAGATCTCTAGAACACAAGGCCAACCTCGTCTACATCGGGGAAAAAAAAAAAAAAGTGAGACAAGAGAAAAATGTTTGAATAACTAGCAAAAATACTATCTTGGTGCAGCTGGAGAAAAATCGAGGGGAGAAAAACTACACTATCTGCTTGATTACTCAGTCTAAATCATCCAAACACTATTTTTAAGTCCTTTATTTCTTGCCTTTAGCTTCGGCTGTTATCCTGACAGAATAAAGATGGAACCCTTCTGATGGGACACAGGTCAGGCGCAGGCGCAGACCTAAGGAAATGCCTTCTGCTTCCAGAACGACATCATACCACAGAAAATAGAGTCAGGCCCTGGGCGAGGCACATACGTGTGAGGGTTTCTCACCACACCAGCTCTCCTGTTGCTCGCAGAGCTGGGGCTTCAAGAACCTGCTTCACAAATGAAGAACGGAGTCACAGAGATGTAAAGTTCCTACATCACACTCGTGTGAGGTCCACCCAGGATGCACTAACTCTCTTGTTAAGCCTATCTCCAGGACCTGGAGTCACCAAGGTCTAGCCAGAACAAGCACGGGCCTCTCTGAAGCTACACACACTCTTGTGTCTAGAAAACTGCTCATGTGAGTTCTATATCAAGATTCGCCTACAAAACTCAGTCTGAGCAAACACCAAAAACACCATTTTAAATTAAGACTTAAAATGGAATGGCTGGGGAGATAGATAGCTCTGTGGGTAAAATGTTTGCTGTGTAGGCATGAAGACCTGACTTGATCTCCAGCCCCCGCAGAGAAGGCAGTGTGCTGTGACGTGCTCTTGTAATCCCTGGGAGTGGGAGACACACAGATCCCTGCGGCCTCTTGGCCGCCAGCTTATCCTACTGTCGCAAGACATTTTTTCCTGACAGGTTTTCTCTGTGTAGCCCGGACTATCTTGGAACTTGCTCTGTAGAGCAGGCTGGCCTTGAACACACAGAGATCTGCCTGCCTCTACCCCTCAAGTGCTGGGATTAAAGGCCTTTGCCACCTTGCCAGGCCAAAAACAAACAAATGAATAAGGTGGAAAGTATTTAGGAATGACACCTGAGGCCTGAGATTATTCTCTGGCCTCCATGGTTATTTAAACATTCCCCAAAACATGTGTGTACACACTCATACATACCACACCACACCCAGATTTTAAATAAAGCCACTTTAACAACAAACAGGATTTGAAAGTGTCTTCAACCCAAAGAGACTAAGAAATATAAACCAACAAACCTCTAGCTGCCCAGATGTTCAGCTCTGACCACTGTCCTAAACGGTCATCATGGGTCACATGCAAGCCGCAAGCATTTGAATGATGGCCAGTACGACTCAGGAAGTAAACCATAAACAATATATCAGAAGACTGATGCACTGTACTAGTATTTTTCCAGTAAGCATAACCTGATTGATTTAACAGGATGCATTTCCTTTATCACCCTGTTGCAGCGCTCGGGTCACACGTGGGTCACACGTGGGTGCTGTTTTTACCAGCGTACACAAAAGCATCGCTGTCCTATCCAGGGACAGCAGATTAATTCAGCTCAAGCAATGCTTATTTTCTGTTCTTGGATGAGATGTTACGTGTTTATTATACAGTAAGGGAAGCTAGCTATGCACACCATGAGTGGCATCTAAGGTGGAATGTGACTATTTTTCTGGTTTAAAAAAATAAATATTGGTGTTAAGAGATGCTTCAGTGGATAAGAGCACTGCTGCTCTTGCAGAAGACCTGGGTTTGGTTCTCAGCACTCACATGGTGGCTCACAACAGTTTCAGTGAAGGATATTTGATGAGCAATTTTCTCTCCACAGTCAAGAAAGAATCAATACTATTAGTGGTTGAGATCATATACCTAACCAAAACATTATTTTTTAAAAGACTTACTTTATTACATTTAAGTGTGTGTGTATGTGTATCTGTGTGTAAGTGCACTTGTGAGTGCGTGTGTCAGGAGCAAGCATAGGATCCCCTGGAGCTGTAGGGTAGACATGATTGTGAACTGCCCTATGGGTGCTGGCAACCAAACGTATATCCCCTGCAAGGCACTCTTAACCACTGAGCCGTCTCACCAATCCTTGAACAAAATCATTCTTAAACATTTCTTTGCCCCTTGCAGTGCTGAGGACAGAACCTAGGGGCTCCCACATCTAGGAAAGCCCTCTATAACTCTATAACACACACCCTGACCTGCCAATAACTTTTTAACAGGACCTAAACTTGGAACTTCAGTTGGCCACAAAATAGCTTCCTTTCTTACGCAAAAAGAAAACCATTGTATATGGACAGATGAAAAACATAAATTCTTTTAAGAAAAAAGCTCGAAAAGTATTATGCTGGCCAGTTTTAAGTCAACTGACACAAGCTAGAGTCATCTGAGAGGGAGCCTCACATGAAAAAACATACCCATGGTAAGACCTGGCTATAAAGCATTTTCTTAATTAGTGATTGATGGGGGAGAGCCCAGCCCATTGCAGGTTGGACTACTGGTCCTGAGTTCTATAAGAAAGCAGACTGAGCAAGCCATAAGGAGTAAGTCAGCAAGCAGCACTCTTCCATAGTCTCTGCCTTCAGGTCCCTGCCCTGTCCTGATTTCTTTCCGTGATGGACTACAAATGTGGGAGTGTAAGCCAAATAAACCCTTTCCTCCCAAGTTGCTTTATGTCATGGTGTTTCATCACAGCAATAGTAACCCTAACTAAGACAGATATTTCTCAAGTTGTATAGTTAATCCCCAAGTAGTCATTGGCTACAAACTCTAATATCAAAAATTAATTGAAAAATTTGAAAATATTGACGTTTTCCTTAGCCTTAAGAAGTTATGATATAAGCAGATGCTGCCCAATTAATGCTTTGGGTATGCTTATATGGAAAAATATTGTTGAAGTTCAGCCTAAATAAACAATGTTGAACTCATGATGTAGGCATCTTTTAATATTTTGTATCTGTCAAAGAATATCATCCACATGTAAAAAATTAGTTTGTCATGACAGACAGAACGGTTTACTGGGATGGTGATACATGTTTCCTTTTCTACTGCATTCCACCATATGGTACATATTGGAAGCACTTGCTTCTCTGCAACTGACTACACAAACTAGAAACATTTGCTTTCTCAGGCGTACTCTATAAAAAGTATCATGGCCACAGCTGCCCAAATGGCTCAGTATACACTTGTAAACATCATGTCACATGAATCACCAGTTCATGAAACTATTAAAAAATGCAACAGAAGACCAAGTCCTTGGGTTTTCTGCCAATACTCTGATAGAGAGGTAAAAACATCTTAACTTCAGTGCTTATGTTCTTGAAGTAGAAATACTTGCCAGGTCATCATTTTCACCCAGCAAGCCATCAGTTCATTCAAAATTTATAGATTTTTAAATGGCAGTGTTATACACAATCTCACATATATTCATATTACACACACATGAGCTAAATGTATACACCAAGGAAGAAACTGTACACATAACTTGTGCTCCAATTTCATATCATGTTAATAATAATGATTTTACATATTGTATTTGTGTTTTGAATGTTGGCTGAAAAACTAAAAAACTGAAAATATGTCAAAATTATACTAAAGTTACTTTTCAATATGTTCACTACCCCTTTAAATCTAATATTAACAAAATCTGCTGACATATAATTGGGATACAGTTAATGTGAACTTTTTTCAAATGTATGCTTTTACTTCGAACTCAAGTCAATCTTTCTTAAAATGAATCCATTTTGCCAATATATATATGAATATTAAAGGAAAGGTTTGCCTGATGATCCAGTTTCCAGTTACTTAAAACTTTTTTTTTTTTTTTTTTTGAAAGGGAAGGAACAATTTGTTGGAACAGAAAGTTCCAACCAAAAGTTGGAATAGTTTGGGTACAGAAATCTACTTTTTTGTTTGATGTGTGTGTGTATGTGTGTGTGTGTGGAGTCTCATGTAACCCAGGCTGACCTCCTTGGGACTTTGTTGTGTCTACTAAGTGAACACTCTACCAACAGAGCCACATCCTAACCCTAAATCTACTTTTTCTTTTTTTTTTTTTTCTAGAAAAGGGTTTCTCTGTTTAGCTTCGGAGCCTTTCCTGGAGCTTGCTCAGTAGACCAGGCCAGCCTTGAATTTACAGAGATCCACTTGCCTCTTCCTCCCAAGTGATAGTATCAAAGGCATGCGTCATCACTGCCCGGTTCTAAATCTACTTTTTCAACCATAGTTTAAGAAATTTAAATTTAGCTAAAGGGTTTCTAGTGAAAATGTGACCTCTGAACCAGGACATGCTACAAATTTAAAATATGTATCAGATTTCAAAGACAGAATGAAAAAAGTATAATTCATTTTTTATATTAATAACATCTTTAAAAGAATATAATTTAGGGTGTGGGTTTTTGTGGGGGCTAATTTTCATAAAGCTGGGGATCAAACCCAAAGCATTGCACATTAAAAGGAAGTGTTTCACCAATAAGCTACACTCTTACCCTCACTGACTTAGTTGAGGTTACTGTTGCTGTGATGAAACACCATGAACAAAATCAACTTGGGGATGAAAGGGCTTATTTCATTCACAGTTCCAAAGAACAGTTTATCAAAAGCAGTGAGGGCAGAATCCTGGAGGTGAGAGCTAATGCATTGGCCATGGAGGTGTGCTGCTTACTAGCTTGCTCCTCCTGGCTTGCTCAGCCTGCTTTCTTATAGCACCCAGTACCACCAGTCCTAGGATGGCCCCACCCACTATGGGCTGGGCCCTCCTCTATCAATTACTAATTAAGAAAATGCCTTACAGCCAGATCTTATGGGGGCATTTTCTCAGTTGAGGCTCCCTCCTCTTAGATGACTTTAGCTATGTTAAGTTGACATAAAACTATCCAGCACCTCCATAATCTGGATTTATTCACTTAAATAAAATAGATTGACTTGATGGCAAAGCCTTGCTGTTTTAGGTCTAAAATTGCACGTGACTAGCATCCTGTTTCTGTTGGGCAGTGCTGTTTTGTAAGGTGGTCTTGGTTTGGAATCCCTAACTTCCAGTACAGAGCCACGGCTAAGCTCTGCATGAAGACCTTTGCATTCTTCCCTTCCTTCAGCAGCCAGGTTAGAAAGCAATTGTGCAACTGCAAGTTAATCCACACCTACACAGGAGTAACACTCAAGAGAAAAAGCCTGCCACCCTGCCAGGAGATAAAAAAAAAAAAAAAAAGTCCTTCAAGGGCTCTAGGCTGTGGCCATAGGTTCTTCATGAATTTCTGATACTCCCTGAAGTGACAGGAAGAAGGAACAGGTAGTCTAAGATGCAGCATAGAACCCTATCAAGGCTCTGGGAAGCCCTCTCAGGCAAGCCTGGCCATACTGCCCTATTTGTACAGATTAGAACCCTCCTGGCTCAGTATAAACTGCTGTGGCCTCAAACCCACAGTTGATGCCCCCACTCCTCAGGTGCCATTCTATCCCACAAAATGAGAGATCACCTTCTAAGTGTCTAGTATCCCTTCAATCCATACAGTCACAACAGACACACTGCAAAAGGGAGCCAGTGTCTCCTGGAATTGCTATAGCCCCTGGCAGAAAAACTTAGATAACAAAGTAAGTTGATGATAATGGTGATTACAGATGACATATTATGTTACTCTGGGTCAGAGAATCGGTACTGCCACAGCCTTCTAAGACCATTTTGCATATAGGACACTGGGAGTCAGAGTGGTGCTGTCCAAGGTCATGAATTCTCTCTGCCTCATTACAGCTTTGAATATGCAAATATGCAAAGCACTATTATTTTTATAGCATCCTCTGCTTCCTACTTATGAAAGCAAAACTCTACTTTTGTCTTTATTTCTCTGTGTGGGTATGTTCACATTCCAAAGAGTGTAGGTGCCCGCAGTGGCCAGATGAGCTGGTCAGAGGCAGTTGTGAGCTGTGTATCGTGAGTGCCGGGATCTGAACACAAGTCCTCAGGAAGAGCGGTATGTGTGCTCTTAACTCCTGAGCCATCTCTCCAGTCCTGGTCTTTTACATTCTAAACACAAAAAGAATGTGTTGGCCGGGCAGTACTGGCCCACACCTTTAATCCCAGCATTTGAGAGGCAGAGGCAGGCAGAATCTCTGTGAATTCAAAGCTAGCTTGGTTTACAAAGCCAGTTGCAGGACAGTCAGAAATGCTGTCTGGAAAAACAAACAAACAAGCAAACAAATGAACAAACAAAATAAAATACAACATACAAAGACTTTAGGAAGCCTCACTCTTTTAGGAGTTGCTGCTAAATCAAGAAAATCCATTCCAGAGAAGAAAAATGGGAAACCAGAAGAACCACCACATCCAAAGAAAAATAGAGATGCTACCATATGCACCCAAGCTCTTAAGTTCAAAAGAAACAGCAGCAAGGAAAAAGACCATTTTGTATTGACTCCCATCTCCTAGTGTCTCTATGTGAATGCTATCTGACTATTCATATATGTTTATGAATTGCAGAGAAAGAGTTCAGGAGACCTACTATAGCCCTGATCTTAGGGACCAGACTGAGCTTCCATATGAAAATGACATTAATGATGAGGATGATGACAAGAGTCATTATTACCATCACACTTATAGAGAAGAAAGTTAAAGCCCAAATACCCTTGTGCTGCATCCACTCCCCTAGTTTAACCCTCATAATTGCTTTGTGAGGGAGCCACTCAGGCTTAGAGGGATGAGAAGATTTGCCCATTAATTAGATTCTTCAAAGAGCTGAGGTTAATCCCAAGCTGTCGACCCTGGATCTCAGTCACCATATACTGCTGAATTCCTCTACCTTATAATAGCATCCTTGTGATATCTGGCTACACTCCAATGGCTCAGAGATGGACAGTTGTTGCTCTCTGTCTGAATGTCTTCTGAGGTGCCTCTAGCTACTTGAGAGTCTTCTGAGGATGTCTGTGCACCCTTCTTCAGGGACCAGAAATGCTTTGCAACCAATCGCCACCCCACCCTTCCCCCTGCCCTTTCCCCACAAGAAGAGAGTATGGGAAAGTTTCTAGGTGAGCAAATGCCAAGAGAAAGTGGAACTGCTCCTGACTGACATGACAGCAGATGCTCAATCTCTCTTCAAGTGTGACGACTCTGAGATGTCATCCATGTCAGGACATTGGAGTAAGACTTCAGCTAAAATGACTCCCAACTCACCCTGCCCTACCCTGCCCCCTCGCCTGGAGATGGGTTTGCCTTGTATAACTTCCAAGAAATCACTTACACTAGAACACCCCCTTCCAGAGGCTCAGGCTCTGCTTCAAGAGCCTCACCTAGGAGACAGGCAGGGTTTAGTAAGGGATATACCGCAAGGCCTTAAACTGTAGTCAAAGCAACCTAGAGGAGGCCACAGCCCCAGTATCTGTTGACTTTTAAATCAGTGGTGGCTCACACCTTTAATCCCAGCACTTGAGAGACAAAAGCAGGTGGATCTCTTTGAGTTCAAGGCCTGCCTGATTTACAGAGATAGTTCCAGGCCAGCCAAAGCTATTACACAGAGAAACCTTGTCTTGGGGGAAAAAAAAAAGCGAAGTTTTTTTTTCCCACTCCTTAAAATAATCTCTTACATTGGCCTAACTGCTTCAGGATGAAAGCTAACACCATTTATATAAAACCCCGAAAATGGAGGTCTTCAGGAACACTTACTTCACTAAGGAAGCTTTTCGGCACAGTTTGTCCGCCCCCCTGTAGTAATTCACCAGCTGTACCAGCCCAGGCTCGTGACCTATAAGGAAAGAAGAGGCTCAGAATGGAAACAGAACAGGTGTGGAGTGACAATGTCAGCAGTAGCATGCAGAACAGATGTGTCAGACCCAGCTTTCCTGTGTCTGTTTCAGGCTGGTTGTCAAATGTGGGATACTTTTGCTTCTCTGTCCTCTCATTATCCCATTCTCAATACTGCAACACTGATACTGGCATGCAGGTCATCTGTGATGTGGCTGACTTCTGTCTTACTAGGAAAGTATTGGGTATTTTCTATTTCACTTCTCCTTGGTCCTGACATAGCCCTCTCTTAGCTCAACAAGCATAGGCGTGTAAATCTGCTGAGCAAGGTTACTTGCATACAGTCACACAGCCATCCCCAACCTCACTTTCCCCAAACATCACAGAAGGCAGCAGAGTATGGCACATGGACCTCAGGGAGCTTCTAGAAGCCACCAAATGAAAGAAGGTAATAGAAAGGCCCTGTGACAATATTTCCCACAAGGAAACATTTCAACAGTTCATATTACAAAAGCTTCCTAAAACCACAACAGTGGGCTTGGAGTGTGGCTCAGTGGGACAGTGCATCATCACATCAACACATATGAGGCCATGGGTTCAACCCCCAGCACCACAAAAGATGAAATGAAATAAATGAAAATAAAACTTGGAAATAAAATAACAAAAATACATTTTATTTACAAAATTTAACTCCTAAAAAAATGCTTTGCATTTCCGGTAACAAAAGGTAAAAACTTAAAAAGAGACTTTGAGTTGGTGTCAGGGGTTAACAATAATTAATCCAACAGATTACAGACCAGAGCTTTCAGGCAATATCTGAATTTCATGGCCTCCCTGGAGAGGACAGGTCCAGTTCACCGTCTTCCTGGCTCCATCTCACCCCATTGGCCCTGGCCTACCAGTGCCTGAACTGCTTTTTCCCTGGGTTTTATGCAGCCCACTTTAGACAAAATGTTGAGTACTCCCAACAGCGAGGGTGCAAAACCATAAAAATACATAAAAATAAGATGTCTGCTGGTCATCTGCAAAAGGTGCGGTGGCAGCTCAGCTACCCCACCCCAGCCTGAGTAGAGCCTTTTGGTGTGTTCTCAATACCAAGCTTCTACCTAGGCTCTTACCATCAGGCATTGTCACGTGCCAAGAGGAAGGGATGTGGTAAAGTGAGGAGGGCTGGTATTTGCTCCTGCACTCCTCAGGGAAGTTGGTTTTGTAAAACTTTCTTTGCTGAGCCCTTCCGGAGAAATCTGGTTACAAGCACATTTCTATTCTGAGATTCCTGAGACTTCCAACTGGCCACTCTACGGAGTCCCCCGACTATTTCAGTAAGGTTAAGCCATCACATCTTGATAGGGCTGTAATGTTACCCAAATGTCTTACGCAAGCTTGCCAAGTAGCTAGTTAATTCCGATCGACCTGCTTTCAATCTAGTCTCATCCATCAGTGGCCACACCTATTTCTGAAACACTCCTCTTTCCAAGCCATGGGACACTACTCTTCTGTCCTTGGAATACAACCAACCCCACACTCCCCAAGTAAATTTTTGCAAGGACCAGCTATCCAGAGAGAGGCAGGCCTTCCACGGACGACTGTGCAGTGAAGAGACAGTGAGACCAGGCTCAAGTCTGTGGGATGCTAGTTGAACCCATCTGGACAACTTCTAGATTACATCATTTAAAAGGAAGTTGTTGCCCCTTCCTACAGGAAAGTATGTGAATAAAGTGGTACCAAGCCAGCTTCCCCCATGTGGATGAGGATACCAAAGGGCAGTCAAACCCCTGTAAAAGCCATCATTAGACGCACAGTTGCGAAAGCACACTTGGTGCAGCTAAAAGGTCTGAAATGGGACACACACACACACACACACACACACACACACACACACACACACACACACACACACACACACACCACTCCCACCCACCGGCTTCCCTGGAAGCTCCCGCTTTGGGTAATTTAGTGAAATTTAGTGAATCCTTTCCAAATTCCCTGAGCCTACCGGTAGCACAAGCTTCTGGGGTTACAGCAACTCCCCCTCCACACCCACACCACACAATCCTCGGTAGCGGAAAGCTGCAAGATGACTGCAGCGGGCTCAGGGAAGCTCACGGACGAGGCCAACACTCCGGGTGCAGGGAGGGCTAGGTCACTGTCAGCAGACAGTGCAATCGCACCCAGGCTCCGTTCCGAATCCAGCTATGGGTTTAGATCTTGCTGGATCCATTTTAGATCTTCCCGAGCGAGCTACCGCCAGGAGAAGATTAATGACCTTAAAAACAAAAGCGCTGGCTCTCCGGGGCCGTTGCGAGCAGCGGCCACGAGGGGAAAGGCTCACCCAGTCTCCCAAAGGGCAGCCGGTTCCTCTCGCCCAGCATCAAGTTGAACCTGGGGTTGTCTCGCCGCAGCTTCTTCCAGTGGCCGGTGGCCAGCAGCAGTCGGGAGACCTCGGCGTAGACGCTGCTATTCTCGTCGCGCACCACGAAGGTGTACATGGCGAACGGCCGCGCGCCCCGCAGCAGCCTCACGAGTCCAAAGCACGGCTTCACCGGGTGGTCGCTGCCCCAGCCCCGCCGTCCGCCTAGCTTCGGGGCCGCGCCTCCAGGTCCCTTCAGTGCCCGCCCCGGGCGCCCGCGCCACAGCCCGAGTGGCGAGCGCCACCCGGACGCCGCGCCCACCGCCGGCGCCCCGCCCACGACCGTGATTACGCGCGTCGCTCGGGGCAGGTCTGCCGGCTGCTGCGGCTGGAGTTCTGGTGCAGGACCCGCCCTGGGCGGCCGCCCCTCCGGGAGGGACCAGTGGCACGGGGCGCAGATGTAGTCTCAGTACCCGCAAAGTGCGGTGGAGAGACAGAGTGAGATGATTCCAGCTGTGCCCAGCTAACAGCCCGCAAATACCCCTTTCTGCAGTCTGTGTGGGTCTCCCACCTAGTTCAAAATCAGATTTGATGGGTGAAAACAAAAGCTCCAAGCAGGGGTTGTCGCTCAGTTGATAGAGTGCTTGTTTAGCCAGCACCAGGCCCTGGTTCAATCTCCAGCCTTGTAAAATCGGGCACTCCTCTAAGGAGGTAGGGGAAGAAAGATCAGGTATTCAAGGTCATCCTCAGCTACTTAGGGAATTTGAGGCCAGCTGGGCACCATGCGACCCTGTCTCAAAATAAACGAACACTAAAATTCTAAGGTCCCATCCTGTATCCAAGTGTAGCTGTGTTTCCCTTCCGATCTGCTCGCTGTTGAGGAGGGCTCCTCTGGACTTTGCCTGTGGGTGAGTTCCAAACAGAACCGGGAAGCCCTGGACTCCTCACAGGTCCTGCAATTCACCAACGTTGAACCACTCTCCCTCCTCTGGACTCCAGCTTCCCCTTTTGAGTGGTGGCAGATTTGTCCTTGAAAGGATTCTTGTCCCTTGCCTGATAGCTGAGGAAACCAGCTTTGGTACTAGGAGCATCTCTATACTCACTCCTAAATGCCTCAGCAGACCGAAGCTTCACATTTTTAATTAGATTTCTGGGCGGGGGAGGGGGTTAGGGAAGAACACCACAAGGCCTCTCTCCACCCTGTTTTCCCTATCTACTGAGTACAATGTGTTCTTAGCATGATGTGCTGCTCTGCCACAGGCCCAAGAGCAACAGGGCCAATCAGTCACGGCCCCAAACTGAGACGCAGTTTGACTCGGTATGAGTTTATTATCTTGGCCATTTGTTATAAGGACAGAAAGCTGGCTAATTGCCAGTTTGTCAACTTGACATAAGCTAAAGTCATCTGGGAAGAGGGAACTTCAAGAGAGAAAATGCCTCCATCCGATTGTTCTGTGGGCAAGTCTGGGAGGGCATTCTTGATTTCTGATTGATGTAGGATGCCCCAGTCCACTGTGGGCGGTGCCGGCCCCAGGAAGGTGATCCTATGTTGTACTAAAAGCAAACCCAGCAAACCATGTGTCTTAGTTAGGATTTTATTGCTGTGAATAGACACCATGACCATGGCAACTCTTATAAAGGAAATATTTAATTGTGGCTTGGCTTACCGTTTCAGAGGTTTAGTCTGTTATCAGCATGCAGGGAGCATGGCCACACACAGAAGACATGGTGCTGGAGAAAGAGCTGAGTGTTCTACATCTGGATGGCAGAGAGCAAGAAGAGAGAGTGACACTGGGCCTGGCTTAGCTTCTGAAGCTTGAAAGCACACCTCCTTGTGACACTCTTTCACCAACAAGGCCTGACCTCCAATAATGCCAGCCCCTGTGAGTCAATGGGGGCCACTTTCATTCAAACCATCACACCATGAGGAGCAAGGCCTCTGCTTCTGTTCCTCCCTCCAGGTTCCTGCCCTGACCTCCTGGACCATGATTGGGATGTGTAGCAGAATAAACTCTTTTCTCCCCAAGTTGTTCTTAGTCAGAACCTTTTATCACAGCAACAGAAAGCATACTAAGCACATGTGGATGGTATGTTTTCTCTGTCCAGTTCACTCCGAGCTCTGGCTGTTGCCCCACAGAGGGTCTTAGCCCCTTAGTAATAACAACTTGAAATTGTTCAGCAGTGCAAAGACCCTTGAGGACACACCATGTCCACAGCAACTGTTATAGAGGAAAACATTTAATTGGGACTGGCTTACAGTTTCAGAGGTTCAATTCATTATCATCGTGGTAGGTAGCATGGCATCATGCAGGCAGACATGGTGCTGGAGAGGCAGCTGGGAGTTCTACATCCAAAACAGCAGGCAGCAGGAAGATGGAGTGACACTGGGCCTGGCTTGAACGTTTGAAACCACAGAGCCCACCCCAGGTGACACATGTTCTCCAATAAGACCACCTTCTAATCCCCACCAAGCATTGCCACTCCCTAGGGACCAAGCATTCAAATCTATAAGCCTATGGGGGGCCATTACTATTCAAACCACCATAGACTTCCAGTAAAATGTCAGCGAAGAAACACAACTGGGTGTTTGACAGTGGTTGTATAGAGTGTAAGTACACAGGAACACACACATCCAGAAAGAGGAACTGGTAACCTTGGATCCTCCATAAACACCAACAAGCACCTCTCCAAAGGCCCAGCATCATGGCAGATAGTACTCTAGCTCAAGATCTTGTCTCTTTCTTTATTCTCACTTAAAGTTAAATAGAATTCCTAGTGAATCCTCCAGGTCACCCAGAACTCAGCATACAGAAGGGCTTTGTGCTACAAAACCAGGATCTGGATTTTTGAATGACCCTATTTGAAAGTCTCGAGGACATTTTTATAAGGATGACAGAACTTGGAGCCACTCTCATCTGAAGGTAATAGCATCTGGTCTTGTGGTGCTACATAAATACTATCATAGAAAAATCTAAGACTCTGGGAGTTCCAAGGTCAGCCAGGGCTGAGCTAGTGTCCCAGCTCTAGAAATTATCCCCTATAACTCAACACAAGAATATGGATCAGTAACGTGTTAGTTGTGTGGGTCAAATGGCACATAAAACACAGCACATGCCTGGCATGTCATAAACCCCCCATAAATGGGAAATTATCACAGTTAGATGGTGCACTTACATAATTGACTAAAAATAATATTTTTGTTAGAGAGAAAGTAGTCTGTAAAGCAAAACTATCTTGTTGGTGAAAATGAACACATTTACTCCCTGCTCAAGGTCAGCCATCTCCAGACACATAGTTCAAGTTTGCAAATTTTATAATACACACATACTTACTAACATAGGGAAATGCCTATGTTGCTTCCTCCATGACCATGGGCTACTATTTACTTATAATGTATGAATTAGTTACTTTCCTGTTGCTGTGGTAAATCGCCTTGAGGGGGCAACCTATAGAAGGAATAGTTTATCTTAACTTATGGTCTCCAAAGCATAAGAGTCCACCATGGCTGGGAGGCATTGCAGCAATCAGCAGGCATAGTGGAAGAAAAGACCTGAGAGAGAAATCACATCTCCACCTGCAAGCAAGAAGCAAAGAGCAAACAGGAAATTCAAGACACTATGAGCACTTGAAGCCCACCCCTCCACCCCGCCATCCATCCCACCCCATCCACCCCCACCCACCCTCACACCCCCCACCCACCCCACTCCATCCACCCCCACTCACCCTCACACTCCCCCCCACATACTTCCTCCAATGAGACTCCACTTCCTAAAGTTTACACAACCTCCCTAAATAGCGCCACCTACTGGGGACTGAGTGTTCAAAAGCATGTGCTTCATTCAAACCATTTCAAGGTGTTAATTTTCAAGTGTTTAAGGCTTTGCAAACTTTCTTTTTGTTGTTTGTCCATAATTAAATTGATTGTGGTCTTAGAAAATACTTCATTCACATGCTTCCAGTCTTTTTATTTGTTGAGATTTGATGTGCAGCATAGCCTGTAGTCTATGGAGACATTTCAAGTGCTCTTAATGAGAATTCTATTCTCTACCTACTAGGTGAGGTGTTCTGTATATGCTAAGTGGAGTGCCTTTTTGGACAGTCAGTTCAGATTTTGTTAGTTTTATGACTAATAATTCTACTAATTATTTACACAAGCTTTTGAAGCCTGCAACGGCAGTTATTGAACTGTAAGGCTGCTCTGTAAGATGTATCTTCATTTATAGTTGTTGCATCTTTCTGGTGTGTTGGCCCTTTCCATCATTACAAAATTAACTATTTTTGGTTATAAAAATAGTTTTGTAGTAGAGTCTATTTTGTGTTATGATAACATAGATGTTAGGGACCTTAGTGATATCAAATAAATAATAATTGATTGATTGACTTAAAACAATAGAAATGGTCTCACAGTTCTGACAGCTAGAGCCTTAGAACAATGGTTCTCAGCCTATGGTTTGCAACCACTTTGGGAATCTAAGACCTTCAGAAAACACAGATATTTACATTATGATTCAAAACAGTAGCAAAATTATAGTTATGAATTAGCAATGAAAACAATTTTATAGTTGAGGGGGTCACCACAACTCAAAGAATTGTATTAAAGGGTTGCAGCATTGAGAAGGGTGAGAACCACTGGCTTAGAATATGTTACCAGCAGCGCCAGGCTTCCTCCCAAGCTGCTAGAAAAGAATTGTTCTCTGCCTCTTCCAACACCCAGTGGCTCCAGTAGCCCATGAGTAGCCCACTGGTCTCTGTATCCATCATTCCTTCTGTGTCTCTGTGTCCAAATTTCCCTCTTCTTATGGGGTTATCAGTCACTGGATGGGGTCCACTCTGATAGGACCACCTATTAATTTGCTTATATCACCAGAAAAGATAAATCAATTGCCATCTTGAAATAAGATTGTATGCACAGGTTCCTGGTTGACATAACTTTGAGAAAAACATCATTCTAACCAGTACAACACCCTACCACTGATTACTTCTCATCAAGAATATCTTTTCTCATCAATTATCATTCAACTATTTTACCACGTGTCTGTTTTGTTTATATGTGTTCATAGGGGGACATATATGCATACATTCAAATATGGAGGGCAGAGGTCTGCATCGGGTGTTTTCAAACACTTGCCATCTAATGTTTTTTTGTTAGTCAGGGACTCTCACTGAACCTGGAGCTCATTGATTTGGCTGGCCAGTGAACACCAAGAATCCATTTAACTCCATCTTCCCAGGGCTGAGGTTACAAATGAACTCACCACTGCATTCAGATTTTTCTATTTTTATTTTTTAAATTTACTTTATGTGTATAAGTGTTTTATTGCAGACTAAACTATGATTGTTTAATAAAGAGCTGAGTGGCCAATAGCTAGACAGGAAGAAGTTAGGCAGGACTTCTGAGGACAGAGACGTATCAGGGAAGAAAAAAGGCATCATTAACAGCCTGGTGGACATGCAGGAGAAGAGGTAAAAAGCCATGAGTTACATGGCAAGACATAGATGAATAGAAATGGATTAATTTAAGCTATAAGAATTAGTGGGTCAAGTCTGAGCTATAGGCTAAGCTTTCACAATTAATAAGTTGTTTTGTGTGTGTGTGTAAGAGACAGAGACAAGAGACAGAGAGAGAGAGAGAGAGAGAGAGAGAGCGCTGATGGCCCAAAGAAAAATCTGCATAATATTTTGTCTGCATGTGTGTATGTACAGCACATGAGTGCACTTCCATGGGGAGGCCAGAAGAGGGCATCAGATCCTCTAGAATGGATGTTACAAAGGATAGGAATTGACATTAGATCATCAAGAGCAACAAATGCTCTTAACTACTGAGCTATTTTTTCAGCCCCATCCTTGGCTTTTTATGAGGGTTGAAGATCCTAACTAAGGTCCCCATGCTGGGACAGCAAGCACTTTATTAACTGGAGTTATAGATGGTTGTGAGCTACCATGTGGGTGCTGGAAACTGAACTTGGGTCTTGTACCAGAGCAACAGGTGTTCTTAACTGCTGAGCCAGCCCTGCTATTGTATTTTTAGATCAACATCCTGTCTCTTTAAGACAAGACTGGAGGCTAAGTATGGTAGCACATGCTTGTAATTCTAGCACTGTACCTAAGGACAACCCTGGATCCATAGTGAGACAGAGAGAAAATTAAAATTGCAAAATTGCTTTGTGAGATTATGTATAGGACACACATACACACACACGCCTAACACACATTTCAATGTATTCTTTCTTCAGTTTAAGCCTCAGCTTCTTTTTAGCTCTCACGAAACTGTTCACCAACCAAATTTATATGAACGTCCACCTAAGGGCTAGAAATAAGCCATATGAAACAGCTCAGCAATTCACTCTCTGACTATCAGGAGTCTGGAGCATAATTTCTTTTCAGTTGCACATGGCACAACTGTTTTAGACCTGTAGTCGAGCCCTATTGTTATTTAGATAGCTGTCTGGCAGGCTCTCCTGCAGTTCTTATCTCTGAAACAGAGCAGCAGCCCTGCCACAATGCCATGCATAAGTTATGTTGCGGCTTGTTCATGATACTGTCTATGATGTCAGGGGCAAGGTCGGGTAACAGGCTGGGAGATCCTATAGTTTGGAGCTGTGTGCAAACCTTGGTGGCTTCCTGTGGCTATTACTGAAGGAAAGGTGAAACTGGTTATCTCATTTGTGTGGAGAGTGCAGTCTTCCCACTAAGGTAAGGAAAAGTTCCTACCTTCTAGACCCTTGCTAGTTCTCTGTGGATGGTTATGCTAGCTGGCCCCAGGCATTTCCCTCATTGTCTCCTCTTTTCTTTTTCTCTTGTTCTTCCTTAGGCTAGATTTCTCCTCCTACTTATTCTCTCTGCTCACCAGCCCAGCTTACCCTCTCCTATTTAGCTACTGGCCATTCAGCTTTTTATTAGACCTTTCAGGTGCTGCAGGCAGGTAAGGAGAAACAAATGCAGCACATCTTTACATAACTAAACAAATGTAACATATCTTTACATTGTTAACAAAGGCAACAGAAACAAATGTAACACACCTTTGCCCAGTTAAAACACTATTCCACAACAAACCCCAGCATTTGGTTGCCACTGATCACTTCTTAAATTGTGTCTCTTTTGTGTCTTGCTCTGTTGTGTTCTTCAGGACCTGACTTGTGTGTTTGCCCCCTCCCCCCTTCATATGTTTCTGCTAAGCCACAACCTATCTTGTATGAGTAAGGTCTTTAGTATAAACCTTAAGTATCCCTTTAATATTTTATAGATTTTCCACTTTATAGATGCAAAACTAGGTGAACATTGAATCAAGAGAATATTTTCATATGTCAACAAGCCTGAGCTTATGGTGTTGTGATTTCTGTTCACAGACCCTGGAGATGGAGTCTTTCCTCTGGGATGACTTTGGCCCTTTGATACAGAATAGGGCCATGGAGCAAATCATTACACCAATGACTATCCAGCTTTGTCATCTGCTCATCTCGGTGGAGAGGAAAGATGTACAGAAAGAAGCACTTGCCTCCGTGCAAAAGGCGGCAGAGGACCTGGCCAATGCTAGTGCGGAGTTTGTGCATGTTGCCAGCAGGTAATATTTTCATGGAACTTAAGCCCATTACCCTGACAGATTGGCAGACGATGAAACACATATGTCAAATCTGATTATAGTCTTTAAAGCTTTGGGGGCTTGTGGATGTAGTTTAGTACCTGATAGCATACGAGAAGTTCTGGGTTTCAGCCCTAGCACTGCATAAACTGGATGTGGTGGTGTGCACCTATAATCCTGGAACTCAGAAGGTAAAGTGTGGAGGGCCAGAAGTTTACGGTTTTCCTTGGCTACTGATGTAGTCGCTATTCTATAGCTGTAAAGAGACACCATGACCAAGATGACTCTTATAAAAGAAGGAATTTAATTGTGGGCTTGCATACAGTTTCAAAGGTTTAGTTGGGAAGTATGGCAACATGCAGGCAGACATGATGCTGGAGAAGTAGCTGAAAGTTCTGCACCCTAATCCACATACAGAGAGAGAGAGACAGAAACAGAGAAACGGAGAGAGACTCTGAGCTTGGAATGGGTTTTTTGAAACCTCAGAGCCTACTCCCAGTGACTCTTTCTCCAACAAGTCCATTAACTCCTAATCCTTCTAATCTCTTCAAATAGTGTCACTCTCCAGTGACTATGATTTCAAATGCATGAGCCTGTGGGGGTCATTCTTATTCAAGCCACTACAACTACATAGCCAATTTGACTCCAGGCTGAGAGCTATATGAGACTAGGTCTCATAAAATAAATGTTTTCTGGGGAAAAAAAAAGGCGTGTGAGAAGTAAACTAGTATAAGAATAGATGTAGATTGTTTAGTTTGCTTCTCTGTTGCTGTGATAAAACCCTGGCCAGTAGAAACTTGGCAGAGGAAAGTGTTGACTTGGATTAACAAATTTTATAGTTCATCATCAAGGGAGACACTCAAGGAAGGAATTTGGAGACAGGAGCTAAAGCAGAAACCATGGAGTGACATTGCTTCTTGGGTTGCTCCCTTGACTTGCTCAGCTACATTTCTTAGACTGCCCAGGTCCCCCTGCCCATGAGTGGCACCACCCACAGTAGGCTGGGCCCAACTGTATCAATTATCAATAAAGAAAATTCTTCAGTCCAGGTCCCTCTTCTCAGGTGTGTTGTTGACAACCAAGATTAGCCACCTCCGCTATGGAACTGGGGCAGGGCCTTAACATCATGTGACTCCAGTTAGGTAAAAAGAAAAACTATAGTGAGAAATAATGTAAAGCATTTGTTATAAATTATGTATAGGAGCTGGAGAGATGGCTTAGCACTTAAGAGTGCTTGCTGCTCAATCATGACCCTAAGTTCAGATCTCAGAACCCATGTAATAACATTCACACACAAACATAAAATAAGTTATGTAGAAATTTGTTAACAGAGTGATTTTGTACTGATTTAAACTTTCCAATAAATTCTGGATTTCCGATAATGCATTTTTTAATCACAAAAAGTGCAGTAAGTTTTGAGAGAGACTAAATGTTGTTTGTGTTCACTGCAATATAAATGCCTTTGCTTATTGTCTGTTCCTGACAAGATAAATTATTTATACAGAGAATTATCAGTGTTCATTGCCATGGGAAACAGTCCAGCCCTCTTTATCCTAGAAGAAAAGTCATAATAATGAGCACTTGGACTTGAGTCTGGCTCCAGCATCCCTGAGCAGTTCCCAGAGAAAGCCAAATGGAGGCAAGAAGCACACCCCACTAAGTGTTGGGCTGGCAAGTTCCTGTCTTCCTCTTCTGGACAAGCTCTCAGGGGGCCAGAACCTGCCCATCAGCTGCTGTCAGTGTGTGCCAGTGAGAAGAGCCCAGCACAGGGATATGTTTCCTCTTGCTTAGAAACATAGCTTACGGCGAACATTTAGGAAATATGTGTGAGCAAATAAAGAAAAAATATTACCTGTAACCTAGAGACAGTCATTCTGAGTATTCAAACACATACTTATCCCAGATATTTTTCTTTCTCTTTCTAATTTTTCCCTCCCCATCACTCCACTTTTCATTTTTTAGAAACTCTTATAAAAATATCCCTGTAGAGGGCTGGAGAGATGGCTTGGCAGTTAAGCGTGTGTTCTGCTCTTGCAGATGACTGAGTTTGATTTCCAGCACCCATGTCAGGTACTCCACAACCACCTGTAAGTCTAGTTCCAGGGAATCCAGTACCTTAGTCTCTATATACACTGCACTCACTAGCACACACACACACACACATACACACACACACACAATATATATATATATGTATGTATATATATATGTCTTTAAATAATATAATAAGATGAATGAAGAAAATGTGATAAATATACATATGCATACAAGAAAATATGAAACATATAGACAATAAAATTACATTTTATTCAGCATAAAGAAATTGTAACATTTACATGACAATGGAATACACTAGTAATTGTTATTTGAAAAGAAATAAGCCAGACTCAGAAAGATAAATGCCATGTTTTCTTTCACTTAGATCTAAAATTGTGTGTGTGTGTATGCTGTATATACACATATGTATGCACGCCTGTAAGCTGTGAAACTAGAAAGGGAATCTTGAGAGGGAAGGAGGAGAGAAAGAAAGAAGGTAGTGAAATATATATGACATGAAGACAGAATGGAGGAGTGTTTGGAGGATCCAAAGAACAGGGAGGAGAAGGGAGCATCATGACAGCAGAGAGAGAAGAAATGAGTTACAATGACACCAATACTTTGTACAGTAGCTTGAGTTAATTTAAGATGTTTTTAAAGCCTGTGTGGGTGTTCCTATCCATATACATGGTATACCTGTACGGACACATGCATGTTTGCGCAGGTGCATGGCATAAAGCTGTCTACACTGATAAGCCGCATTCATCCTGGCTCAAAGCCTGCTCCCAGTGACACACTTCCTCCAACAAGGCCACACCTACTCCAAGAAGGTTACACTTTCCCTTACCATGGTGACTAAACATTCCAACATATGTGCCTATGGAGGTCAATCTCATTCAAACCTCTGCAAAGCCTAAAGAAGAAAACCAAAACTGGCACACATATGCAAAACTCACCCTGGACTCTCGCTAACACATGGCATTAAGTGTCAATGATCTTGCTTGCGTTTCTTGAAGATGGTTCGGTTTTTACTGTAAGCTTGTGCAAAAATCAGAGCTACATTTATTTTCATAATAAATAAATAAATGTTAGTATTAATATTTTTCTGTTGTAAAACACCTGTCCCCTCTAATGCCGAGAGTCAGTGAAACTAAAAACTACACACTGTGCTTCATTTTTTAAGCATTGTCTATCTTACACAGTCACTTGGTGGCTGTGATTTCTGAAACCTAAGTACTTTGGTGGCACAGTGAAAATAGTGTTTATATTTCTATATATAGTATAGCTGAATAGTAGTAACTAGCACGCTGCATAAACTTTCTGGAAAATAATTTTTTTTTTAACTTTTGAGAAAGTGTTGCTATATAGTGTGGTTGGCCTACACTGTATAAACCAGGCTGGCCTGGAACTTTCAGAGACCTGTCTGTCTTGGCCTCCCCAGTGTTGAGATTTAAAGCATATGACACAATGCCTGCCCTGAAATTACTCCTTTTAAACATATGTAGAAATAATCTTATAGAGTAGGCTGGGATTTCTTTTTCATTATTTTAAGGGGTGCGTGACAATTTTTGTCACAATTGTTTAAGTGTTTAATCATTGACTGAGTAGATTGCTAGTGAAGATTTATCTAGAATTACATGGATATATCTCCACTGAGAAGCATCATCCATACATCCCATACAGCTAATGACAGATACACAGTGGACATTTTGTTTAAAGGACACAAAGTAGCAACAGTCGGGGGAGTGAATCCAAAACCATTTACAACAACACAGAGTGAGTTAATAGTAATAGCTGATCATTGACAGAGTGAAAGTCTGTATTAGTTGCTTTGCTGCAACTTAGGGAAAAAATGATATATTTCAGCTGTGGCTCTAGAGAAAGAGTCTGAACAACAGAACTAGGAAATCATGTTAGCAGGCAGCTGGAGCTGGAAGCTGAGAGCTCCCATCTTCAACAACAAATACCAAGTAGAGATCACACTGTGCTGGAATGAGGCTATAAACCCTCAAAGCCAGCCTCCAGTGATATGCTACTCTAGCAAGGCTGCCCCTACCCTAACAGGGCCACCAAAGAGGGACTAGGTTTGCAAATACCTGAGCTTATGGGAGACACCTCATTCAAACCACCACAAAGCAATGAACATAGCATTAAATTAGACTTGGGGCTGGAGAAATGGCTTCAGTTTGATGTTGTAGAAATGCTGTGTGATCTTGGTGGAAGTCTGCATTAGGAAGGGCAGTATAAACAGCATTTGGCTTGCCTGGTGAGAGCTATCATGTGACCAGCCTTGTAAAGAAATCCTGTAGCTTCCAAATGTTTCCACATTTTCTCCCTGCTCCCCCACCCCTTTTTGCATGTTTATGTGCGTGGAGCATGCATGCATCCATGCACATTTGCATGTGTGTGGGTTGCAGGTATGTGTGCATGTGTGTGGACATGTGTATGGAAAGCAGATCCTGACTTGAGTGTCTTCATCCATCACTCTCTACTTTATAAACTGAGGCAGGGGCTCTCACTTGAATGAAGACCTTGCTCATTCATCTACTCTAGCCAGCCAGCTTGTTCCAGGAAAGCACTGTCTCTGTCTCCTAGGCCCTGGGACTACTGGTAGGCTGCCACACCCAATCAACATTTGTGTGGGTACTGAGATCTGAACTCGGGTTCTTATGCTTTAACAGCAAGCACTATTACCCAGGGAGCCACCTCCTCAGCCCCTGGTCTTTACATTTCCTGTGTACTTGGAAGTCTAGATCAACAAAAGATGACTTTCAGAGAGCAATGAATTCTTCCGCTAGCTTAATGTTCTCCTGTCCATTGTCAGCTGCAAGACAGCGCTCTTCAGGTTAAGAAGGATGCTAATCTGGACTGTTCTCCATCCCTTATATCGATCATCCTTACAGGCAGGTTCATCTTCAAAGGGAAGGGACTGGTGTATGATGCCAAGGATCAAAACTTGCCTCCAAGCACTCTGCAGAAGGATCATTTGATCTTCACAGGAAGTCAATGACCAACTCTTGGCATGTTTAAAATGAAGAGCTATTTCAAGTGTTTGTGAGAATGTGTGGGAACTTGAACTCTCTCATTGCTGATTAGAACACAGTATGTTGCAACTACTTTAGAAATTATTCTCTAAAAGTTAAATGTATACCTGTTGTTATTAGGTATGCTGATATATTGGGTGTGGTATCACCACAATTGGGCATTTCTCCAAGAGAAATGGAATTCCATGTCTGCACAAAGACCAGGGCATGAATATCCACAGCAGTGTTCTTTCTTTATAGGTTCATGCCCCCCAGTCCTGGGGATTGAACTTAGAACCTGGCACCTCTGGGCAAATGCTGCATTACTGAGTTAGATCACCAGACTTTTTATCTCAAGTTTTAAAGCAAGTTCTCTGTAAGGTATCTAGGCTGGTCCACACATGCTGTGATCCTCCTGCCTCCACCTCTCAAATAGCTGGGAATACAGGCATGCACCACCACACCAAGCATGGTGGCTTTATCTTATTTCTAATAGCAAAGACAGAGTGGCCTCAGAATTCTTACCTGAAACTCTGGAGACCAGAAGACGCCAGGACCATTGTATTCAGGTTTTTTAGAAGAAAAGCCTGAGAACCAGAATTCTCTACCCAGATGCCTGTCATTAACCTGTTTAGCCTAACCGTGTGCCATTTGTAAAGGAAGTATAGTGAGGCAACAACTCTAATTCACAAACTAAAACACTTGAAGAAAGTATGAAGTGAAATTTTTTTAACACTTTTTAAAAGAGAACTTATTTATTTATTGTGTATAGTGTTCTGCCTGCAGACCAGAAGAGGGCACCAGATCTCATTGTAGATGGTTGTGGGCCACTATATGATTGTTGGGAATAGAACTCAAGACCTCTGGAACTCAGGACCTCTGGAAGATCAGAAATGGCTCTTAACCTCTGAGCCATTTTTCCAGCCTGGTTTTTTTCTTAATTCAACATTGTGTCCTGGGGAGAAGTCTATGGCCATGAGCACAGTTGTCAAGGTTCACTTCAATGGTTTTGTACCTTCTCTGTACCCTTGTCTCCGGTGGTTCTTTGGTGTTAATGCTATAACATTGCAAGTACAATGTGTCTGTCTATTCAGGCTGGCGGGAGACTCTGAGGAGGAGTGGCTTAGGGAGGAAATGCAGCCAGTGGCTGAGTCTTTGATGCTCTCTGGAAGGAACATCCTGATGGTAATCCAGAAGCTCCCCCTGCAGCCGGAATGTCAGCGCCACTGGGAGGAGCTAGTGATCGCTGCTCAGCAGATCCTCGTGGACACTACCAAGGTGAGGCTCCCTCAGAGCTGCCTGGCTGTTTGTCTGCTGGAGAATACACATTGCCACGCAGTTCCCAAGGAACTCCTGAGTATCTCTTAATTTGAAACCTGCCCAAGTGCTTGCCAAGATCCCAGAGTTCATGACCGATTTAATTAGAGCTAAATTGAAGCTGTAATAGGAGCCAGTACAACCCCTTGGTTTCCAAATACTCTCAAATTTTTACCCTGACACACATTCCTTGCTAAATACATCTTAAATTTATTTTGGAGATTTTATTTATTTGTATTTTATGTGTATGAGTGTTTGCCTGAATGTGTGTCTATGCACTGCATCTGTTAAATGCCCGAGGGAGGTAGATTGGGGTAGAGAAGGTCATAGGATACCCTAGCATTGCAATTACAGACAAGTGTGTCCTCCTGTGGATGCTGGGAATCAAACCCAGGGCCTCTGGTAGAGCCATCTCTCCAGCTCCAGATTGGGGTATTGCTACTGGTTCAAATGCATATTCCCGGAATATTTTGCTGTTGTTTGTTGTGTGGTTTATTGACAGATATTTGCACAGGCGGTATTGGAGCGTAGTTGCAATGGAGTAGAGGAGGGTGAGAGGCAGAACCAGAGGGGTTTGGGCACCTGCTGGTGGTGAATGAAAGGGAGGCTTTTGGCTTGGGTACCAGCCCTAGGGTTAAGGAATGGATGGAACTGTCCCAGAGAGGCGGGGTCAGGCTAGAAAAGCTGTCTCAGAGAAGCCCTCCAGCCTATCATTGTCATCTAAATAACACTCCATCTTTGAACAGTTCAGGGTAGACCCCACAGTAAATATGGAGAGAAGGCAGCTGCTTCAGACCTCTGCTTTACAAAGAAATGCACACACTGCAAACTTCCAGTACTGGCGTGTGCATAATGCCTGTATTTGGTTACAGTCAGGTTAACTGACAATGTAAGGTCTCCTAGGCTTAAGCTACATGGCTCCAAGAATCTTTGGTCATCTTCAAGTCTCTTTCCTGTGACCGCTCCCAGCAGGTCTTGCTCCTTGAAGACAGAGCAATGGCGAGGAAAACCGTGCTAGCGGCTGGTTGGTGCCTGACATTCCTGGAGGCTCTGGAGGCGGTGGAGGACGCCCCTTCGCTGCGCGCCTCCATCGCTGACCTGGCGTCTGCACTGCTGCGACTGGGCGGCCTGACTACACGCTGGGCCCGGGACGAACGCCTGGGTCGAGTTCGCCACCGGCTAGGGTGCTGCATCCCAGCGCTGCTCGCGGCCGCCCGGGGCCACCTCCGGCATCCTACTGATCCGCAGGTGGTGGCCTCTCGGCGACGCGTCATTACTCTGACCAGACAGAGTCTCGGAGAGCTCCTGGCTGTGCTGCAGCCCAGAGTCTCAGAGCACGGTGCTCGCTCTCAGAATGGTGCACTGGCACGTTGTCTGCAGAAGCTGCGACAGGTCCTGGAGGAGCCCGGGCCAAGCCACCTGCGTGGTGGGCTGCTGGATGCGCCACTGGCCACCGTGGTATGGCACTGCCTGCGCCTCGCCGCCTGCTCCGCGCCACAGGAGAGGATGCACTTAGTGTACCATTGCCGCCAGCTGTTGCAGCTCCGTTCCCGGGTGCACCGGCCTCCCCAGCCCATCCCAGGAACAGAATGCATAGCTCTGAGGGCTGCGACGGACACGCTCTGTCGGGAAGTCCGCGCTGGATTACTGCGCCAGATTCTGGATACTTTCACAGATACCCAAAGTCCTCTAGAGAGGCTGGTCCAGGCCGCCTTGGCGACTTCCACCATCAGGTCCAGGTGCAATAGCGAATCCTTGGCCGAGACTCTCCAGCTTCTCCTTGATGCTTTCCACAACCAAGCCAAGCAAATGATCCGAGTGGCACACTTGGTCTGGGTCTTCTGCCCCCAACAGCAAACTGGCAGAGATGTGGAGGCTGCTGTGGCAGGTCTTTGGGGGCTTGTGGTCAAAGCCAAGGAACTCTTTTCACAGAGTCCCCAAACACATGGCCTGGATTGGAGCCCTGTCACCCTGCAGACTCTGCTGGAGGCCTGGGCCAGGGAATCCCAACACCTCTTGGCATGCTTTGATGTCGTTCTGGATATTCCTGAATTCCTGAGTTTGTCCATCCAGGAAATGACTAACCACTTGGACTTGTACACAAGTGGAGCATCCAGAGAGTTTTCCGAATCTGTGGCATTCCTGTGTGGAAGAGCCACACACGTGGTGCAGGTGATGAGCAGGTATGTGGGTCAAGACCCAGATCCCATTTTCCGAAACGGGATGAGAGTCGTGGTTCACCAGCTGGCACAGTCTTCCTTGACGCTGGCTGCGGCCACTGAAGGTGGGGACAGCACTCAGGACACCGGTACCTTTGTAACCATGGCAAAACATCTCATCTATTCAGCTCAGCAAGTCCACGAGGGGCTTGATGGGACCAACCACCCGGACATTCTCAGCCCGCTCCGATTCCAAGTCCAAAGGTTTGACATTGCTAAGGGATGGCCTTATTTTATACTCCCCAGCTTCCAGCATCCCACAATGAAATCCCAGCTGGTACCTGAGTTAGGGGAAAGTGGCACGAATACCTCTTTCCTAGCAGTAGAACAACTTTACTACACAGTGGTCCCCAGCACCTGCAAACGGGGGTGTGGCTCTCCATCCCTTGCTGTCAGCGAAATCATCAGTGCTGCGGAGAGCCGGGATCATCAGGTAGTGACCTCATCCGGCACCAACAGGCCAGAGCAGGAGTCCACTATGAATACAGCCCAAGAAATCCAGGCTGGGGAAGAACCCCTGTGGCCAGGGAGGATGACAAGACTACATGAATTCTCAACAGTAGTACCATTGATTACTGACCTAGCCAGGGAGGAAGTCCATAGCACAAATACTAGACGAGACAGTCTCCTGGAAATGGCTTTTCAGCAATCTGGGAGGACCAGGGAAGCCAGGCAGGCTTTGGTAGCCAGGGCTGGTGACTGGTACCCTCTGTGTCAACAACTATTTTACCATAACCTAACGGCTGAGTTACCAGGGAGCATGGCAGCGTTTGTGGAGCTTCAGCAGAATTTGGCCTCCATGGTTCAAGTAGCAGCCAAAAGTGGCCCTGTGAATTTGAAAGAGAAGAGCCCTGATCCAATAGGGCACCCAGGAATGCTTTTCGAGCTGCAAGGCATGTTGGAAAAAGCAGAGATCCATGCTAAACAGCTGTTGGACCAAGCTGTGTCCTCTGATAGTCTCCAAGCCCCCTGGTCAAGGGAGGAGAATGTTGACAATGAGTGTCTCCTATGGGCAGTGGCTGTCCAGGACCTGATGCAGTGTATGGGAAGACTCAGTAGGAGACAAGGGCTGTTCCTACTTCCCCTGAAACAAGCAGTAAAGAACCAGCAGGGGTTGCAGGAAGGATTAGATCAGGCAACAGATGTTTCTCAAAGGCTACAAGACGCTGCAGCACTGTCTAGTGCTCTGTGTGCAGATGAGCAGGTAAAGGGCGAGGTCTCCTTTTTGTGTGGGGAAGTTCATGTACTCACAGATGCCTTGTTGGAGGTGGCACACATCTTGGTCTCCTCCTCCAAGCCTTGCCCCAGCCTCTCCACACGCTTTGAGCTTCTCTGCTTGGAGCTCAGCCTCCAAGCCAAGGCCCTGACTAGCTACCTGAGCAGCATCAACACTGTCTATGAGGACATGTTCCAAGATGTTGACAAGAGCTCTCCGGCAAGGATGCTGTCTGTTATCCAAACTGTGCAGGGAATCATAGCAGGAGGCCAAGAGTCTGCATCCTTCCAGGAAGACCTTCTTGTGTCTTTAGAGAGCATCCTCATGCTCACTAAGGAGGTGGCCGAGAGAGTCCCTGTGCAACAAGAACACCCAGAGAATCAAGAGTTGCATATGCTGGACTGGCTTCGGTGGGAATGGGCAGCCAAGGCCCATCATGCAGTGACTCAGCTCCAGGCCTTGGAAGGTGGTCACACTGAGGCCTGGAGACTCCTGGTCCAATGCTTGAAACCCAGGGAGGAGCCAGCAAAGGCCCTAGAAGAGGATCCCGTCCAGCTACAGCCTCACTGTAAAGAGGGTGCAGCAGGTACCACTGCAGGAGACAGTATAGATTCTCAGGATGCTGTTCCCAAAGGCACCCTCGAAGGCCCAATGGGGACCTGTGCTGATGAGCAAGCCACCACCAGGACCACCACAGTAGACATGAGCATGGTAGGCTACTTGGCATCTTTCATCTATCTCACCTGGACCTGTTTCCTAGCAACTAAAGAACTTTGCACATTCCAGAGACTCAATGCCTATTACCACATATATAATTCACACAGGGCAGATAGCACGGGCAGCCTCTAAAAGCCTAAACTTGGAGTTCAGATACCCTAGCCTGCAGCTAACCCTGCCTTGCCCTTAGCAAAATCACAGAGAATCCTCAGCACCATTTAGACTCCAGCATTCTAGTCCTATAGAGGACTAGTGAGTGAGTCCCTGCAAACACATTTCCCTTCCCTTAGCACCAGAACTAGTGCCGGTGCTTTCACTGGCTTCCGTGGAGCCTTTTCTTTTCACTTTAATTGACCTTTTCTATGACTGCCAGTACTCAGGCTGCTTCAGCCACTCTGACCTCCTCAGATGTCACCTGCTCCAAAGTGACAAGGACACAACTAGAATCCTTTTATTAGGGAGGAAAGGGGTTTATTAGAAAGATGCTAGGTGTTAAATACCTGCCCCCCCCCATATCTGTTTCCTTCTAGGGCAAGACAGGGCACTTAGGCATTAAGGATCTGAAAGATTGTATATTTCTACTGACCATAGCCAAAGCCAGTAGGAAATAGAACATCTTAGCAGGACTGCAGTGGTCTCCCTACAGATACACTTCATCCAGTGTTTGTAGCTCTAGAGGTGGCTGGATCTGGGTGAGTGGGGGCCGACTAAAGTCTCCTGCCTTAGTCCACTTTACTTAGAGCCTCAGACAATTTATACTCTGAGGGTTAAGGAAGGTCACCTGAGTGAAGTGCTCATGAGTCCAAGCTGTACACAATCACCAGGGGAAGCTGAACGAGGGGATACACATTTTTCCTCAGAAGCTGTAATGAATAATCGGAAGTAAACTCACTCCCGTGTGCTATGCCCGGGAGGAGCACAACAGCACACCCCAAAAACAAGTCTGCGATTTTGAAGAAACTGAGGTCACAAGACTCTTGCTCTGTTTTCTTGGAGTTCTCCCCCGAGCACTCAGGATGCCCCTTGCGTGGCCGCACTCTTGGCCATGTTCTGACAATCGCTTCATCTATGCCTTGGTGACCTTATGGATGGATGAGCAGACTCTCCCAAAACTCCATCCAGCTTTTCCCAAGATAAAACTGACCACACCACACCATGCTTTCAGCCCTGCCCTTATTGGCCTTACTTCTTTTTTCTCATCAAAGTGTCACTTCTACAAAAGCGGACCCTGTGCCCGAACCAACGGGGAGAATAACAGACACCATTCCCCTGTGCTCCAGGCTCCTCTGCTCATCTCTCAGTTTTATAAATCCAAATGGCTTTCGGACTCTCTCTCCTCTTCTGGGGCTCTCCGCAGTCATCAGCACACACCTAATGCCACTCACCCACTGACTTGCCTTCTGTTCCTGTCAATGCAGCAGAAGCTTCCCCCATAGCTGCAAGGGCAGTGTCAGGGCCACTCAAGTCAGAAGACTCTGAGGACAAGACAACAACACACTCTGTAAGGCCTGTCTCACTCTCTGTGAGAAGACACCTGTGGGAAGTGCTTTACTGCAGTCTCCAATGCGCAGTCCCCGGCCCACTCGAAAAGCTAGGAGTCATGCCTAGATTTGAACGATTAAAGTCTCTGGTAGGTGTTACAAAGGCCACATCCTAACTTTCCTCACCATAACAGTTGGGGTTTCTATTGCTGTGATAAAATATGACAAGTCAACATCAAACAGCAGGTGTTCAATTGGCCTTATGGTGTCAGAGTGTTAAGGTCCAAGATGGGGTTGTAAAGACAAGGTGGCCGGAAGCTGAGTTCCCATCTTGATCTGCAAATAGCAGGCAGAGAGCTCATTGTCTTAAACCTCCTCGACCTTCCCGAAAGTTCCACTAACTGGGTCCATTCTCACTCACACCGCCACATCCACTCTTAGCTCCAGACCATTACACCCCTCCTCCATGGTCGTTAGTCACTGCTGTTGAATTCCTGATCAGTGAGTTATTAATAATTCCCTTCTTTTCACCTACTCCTGCCTTCCCAACTCCCAAGAGGCTGGCCAGTGGCCCTCTCTAAAAAAGGCCTCTGCCTTCTTCTCCTTGCACATAGGGACATCCTGATTAGTCAGGCCATTGGTGGAGCAGATGACATCATACATTTTCAGAAGGTGGGGATGCTTTCATTGAAAAAGTCAAAGATAGGTGTTTTATCAGTCCTCGCTAGCTTAGTGTCCTAGCCCACTCCATAGGGCTACTACAGAGTACCACAGATGAGGTGATTTGTAAAGAAAAGACATTTAATTGGCTCACAGCTCTGGAGGTGAAGTGAGGCAAAGAGATAACCTAGAGTATATATATATCCTTAACTCTTTGTTACTGGGGTCACTTCCAGGGCATGGCAACTTATCTTGATTTGGGGATCAGAAAGAACATAGGAAAGGCTCCCCTAAAGATCCACCAGAAAAACCACATAGTCTCCTGTCAGGTCCAGTGGACCTTTCAGCTGCTTCCACAGGAGGAAGCAAAATCAAGTTATCAAGAAAAAACATAGTTATTCACAGCAAAACTGTGAAGGCCTTTGGTATAGAAGGATGGGTGTGAGTGTGTTCAAGTTGAAACATTCACAGATTCCTGAATTTCCTTTTTTTCAAAAGAACTATATTCTTTTTGTTCTTTGACGATTTACATGTGTAAATAATATATCTTCCTCATACCCTTCCCAACCTTGACTCTATTTGCCCCAGGTTCCCCGTCCATCTCCCACTTCATGTCTTCTCCCCATCTCCCCCTTTCCTTTGAGACAAGGTCCCACTGTGTAATCCTGGCTGGACTGGGACCCTAAGTAGCTCAGGTTAGCTTTGATCTGCCTATATCAGCTCCTACGGCTGAGGTTAAAGGTGTACACCACTATGTCCTGATTTCTATCCTTATTTTATGTGTATGAGGGTTTTTTTCCATCTGTATTTCTGTGCACCACATGTATACAGTGCCCTGGGGCCAGAAAGGGGCAACTGATCTCCTGGAACTGAAATTACAGATGGTTGTAATCTACCAAAGGGGTGCTAGGATTTGAACCTGTGTCCCCTGGAAGAAGAGCCAGTGCTCTTAACTTCTGAGCCACCTCACCAGCCCCTTCTAACAAACAAACAATAAACCAACAGCAACAACAACAACAAAACATGGGCTGTCAGCACCTTTAACGCTGTCTCTAAGTCCCCTGCAAAAGGCCACATGTTCTTTCTTCTTCCTTGTAAAGCCTGAGCACTCGAAGAAAGGACATACACTAGTTTGCCTAGGTTGAGATTTGAGGATGGCATGTTTAAGTCTCTGGATAAATAGAGCATGAACTCACAGAAGATCATCGTGTCTCTCCTTGCTGTTTCTCTATAGTACATTTGGAAGGTTGCCAAGGGCTTTGAGAACCCAGGAAATCTGCCTGATTCTCTTGTGCCTTCTTTAAAAATGATTTAAAAGCTATTAAGGGAATGAGGGGAGGGCTCAGTTGATAAAGCACTTACTGCATGTGGTGGTTTGAGAGAAAATGGCCCCCATAGGGAGTGGCACTGTTAGGAGGTGTGGCTTTGTTGGAGTAGGTGTGGCCTTGTTGGAGGAAGTATGTCACTATGGAGGCAGGCTTTGAGGTCTCATATATGCTCAAGCCACACCCAGTACCTCAGACTACTTCCTGTTGCTTGCACAAGATGTAGAAATCTCAGCTATCTCTCCAGCGCCATGTTTGCCAGCATGCCACGATACTCCCAGCCACCTTGCTCTCCACCATGATGATCCTGGACTGAATCTCTGAAAATGTAAGCTGCCACCTCAAGTGTTTTCCTTTATAAGAGTTGTCCTGGTCATGGTGTCTCTTCCCAGCAATGAAACCCCAACTAAAACACTGCACAAGCATGAGGACTTAAACTCTATTCCCTGATTAAAAACCTGTGTGGGCAGATGTGTTACACACTTGTAATCCCAGCACAGAGAAGGCAGAAATGGACAAATCCCTAATCAGCCAGCACAGCCTGACCAGGGGCTCCAGCCCAATGGCAGATCCCATCTCAAAAAAAAAGTATATAGCTCCTGAGGAACACTGGCCTCCACATGTTCATGAACACACACATCCTTGAACACACGCGAACACGAGAAAACACACACACACACACACACACACACACGAGAAAACACACACAAACATACCATCCTCACTGAAGTTTAGAGGCCCGAATGTCAGGAACTGTGTTGTTCTAACCATCTAACCAGATGTCTCCTTTCATACCAGAGCGGCATCCCCTCTCTGCCTCCTGCTCAGATGGACCAGACCGTTCCAGAGGACGGCTGTACAGATGGCGAGAACAGAATCACCCAGATCACACAAAAGATGGCCAAGGAGGTGCTCCTGATGGCTCAGAGCTTGAGGAAGAGAGGGCGAATCCTGGTACTTGGTCCTCAGCAGGTCATGGTGGTGGGTGATGGGCACCATGTCAGGAAGCGGTGCGTTGGCATCCCTAGACGGTGCTGGAGGGAAAGGCCACACTGCAGATGCAATCAGCACCCCATCTCTGTAAAATTCACTTCTCTCCTCACCTCCTCTCTCTGGCTCGGCTACTATGGTTTTAGCAATTATATCAGGGATAATGATTTTGTCAAATCTGCAATGTAGTAAAATTAGTAAAAATCAAGGAGTCGTTCATCCCCCAGAACAATGAGTCAAAGGTGTTCGTTATACCTTTTAAACTTTGCTTTTAAATTTCGTTATCCCTCTATGTGTGTGCATAGCCCAGGGAGGGGTATGCCATGGCCTGTGCCTGGAGGTCAGAGGACAGCTTTGTGGCATCCGTTCCTTCTGCTCTTGTGGGTTTCAAGCTCAGATTAAAAAGCTTTCATAGCAAGTGCCTTTTCCCCTGGAGCCACCTCAACAGCCCATTATTTACACATTTTAAAGTTGATTTCTGGGATGCTGTCTCAATACCTATCAGGCCTTTAACTCAGGATCCTTCTACATCAGTTTCTCAAGTGCCAGGGCTACAGGTCCATGTGTTAACACACCTTGTTGCTTTTTAACATCCCTCAGAGTTAATAGAGAGGGCTGAGACCTCTTGAAAGCTCGCCCTTTATGCTGGCACAGCCTGGTGGGGTGGGGAAGGGCCCATTTCCCACTGGCTTCTAGAAGCTGACTTCTACTGTGAGCCTATCCTCACTCTCTGTAACCCTCTTCTTGATGTAGCTGAGGCAAATATTGTTTGCTGTCAACACGCTAATATGAAAAAAAACCTTAAATCCACTTACTTTTTGTATGCACCAAAAGGTAGACACAAAATGACAGGTAAAACAACTGTGGGTCTACCGGGTACAGATGGCTCTAAAATGAAAGACTGAGCCACAAAGGACCTGACTTTCCTATCCTGGGGCAGACAGAGGGACATCCCCTGGCAATATGGCTGACAAGGACAAACCCAGAGCTTCATCACACCAAGACTTAGACCTTTCATTGTTGGGTCGCACCTCCCAGCTTCCCCAGCCAGTCAACATCTGGCTGAACCAGTGACCCCCCAAGGTCACCAAAACAAGTGTGGCTTTCCAGAATGTATTTCCAAATCAGGTGTTTTGGTTTAAATAGAACTCAGCTGTGTGCGGTGGTGTATGGCTAAGGGCCTAGGGATGTGCAAACCCTGCACCTCGTGTGTATCTGGAGAGATGTACATTTGAGAGGAAAATCCAGGGACCATTTTAAGAGTGGGGTTTGCTTCTGGTAGGAAGTGGCTATGCCCAATTCACCCCTGAGTTCCCCAACCACACATACTGATCGTAATGCCAATTGTAATCAGACATTTCCTTTCCAACTGCCCACTCCCAAATAACTGACTCAGAGGCTGAATATGAGTTATAAATGCTTGGTCAATAGTTTTAGCTAACTCTTCATTTTCTTTATTTACACTCTTCCACGTGGTGGTACCTTATTTGGCATGGTCTGTTCATCTCCTGCTCCCTCTGCATCTGCCCGGTGATCCCTGACTCCCCCCTTCCCCTTCCCATCATCCTACTCTGGTAGCCCCACCTACACTTCCTGCCTGGCTACTGGCCAATCAGCATTTTATTAAACCAATTCGAATGATAGATATTTATAGTGTACAAGAGGATTATTCCACAACAGCCAGTGATTTTTGTTTTTTTAAAGAACTGAAGTATGAGTGAAATAGAAAAGACAGAAAATATCTAGTTAGGACTGGGTTATTTGGTAGAGCTCATCTGGTAGAGCCCTTACCTAGTACGCACAAGGCCTAGATTTTTTGTTTTGTTTTTCGAAACAGGGTTTCTCTGTGGCTTTGGAAACTGTCCTAGAACTAGCTATTGTAGATCAGGCTGGTCTCAAATTCACAGAGATCCACCTGCCTTTGCCTCCTGAGTGCTGGGACTAAAGGCGTGCACCACCCAGCGGAAAGGCCTAGACTTATCCCCAAACACCACATGAGCCAAGCACACTGGTACATGCTTGTACTCTCAAGCTGGAGATGGAACAATCAGGAATCCAAAGCTATCTTCAGCTATATACTGTTTGGGGTCAGCCTGGGATATGTGATTCTAGGAAGCTAGATTTTCTGGCCTTCTGCAGCCCCCACATGGGGGAAGGAGATAGTTCTTTATCTGTCAAGTTCTTTCTAACCCAAGAGAAAGCCCTCAAAGTTGGCTCATGGGATGGTGGCTAAAGCTAAAATATACTCATTTCCAGGGGCAGAAGTAAGTTGAGCCAAGAAAGCTTGGGGCAAGCATTGCGATTTGTCCCTGCTGTCTCAGGGGAAACCTAGGAAGGCAGCGTTTGCCTACATCTAACATTTCCATCTCTGATGTAGACCAAAGATCAGCTCATTGCCTCAGCCAGAAGAATCTCAGCTTCCGGAAAGGACATCGCCAGACTCATTCAGATCATTGCTAAGAACTGCATAGACCAGAGATGCTCCCAGGAACTTTTGTGTATGGTGGAGCAGATTCAAACCCTCAGCAGCCAGCTCAGCATCATCTCCAGGTAGGAAGCAGCTTGTGGGAGAATGGCTAAGCCTTTATGAGACCCTGTGGGGATGGAAAGCACGTTATTTGTATATGTTTAATGGTTTACCCTCCTAGAGTTTACACTGGCCCCTCCCCCATTCAGAACACAGGCCCTTACCTTACTCCGTGGCATTGCTGGGCTCACAACACTTCAGGGGTAGTTAGCCTTTGACACATGTGACTGACACCCATTCTGAAGGGGAGGGAGATTTCACCACATAAGCCGCAGCCAGGCTGAATCTCTGGCAGGGGCAGGGGTGTGTGGTGCCAATACCCACTTTGATGTAAACCACTTCCTCAGGAGTGATCCTACACCAGGAAGTCTGTAAGCAAGGGACTCAGTAGCAGCTACATTCTTACATTTCATGGTGAGAATTAAAAATAACATTGCTCAAACTAGAGTGGCTTTACATTTGTTTGTTTATTCATTTATTTAGCGTATACACATGCACGCCCATGCTAGGGAACACGTGGGAGTTAAGAGATCAACTTGTAGGATGGCTCAGTGGTTAAGAGAACTGGCTGCTCTTCCAGAGAACTGAGGTTTGATTCCCACTGCCCATATGGCGGCTCACAACATTTCCTGGTGATTGGCTCCCTCTTCTGACCTTCGTGAACACCAGGCACACATGTGACACATGTGTGTACATGCAGGCAAAACACTCATACATATGAAAATCAATCTTTAAAAAATAACAATAAGACTTGGCAACCGTTCCCTGGGAAATACCATTCCAGATGCATGAGATGTGTCTGGAGATTAGCTGCCATCTCAAGATTAGCTGACAATACTTTTTTCCCATTTAAGACGTAGACATAAATGACCACCACAAACAAATCAGTTTCATAATCAAAATGCGACCCCCTAGACACAAGAGGCATGGTGCCAAGCAGGGGGTGGGCACACAAAATAACTAACCTGTGCCAGCTGGCAAAAGGAGCTTGGGGGAAACAGGCAAAAGCATTCACTGTGGTTCTCATGGGAATGAATGGGCACGGCCAAATAAGCTGACTAAGCAGTGTGAGATTGAGTATTCTGAGTTTGGAAGGTGTGCTTGCAGGTAAGTCATTGCTCTTTCTGGTAAGTGGTAGGCCCTAGAAGAGGCAGTCCCTTCACATTAGCCATGTCCTGCATACAGTTCTGTACAGAATTTATTCTTTCATGTTTAATGACAGTTGGCATCTGTTCCGTGACTTCTATCCAGTTATTTCCATTAACAACATACTCCTCTTTTTTTTGTTTTCTTTATAGATGCTATATGACTCACACGTTCTTGACATTAAAATACTAAAATGCTAAATTAAGCCCTTAGAATAGTCTTCCCCTGGGGCTGTGGTGACAGTTCAGTTGGCAAAGTGCTTGCCTGGCAGTGCATGAGAAGGACCTGAGTTTGATTCCCATCTAAGAGCTGAGTGTGGTGGTGTATAGGTCTAACCCCAGGGCTAAGCAGGTGAAGACGGGCTTCTCCAGGGCTTGCTGCTATAGCCCAAGCCCTAAGCTCCTGGCTCAGCAAGAGACACTGTCTCAAAAAAAAAGGGGGGAGGATGGGGTGATGGTTGAGGAAAACACTTTACATTGCTCTCTGGCACACACACACACACACACACACACACACACACACACACACACACACACACCCTTCCTCTGACTATTCCCACCAAAGTGTCTCAGCTTCCTATATGAGAGTTCTGTTGTAAATGCTGCTATTCATTGGCAATTGCCTCCTAACGTGGGATAAAGACTTCTTTCTTCCCCAATGCTCCCAGTGTGAAGGCCTCCCTCGAAAGAAGCAAGGCCTCTGAAGAGCTTCTTGTGGACAACGCACAGCGGCTCCTCCAGGCAGTCTCCAAGACTGTGCAGGCTGCGGAAGCCGCCTGTCTTCGGGTGAGTGCCACAGGGACCTGGCAAAAGTCGTCACCAGAATACCTTCTCTTAGCTGTTCAGCTCCGTCCCTTCCCTAAGCCAGTGACCTCACTTCCTGTGTGTTTGATTAGAATGATTTCCATTAGCCTGGCTTTAATCTTACCACTTCTTTAGCCGTAAATCTGCAGGTGAGCTGACCATAGCTCTGCACACCTTTTGCTATGTTTCCTTCTGTTTCTAGGATTTCCTTTTGTCTAATTACCTGTATAAAGTTTTTGTTTTTGAGATAAGATCGTAGATAGCCCATGCTGGCTTCAAATCCAGTATATAGCTCAGTCTGACCTTTAACTCAGAATCATTTTGCCTCGGCTTCTCAAGTGCTGAGGTTGTTAAGTGTATACTACCATGCCTGTATCTCTTTTTTCTCTTTTGTAGGATTTATTATTTACCTGTGCATTTTTGCCCACTTTTCAATTAAAGGCATGAATATATTTATTATTTTTTCTTATTTTACATAATGATCCCAGTTCCCTTTCCCTCCCTCCCATGCTATCCCCTCACCCCACATGTAGGGTGATGCCTTCCAGGAGGGATTATCAAAATCTGTCAAGTTGTTTGGAGTAGGGACTAGGCCCTCTCTCCTGTAAAGGCGTGAATATATTAACTGTAGGTATATTTGCTTTCTTCTCTGATAACACAGATCAGATCTGACTCTAGCTGATTTAGGAGATTTTTGTTGTTTCTTGATAATGGGTTGGGAGTGTCTTGTTTTCATGTCTCATAATTTTCCTTTGGAAACTTGACATTACATGTAGATCTGTAAACACTAATAATATTTACATATAGTCTTGTCTTCCAGGCACCTAGTATGGGAGATGAGACAGTATTGTCAGGCATTGACCTGAGTTGGGGTTTTATTGTTGCAATCACTATGAGGGTTTCAGGCTTGCTAGCCTTAATTTGTGTTTGGTTTACTGTCCTTTCCTCAATGGCTGAAGGCTTTTATTCGATAAAAAGGACAGATTCCAGCAGTGATTCATGTCTATGTGACGTGAATCTCCAAAGCCTGCATCTCAGAGAGGTGTTTTCAGTTCCCTATGCCAACCTGAGCCTTTCTCAGGAGCACCAGGTGAGATCTTAGAGAACTCTGAGTACACGTGGCCCTTTGTTGTGGATGGGCACTGTATCACGCTAATCTAATTTGGGCATTAACAATTGTTCATTTTATTTTTCAGTCCTGGAGGTCAAACTATACCCTGAAGATGCTAGGCAGGTTACTGAGCCACATCCATGACCCTGTTAAAACTTTCCCCCACACCTTATATTCAATTACATGGCTGCCCCATCTCCCTCCAGGCTGAGTCTTGTGCAAACCAGTCCTATTCCCATCTCTCCTCAGAGATGTCTGTTTTCCAGTACATCTGAGGCTGGAGAACTTCAAACTCAGCTCTCCAATAGAGTCCAGAAAAGCACAGTCTTGTGCATTGACTGGCTGTCTCATAGGGGTGAAAGCAATATTTTCTGGTTTCCCCTATCTTAAACACCAGCTCTAAATGGACACTGTTGGCATGGTTAAAAGAGCACCTCCCCTAGGTGTGATGTAGGACAGTGGAGGCAGATGCGGGAGGATGTGGAGTTTATGATGATCCTTAGATACACAGCAAACTAGAGACCAGCCTGGGCTACCTGAGAGCCTGTCTCAGAGAAAAACAAAAGCCAAAGCAACAATAGATAAATTAATAAACAAGAGTTTGCTTAGGGCCTTTCTGTGTGTGGCCTGCCTCTGTCCTCCTCACTTCTTCCCAGGAGCTGCTTCTCCTTCAGACCTGACCTAAATGCTACCTCGTCTGAAGGGATGATACATCTCTTGACTCCTGATGGAGCTATGCCCCTATAAACCCATCGTAAATTGAAACTATGGTTAAGTCATAAAGGCATTCAAGGCTGGACATGGTAACTCACACCTGTAATCCCAGCAGTCAGGAGGCTGAGGCAGGAAGATTAGAGGCTAGACTGGGTTACACAGTGATGAGACCTTGTCTCAAAAAGGGGAAAGGTTGTGGGATAAAGGTCTTGTACTCTGCCAAGATTTGTCGCTCTAATTGGTTTAATAAAACTCTGATTGGCTAGTAGCATAGGCAGGAAGTATAGACAGGGCAGCCAGACTAGGAGAATTCTGGGAAGAGAAAGGGTGGAGTCAGGAGTCACCAGCCGAACGTAGAGGAAGCAAGATGAGAACGCTGCACTGAGAAAAGGTGCCAAGTCGCATGGCTAAGCACAGAAAGGAATTATGGGCTACTTTAAGCATAAGAGCTAGTTGGTAATAAACCTGAGCTACCAGCCAAACATTTATAATTATGGTACTATGGGAAACAGCTGTGGAATTGGGCAGGACAGAAACTCACCTCTGGCTACAGGAAAAGAAGGAAAAAAGATAAACAAAAATAGAAGGCACTACTAGTTTAATCTAATTCTTAAAAATTACTTATTTTTTTTATTTTATGTGTGTGAATGCTTTGCCTGCATGTGTATCTGTGTACCACAGTTGTGCAATGCCCTCAAAGGCCAGAAGGGGGTGTCAGATACTCCTGGGAATGGAGCTACTGTGAGCCAGTATGTGGAATTGAACCCAGGCACTCTAGAAGAGCAGCCAGTGCTCTTAACTGCTAAACCATGTCTTCAAGCCCTCACACCTAATAGTAATACATTAAAACTAATGTATTGCTGAAACACTAAATTTGTAATCTAAGTCGGGGACCATCTGTAATGTAGACTAAATCATATCCAGTTTCCTTTGTTTTAGATCTTTATGTGCAAGTTACAAACAGAGGAAGGATTTGGGTGGAGAGGTAAAATAGTTTTTAATGTGAGTGCGTATTTTGACCTGCATATATGTCTGTGTACACCTGTGTGCTTCATGCCTGAAGAGAACCCTGGATCCTCTGGAACAGGAGTTATAAGTGGCTGTGAGCTGCCATGTGGGTGCTGGGAACTGGACCTGCGTCCTCAGGTAGAGCAGCCAATGTTCTTAACTGCTGAGAGAGAATTTAAAAGAACTGGCTTTGTTCTCAGGTCATTTCACTGGGATCAATATTCAGCCCTTTGTTCTATTTTTCATCTCCTTTCTGGGTGGGTGGTTACTACCCTCTTCACACATGATGCTTTGATGCTGTAAAATGAGAGCTGTGACACCAGAAAGGCAGCCCTAACCCTCTAGAAGGAACCCACAAGAGCAAGCTCTAAAGTGATGACCCTGGAAACATGGCAGTGCCCCCAGAATTGAGCTTGATTATCCCTTTTGCTCCTGCAGGGTTTGAGATGGCTTTCCTCAGATCCAGAGGAGCTGGAGGTTGCTACCCTCTGCACACAGTGGAAGAGGAAACTACTACAACACCGACTTCAAGAAGCCTCAAACGAAGACTGTGATGAGCTGGGCTTACGAAAAACTAGCACAAGGAACCTCCCAGCGTTGGCAGCATTATAAAAGCTGAGACATATTCTCAAGTCACCCTGTGTTGACCAGTACTTTGGCAGCTTAGCATGCCTCTTGGGCTGAGTCTGAGACACGGGTATATGTGGCCATGGCTTGTTCTTTACAGAACTCCCCTGACAGCACTCCTGGTTAAGAACACGGGACACTAATAGGAATTTAACAGGGGATGCTCCTATCTGTATGTGACACAGAGGGGTTTTAAAAAGAGCAGCACAGACAGAAGAGGAATGTGAATGCATTTTGAAGAGAATCATGCCCTTTTTTGTTTCTTGTTTGTCCCATCCATTCTTTCACTCTGTTCTGCTTGTTCTATTTTTTAAACCACTTTATTATTTCACACATCATAGCATTCATACATTTAAAATATCCCGTGCTCACAAATTTATGGAAGCATCAACACAGCCCGTTTAGAATCTTTAGTCATCCCTGAGAGAATCCCTTCAGTAGTCTCCTTTTGCCCTAGCCTTGTAGATGTTAATTAGTTTCTGTATTTTATGGATTTTCCTTTAGATAGAATAATATAAGTGGTTTTTGTGACTGGCTTACATTGCCTAGCATAGCTTTTGGAAGTCCATTTATGGGGAGAGGGGAAGAAGGAGAGGGAGTGGGGAAAATGTATAGCTCAATTTAAAAAAAAGGAAAAACATAAAACCATTTATATTGGTACTTCATTTCTTCCTACCAAATATTTTCATTGTATGGGAATACCACCTATTCACCAATGGCTGGACATTTGAGCTCTTTCCAATTTCAACTATTCGAATAAAACTTATTGGGCTTATTGGAATGGTATTGTGGATTATATTTCTGTATTATCTTTTTCTGTCAAATATATAATTATGTCACATCTTTCAGTCCCTTTCCCCATGACTATGGCTAGTGATTAATTAATTATATTAAATTTCTCAAACATTTTGGTTTTGTGGATCTTCTTGTATTGGAGCAAGTGGGCATGGTTGCAGAAGCCAGAGACTGAGAGCTCACCTCTTCAAAGACAAGCATAAATGGGCAACCTGGAAGTAGGTGAGTCGTTTTTACTCTCAAAGCTGACCACAAGAGACAAATTTCCTCCAACAAGGCCACATCACCTACACCTCCCCAAACAGCGGTTCCAACTAACTCCAAGTAGTCAAGTATCTAAACCTATGGGGAAAGTTCATATTAAATCCCTAAGCAACCCACATTAAAGAAGGGCTTATTGGGCGAAGTAGGTATTTGTTTTTTTGGGTTTTTTTTTTTTTTTTTTTTTTTGTGTGTGTGTGTGTGTGAGAGAAAATAAGAAAGGAGCATTAAACAATTCTATGTTAACAGGTTCTGAACAATATACCCTAAGTGACTATCTCAATCCCAAAGAATTCTGTAAGTTAAAAGAACTATTTTAAGCATAAAATACTTTAATATAAACTGTATTGTTAAACTTGAAACTAAGATCAAATTTGCTTATAAAATAGCCTTTAGAGCACTGGTTAATATAATAGACATCCAAGAATAAGTGTGATGGTTTGAATAATAACAGCCCCGGTAGGCTCATATATTTAAATACGTAATCATCAGGGAGTGGCACTATTTGAGAAGGATTAAGAGGTGTGGCCTTGTTAAAGGAGGCGTGTCACTGGGAGTGGGCTTTGAGGTTTCAAAAGCGTGTGCCAGGCCCACTTTCTCTCTCTTGGCCTGCAGATCACAATGTCTCTCTCAGCTTTTGTCCCATCGCCTTGAGCCTATGCTGCCATGCTCCCAGCATACTTACCACCATGCTGATAATGGACTAAACCTCTGAAACTGCAAGCAAGCCCCCAATTAAATGTATTTTGTAAGAGTGGCCTTGGTCATGGTGTCTCTTTACAACAATGGAACAATGACTAAGAACACGAAATGAGTAAACAAATATTCCATCATTGGACTTAATAACTTTTAAATCCTACTTTTAAATTACTCATCTAACTTCCCTTTCAGTAATTTAAAAACCAGAGCTTGCATTAAGAATTTCATATTTAACAAGTCAAATTAACTTTCTTGTAAATTTAGAATTATTACTAATTGAACAATAAGGATAAATGCATGAGTGGAGCTAAAGAGTTGTTACAATTTTTGATTAACTAAAATTTACATATTTTATTGGCTTTTTAAAAAATCTGATAAAAGAGGAAATTGTACTACTTTAGGATACATTTTTTTGGCAGTTTTGTCAATTTTATTCACTTTTCAATTAACAGAAAAGTTCATTTGAACAGTAAGTCAGAAAATACTTTCTATGGTAGCTTTAAACAGTACCTTTAATGCTACCCTGTTACCCAGAGCCATTTTATACAACAAATAGGAACAAAAACATTTGTTGTGGACTGTGGAAATTGCTTCTGTGGGAGCTGTCTTTAACTAAGAACTGGAGTTATTACCTCCTTTGTCTCACAAATAAGTGTCCTTTTCAAGAGATGTACTGGAGTCATCCCAACAAACCAGCAGTTCAAGAGGTCATACCAGTGTAACACTGTGAGTTATGAGTTATATCATAAAACACAGGTGCCATTGCCTATACATGTCAATGAATACACAAGAATGAATACAAGTTACTTTTCATAAAATACAATTTCTAATTAATTTAGAGTTCTAAGCTATGAGGACATTAAATAATTAAAACACAGGTGATCTCTGTTATAAAACCAATCATATGAGATCTAAAAGATTGTTTATTGGTATCATATACAGTGGAATATGCCTACCATCTCAGTGGGAGTTTTTGCTATGCAAGAAAAAATATAGAATCTAGACATTTAAAACATTATCAGCCTAATAATTACTACAGTCTCACTTTGAAAAGTCTGTTAAAAATTGCCAGTCATGATGAGCACAATTATTGCAGTTACATCATTTGAAAGAGATAAAAATTATGCTGCTAAAGACAAAACACTGGAATACATAAATATCACAATGTGACAGAGAAATAAAATCATAACTACTTAATATGAAAAATTAAATTTAAAAGTTCTGCTAGAGAACCTGGAATTTGTTTTACTGTAGCAAAACATTGTATTTATATTCCTTCAGCTTCTATGATACAGTGTTCAGTAAAATACTTCTAAAAGATACAACATTCAAGTGCTTCATGTACAGAGACAGTGTTGCCAATGCTAACAAAGTGATGCTCTTAAACATGAGTTGAGCTAATTATGGTTTTCAATGTTTTCACCTTGCATTTTACTTAGCAGTTGGCGTGACAACTAATCAGTTTTGTGCTGGCAGAGAGGATCCTAGTTAAAATACTGATTCTCAAAATTAATGTATATCATATTGCTTGAAACTAAACAACCATACAAAAGTGGCAAATGTTAACCTAAACATTGATTATGAAAGACAACTGTCACACACACACACACTCACACTCAGGGTGAGTGTTGAGTTCATGATGTGTTCTCTTACAATAAAAGTACTTTTACTAACGCTCACATGATATGTATTTCTATACTACAGTCTCTTGAAGTTATAAAAATATTATATAAAATACCACAGACTTTAGAGGATGTAAGTTCATGTGGTTCTGATACTAGCAGCTGAAAAATGTTTATAATTTAAAAAATAAATAAACTATAGAGGTAAACCAGTTACAAAACAGCAGAGAATCGTGACAGCGTGAGAATAGCTTAATTACACAACAGCTAACAAAATGGTGACGCAGTTGGATCAAATGTCTTAAAAACCTCTTTTAGAGATTTGTCATCCGTTTCTCTACTTGGATCATCACCTGGGGTAGGGCTTGCCTGTTCTGGCTCTCTTGCCTGCCTTGGATCACTGTATGGAGATCTAATTAAGCCTGTTAAGGCCTGAATAGGAAGACTGTGCACAGCAGAGACCTGAACCTTATCAGCACTCCTCAGAGTATCTGCCTGCATGTCGGCTGGCCCCACACCAGGGATGTCCATGTCTGCAGGGGTTTTCTGTAGGATCACTTCTCCAGGGGAAGGCTCATTTTTATCACTACTTTTTGAACCACTTTTTTCCTGGTTCTCTGCATTTTCTTCTGAAGAAATGATAGCTAGCTCCGATGAAGACAAGGAGCCCTTCTCCCTAGGATCATACAAACTAATGCTACTGAGAACTGAACTTGAAGTTCCCAGTGGGAGGCCAGCTGAAGAAGAGAGTTTGGGGGCATACGCAGGAAGAGCCACAGGACCAGCACTGATAGGTGATGCTGTTGAGGGCTGTGACAAAGCAGGGTTTGATCTGGCTAGGTTTGGGGCACTCTTTGATACATGTGAGTCCTTTATAGCCGATTGATGCGACTCTGTATTGGGTGGTCTGTGAAGCCTAGGATCAAAACTCTTTTGCAGCCTAGGGTCTCCTAATTTACCCCCTGAACTATGTAAGTCTCCACACTGTTCTAAGTAGCCCTCTCTCTGTGTTATATTTATTTTGGTTGCTGATTTTGGATCAAGGGACAGGGCACTTTGATGATCACTTTTTGTATTCCATAGCCTACTGAGCCTCTGGTCAGCTATAAGTGGAGGAAGAGGTAAATTGATTGAAGATACTGGATCAGGTTTAGGTAAAGGAACCGGAAGTAAGTCCTCTGGAGCCCACACGATGTGCTTTGCAAAGTTGGGTTTGGTTAGGATAATGTCCATTTTAATGTGACTGAATTGTCGTAACTGTGACCTTGGATCCTGGAGTACTACTCCAGGCAATGAATCCAAAGGTATTAAGAAGGCTTTCTCTCTCAGTTCTCTTTCTGTGTCTTCTTCATCATCATCTCTTCTTTTGGGTTTACGATTCGCAGCAGCATTTGTATGATGCAAATCAAACTTTGCTCCACTAGAAGTGCCTCCAGGAGCACTTCCATTCCCTCTTAATTTCCTGGGATCCCATGCAAGTCTAAGGTCCACTGGGACAGACTCATGAGGCTTCCTAATGTCTTGCCTTGGGACAGTCCGAAGCCTTGGGTCCACCACCTGACTCCCTTTCCTCTTCTCTTTAGCAAGCCGTGGATCAGTAGGAATGCC